GTCTATTATTCACAGTTGCTAAGCTTAGCAGGGATCAGAGGTAAAACCGATGACAAGAAATGGTTGAATCCATATATAGCGCGAGCCATGGTTATATTTAGAGTCAGAATGACACTATTTTAAGGTGAGCGCACATAAGGAAGTGTGTGGATCACAAATTATTTTTCATGCTTATATTTTTGGATTGAGTCATTTTATTTTCAAAGCAGTGCCAAATCAATCACTGTTGTCATGTACACTCAACACTGGGGAAATGTTTGAGCGGTGATTTCATATGTCATATTGTTACTAACAGATGAAATGCTTATTTTAGAATGGGGATGAATGAGCTTAAAAAGGCTGAATCGTGTTCAGAGCTGATGTAATACATTAGTCTGAGAAGTACATCATGATTCAAATGTTTGATTCTGATTGGAGAAGGACTAAATTTCCTCCTGTGTCTAAAATTGCTACTGAATTGATATGACCTTGCTGTGATTGGCTTAACCTATGAAGGACTCTAAAATAATTGCTTCTTATTCTTTAAAGGAGCTGATCCAGAAACCTTTCTCATTAGTGATGCTGGTGCTCTGGTAGATGGAGTGTTTGAGATTCAATGCCCTGATATATAGACAGCAAGTTTGTTTTTCATTCTTTGATTAGAAAAATAATTAAACACTTATGCAGCAATATACTGACAATGAACAGACAATTTTAACTGATGAATCTGTAAAAATGTGTTGCGTTCAATTCTATTGATTTCAAAATAAGCAAAAATTATAAGAAAACAGCAGTTAAGAAAGCATCTGATCACAGCAGTGTTTGCACAATCGTTGCAATTGACCCGCATTATGTCATCAGATATTTAGTGGTTGTGATAGTTTGATTATTAAGTATGTTTGAGACTATTAGACTTTATAGAATATAGAAGCCCAAGGTTGGGCCCGCAGGCCAAAGTTGGCCCATTTTAACCTTTGCTTTGGCCCACCATCCCATTTGAAAAGAGAGGGAGAATGCTGGGGATGGGCTTAGAGTGAATATATTTGACAAATTTAGTCGTTTTGAATGTAACATAACCTTTTGTTTGTTTCGTAAATTAATCAGATTTTTTAACAATGTAAATACTCTTACGCGACGAAGAGAGTGCAATGCACAAGACAAGACAAGACAAAAGTAGGTGGCAGCTTAGTAAATTCACTCCATTGTGTTATTATTGGCATTATTTAAGTTTTTACTTTATAAATTCATTATACTTTTATTCAAATACACTGCATTAGTTATAGAATTTGGAAATAAATAAGGTAATTATTTACTCATAGAAACTTTGGTATATTTTTTACCTTCAGCCCACAGCCCTCAATCAGGTTTGGTTTTTCGCCCCCTGTATAAGAAAAAGTTTGGGCACCCCTGATATTATACATGCATTTATCACTTCTCTTTGCTTGACACATTGTCATCACGGTTCAGAATGGCTTTTTCATCCTTATGCTGAACATTATAACTAGCATTCAATTAGTAGGTTGTATGGAAGAGAGGTTCTTGAAGCATACGTAAATGTAACATCCTTTTGATTTTCCTTCAAATAAATATGAATCTACAGGCACGCATTTTGTAGACAGTCAAAGTTGAGGAATATCCACAAATTGTTAACAAATCATTAGTAATTAAAAAAATAAAAATAATTAAAACTTATGTTGGGCAACGCAGTGGCGCAGTAGGTAGTGCTGCCTGTCGCCTCACAGCAAGAAGGTCGCTGGTTTGAACCTCGGCTATGTTGGCGTTTTTTTTTGTGGAGTTTGCATGTTCTCCCTGCATTTGCTTGGGTTTCCAACAGATGCTCCGGTTTCCCCCACAGTCCAAAGACATGCGGTACAGGTGAATGGGGTAGGCTAAATTGTCCGTAGTGTATCAGTGTGTGTGTATGTGTATTTGTGTGTGGATGTTCCCAGAGATGCGTTGCGGCTGGAAGGGCATCCGCTGCGTGAAAATTTGCTGGATAAGTTGGCGGTTCATTCCACTGTGGCGACCCCGCATTAATAAAGGGACTAAGCCGACAAGAAAATGAATGAATAAATGAAAACTTATGTCATGGAATGTTGCATAAAGAACTTCATCCCAAAAAAGGGAAACTTACAGACAGTTTATTTACCCTTAACTTGTTAAAAACCTTTGTATTCCTTTATTTCTGTTAAAAACGAGAAAACAAAAAAGAAGATATTTTGAAGAATGTTGAAAGTCAATGATATACTGTACATGGTAGGGAAAATTACTTTTGGAAGTCAATATTTTTCAAAATACCTTATTTTGGGTTCTACAAAAGAAAGAAGCAGGTTTGAAACAATTTAAGGATGAGTAAATGATGACAGAATTTTATATTTTGGGGTGAACTATCCTTTTTGCATTCTTTTCATTACAGAAAAGATTCTTTATTTTCTAAAAAAGTTTAGACTATAAAAGTTTCACAGTAAGAAAATATGCATCTTTTAAGAACTCTTCACATAAATATTGAACAATATTCTGAAACCCAAACATCAATGCATGAGCCCATATTTGCAAACGTTATTTTTAAGAGTGTGTGTCTGGTGTATGTGGCCTATTAAGACATTTTATATTTAACGTCAATCAAACTAAGACGGATTAAAAGAAATCTCAAGAAAATGGTGATGCTGGTAAATTTTAGTGTCACTGTGCAAAATCTTGAACTAATAGAGTAAAACCCTTCTGTCCTCTATAATTAAGACCCTGCTTTCCTTCCCCATGGCCTTCACTCCTCTTCTGCAGCTGGGGTGAAAATTACAGCCCTTCCTCGCTCTCTCCACTGCTCTCTTATTCCTTCTCTCATATAAATGAGATGCCATCTGTTGCCATCACAACTGATGGATTTTTTTTTTTCTTCATCTGATGTCATTGTAACACATTAAGTTGGTTATTTGTGCTTATTTTTGCCAAATCTGTGAAAATAAATGATGGGATTAACTGGTTTTGACAGAGGAGATTTCTAGAATGAATGAAAACTGCACAATGTTTTTGTGCCCGGGATCCAGCAGCTCATAGGATATTGATGTAGTAGAATATCCCACATATGGTGAGGCTAATTAAATAATGATGGGAATTAATCAGATCAACAACCTTGAAAAAACAGAATGTGACGTGTTTTAAAGCATATTTACAATATGGAAAGCTCCTGGATGCTCCGAACTGTATCGCTTATGGCGTCTTTACACAGTTATGCAGGTGGCTTCTTTACATAAGAATAATTGATGTTCATATTTTTTTAAATCTATATCACAAAAAATTCATATTCATAACAATTTCATTTATTTTATCATTTTATCGTTTATAGTCAGGGTAGGCTCATATACATTTTTACATTTTACAAAAAAAACTCTTGGTGTAAAAGCTTTTCATGATAAAACATTATTTTCCAGGAGAACACATATTTTTGACTGAAGAATCTGTAAAAGCACATTCAATTCTAATCTAAGTCTTCTTGTATATACACTCAAAAAGGTTTACTGCTGCTTGTTCAAACTAGCTGTTTAAATTAGCTGAACCAACACAATTCTTGTAATTTTTTTAGCCAATTTATTTGTTTTATGTTCAAACTTAAATTTGTAAATATTAAGTTAGCAGCGTTTTGTGTTGAGACAACATGAAGCAATTGTGTTAGTCCAACTACCTCGTTTGGGGATTTGTAGTTCCCAGCATGCTTTGCATGGTTTTGAACGGGAAATGTTGACAATAAAAGTAATCTTAAAGTTAGAAAGAAAAGAAATAGAAATAATAGAATAATTAAATCTTCATTTTAGTTTGAAGATTTAGAAAATTTTCATGCAATGCTTTGAGTTTTATGATTACCACCTTGCAGAAGTACCACTTTTTTATGTTTGCAGCTTAATAAGCAAAAAACGCAGTTTGTTGCATTGCTCAGTGAGCAATAACTGTCTCAAACAACTTCATATGTAACTGATGAAATATGCTTAAAATAGTTCAAATAAAACTCAAAAACCTCAAAATGAATCATACGTAAGCATACATGATATTACCAGACCTTTAAGTTTAAGTTAAATAAAAATACAAATCCATTTCAACTTTTATTTAAAATTATGTTGGACCAACTCAATTTCATTTAATTGTGTAAATAGATTTTCTAGTTGGTGCTAAACAAATTTACTAGATGGAAATCCTGCCCTCAATTAAATTAAGTTTTTGTGTGTGTGTGCGTGTGTGTGTGTGCTTGTGTGTGTGTAACTGGGAAAGCTAATGTCACTAGTTTAATGGCACAGTATGAGTGATAACATTGACACTTTTTATGGACACACATTTCTATAAAAAACATATGCTAAAGAATTGAAATAAATTAAGTATGTTGTGGCTTTTATAATACATCAAATAATAATACGCCAAGAGAAATGAGCAATACAGTTGCTGTATGTGTTACAAATTGATAACACAGTTGTATATAATAAAAAACGTATACTGACAAATATATATATATATATATAAACATGATTTTTAAGCTATATAAGACAATTTTGGTAGATAATATTATTTGTTATAGCCTGTAACATAAACACTGTAAAAAATCCTGGTTGAATCAGATTAAACCTACAGTATGTGTCCATTGAACTCATATAATGTTAAACTGACTTAAAACAGCTTTCGTAACTCATAAAATTAAGTTAGAAAATGATTTACTTAGTTTAATAAGTTACAATGACATAAAAACATATGCTGTTACACATATACTTACACATATATTTGAATGTTAAAATACTTTTTGTTATGAAAGGTCTAATTATTTAGACCTAATTGGGAAACCATTAAATTAAACTAGGTAAAAAAAATCAACCCAATACTTGAGAGAAAAATGAAAAGAAGGAAAGAAAGATGTTAACATTAGGCTACTTTTATTAATAAATATTATTACTTTTTATAATCACTATTTCTTTATTGTTGAATGTGAATACGATTAGAGACACGTCTGCTCACTAAAAAATAAAGCAACGGAATCCATCAAAGCTGAACTCCTCCTTTAGCGGGAGTTGATTGGCTGATCCACAGGCTGACAGTCAGATCCAGTCAGTCTGCTGGACGGACGACGATCCTGACTAATGAAGAGAGCAGATCTGGAACGGACTGTGCGTCTCCACTATGCAATGAACAAACCGATGGAAAGTCGATAGGCGAGTGCGACTGTGTGCATTCAGACCCGTTATCCTCAGCGCGTTCGCCAGTTCAGAACTTCCAGCTCAACTCAACATGTAAAGTGCGACTGGCACCAGACGTACCCGACAGATTGGTGCTGTTGAACTGTTATCGGCATGATTCCGCCAGCAAACATGATTCAGGAGGACACGATGGGCAAGGAGAACGAGCGGGACCACCGGGAGCCTCAGTCCCCCTCATCCATCAGCCAGCAGGAGTCAAAGGTTGGAGAAACACACACCTCAGAAACCGACAATTATGTGTGCGGTTTACACTTTATTATTAGAGAGAGCGAGGGTTTTGGCGTTTTGTGAAACTTTGATTTAATGGTTCATAGTTTTACTTGTCTGCTTTATATTAAAGTGGTTATATGTCACTTATACTCGTGTAAACTACATTACGTCAAATGTAAAGAGTAACGTTAGTGTTATAAATCTTGTGACACTGTAACGTACTGTTACTGAAAACATGGCCGTTTAAAATCCATGGTAAGCTAAGGATTTACTTTATGAAATAATTACTCCACACATTAAACAACAACACTCAAGTTTTATTTTATATACTTTAATGTAATATGTTTAATTTAATATGTAACATTTTAACCGACATTTAGTATAAAAATTACTAACTAATTAGTAAACAATAGCATATTGAACCACCAATACACTAAATTAACCATCGTTTTACTACAAAAACATATTTTTTCTGCGTAGTTAATCAATGGTAACGCCAAATTAACAATCGTTTTGCTACACTATTGAGTTTAACCATGATAAAACTGTGGTCGTACAAGTAAATACACAAAAAAACATGGTTAATGCACTTTTAATATATGCAATAGATCATAGCTCATGATTCAAGGGTAATTAACACACAAAAGGCTTTCACACAATGGAGATGTTTCAGATTTGGTTCATGAGACCAGTTCTGCTATTAAAATGATCGCAGGTCACATGTCAAAACATAGATACAATTTTTACTTCCTACCCCACAAATTAGGGCTGCACAGTATATCGGTTCAACATCGATATTGCAATGTAATTGCAAAAGTCACATTGCAGGATCTGCAAGTTCAGCTTCAGTTGATTCATCCCTCACAAAATTTGAGTGGAATTATAGCTGACCAAGAACTATATTGTTTAGTGATTATAATAGAGTGAAAGAGTGCTTGTTTGATTTGTTTAGAGGTCTTTAAGTAATTATGACAATGAAGATATATTGCATTTAACTTTCATAAATTGACGACTATGCAGTTTTATTTGCTTACATTTGATTATTTAGCTTATACTCAAATATAGTTAGACTCCACAAAAAATGCAACAAAATTTAAGCAGGTTATCTGGCCTACGAGATCATCTCAGTTAATATAAACGTTTGAGTTATTTCCAAATTGAGCTATTCAAGTAATCTGGTGAAATTAATATTATAAATATTGTAGAAAATCAAAATGTCGCAATGTCAAATTTTTCCAATATCGTGCAGCCCTACCACAAATAGTTTTCTGATTGCCTTGTGAATAATTTTTTTCCCACAAAGGAATTTTTATTTTAACTGCAAATTTTTACCCCAGTTTTGTTATTTCTAATTCATTATGCAATACAAAACTCTTTAACTCAATTTCAAGCGTTCATTTGTCCTGTGAAATACTGAATTAAAGTGATTGATGATAGTTTTAGTATTACGAATATGTTGATTTATGTTTACAAATAGCACTGTTTAATCATCTGAGCAATTATAGTTCAGATACTACTCCTATACTGGCAGTAATATCATTTGATTTATATTGTCTGCGTGCAGTAGGGCTCATGTGAGAGTATAAGTTATATTTTATTTCGCTAGGGGAAAATTGTGCTGCATCTGTATTTGTTGCAGTGATATTTAGTTTCTGCTCAACCTTGGTGTATGATTTGTTGTGTCTGATTTAGGAGTTTGTAGTGGGTGGCGTTTGGTGCTGAGTTTGAGCTCATCTGTTTTTCTGGGTCATCAGTGGCCCTGAGTTCCACATTCAGCCCAGAAATGTTGGACGGGTCACTGTGCTTTTAGAGCTCAATGCCAGTTGGGAATTTTGCATATTTATTGTCACTGAGTCAGTAGAGATTGGGTGCTGAAAGGCAGTAGTGCTTTATTTATTTATGCAGTTGTTCAGAAAACTGATTCATTATTTACATTTACATTGTGTCATTCTCCTCCTCCCCATGGAATATGTGATGCTTCAGTCAAATTAATAAAATATTTGTACGAAAAGAAAAAAATATATATACAATTGCCATATGGAGTTAAATGTTGACTTGATCAGAAGTGTTGTGAGGAGGGATTTGTGTGTAATTGAGAGCTGTTATTTTGAGCATTAGGAGCACTAATATTATTTATCAGAAGTGCTAGAATCAGATTATAAGGTTTGAGTTGTTTTTAAAAAGAAGAGTCATTTTTAAAGAAACAAAATCCACATTATATTTGATTTATGAGCTTTCATATAAGTTATTTTGGACCGTTCCATTGCAGAACACTCCTGAGAATATGCCTAATAAGGATGAAGTAGTCTCCTAAGAAAGATTATGACTCATTAGTTGTTAATGGATGACTTTTGATTCAAAATAAAAATATATAAAATATAAAATATATAAAAATATATATATATTAATATTTTAATTTCCTGAGCTGGTTGTGCTCTACAGAATTTCCAAGAAGCAAAAGGGGATGAAACCATCACTAAAAGAAAACACTAATAGTGAAGACAATATTTAGAGAGAATATAACTTGTGCACAATAATCAGAGGATTATCATCAGTGTCAGGGGTTTTATTTGATAATCTATCAAGCATCTCAGAGCTTAATTACTAAAACGAGATCCCGTTATTTTTGTCTCCAATTAACATATTCATGAGCACATGGCACCTTGAACTGATCCAGGGACACCTTTTATGACTGCAACCCAAAGTAAATCATCTTTCTACGTGTCTGTTCTCTTTGTATGACTATGTTTGATAAGATTAAAATGTGTTACAAGTAAAGCCGGCCTAATAAATTGTGTCCCTTATTTGCTAAACACAGTAATCTTTTGCTAGAAAAAATACCTGACTTCCAGCTTAATCAGCTCCGTCTCTCAAAGTCGTCCTTCAGGACAGACCAGGACACGCGTTTGGTGCTGACAGCAGCAGAATTGATTCCTAATAGATGTAGAAGATTCGTGATTTTCTTGCACAAGTGGTCATTCATTTTGGAAAGAGGCACTTCCGTAGCATTTTTAATTCAAGCCTTATATTTGAAATTGTGTTAAACGATCTGGTTGCTCTTTTATAACGATCAGGCATATTTCCCTCATTAACCATTGTAATCAGTGCAAATGACTTGGGGAAATCTATTGACATTATACTTTTCATAGAACCTTGCCACAAAATCTCATAATGAAGATCCAGACGTGTGCATTTATCAGCAGCAGTAGTCTCAGGCATCATTGATTTATTTATTTTTTTGGTTGTTTCATTAAATTTATTGGAACTGGCAGAAAAAGTGGAATTTGAACTTCAGCAATGGCCATTTTGATAGCCAGTTGTTTACAGTCAGTTCTGCCACAAAGCAAGTGCCTTGTAAATGTCAGGGGGGTGACTTGAAACCACCTTTTAAACCAATAGCATGCTTTCATTTGCTTCACAGTGTTTTTAATCTCCTTTTAAGACTGAGTTTGCAAGTAAAGGGATAGTTCACCCAAAAAGGAAAATTTACTCACTATTTGCTCACCCTTAAGTGGTTATAAATATTTATTTCTATTGAACTCAAAAGAAAATATTTTGAAGAAAGCTGAAAACCTGTAACCATTGATAGGCTTGTCACGATGAGGAATTTTTGTTGTGCGATAAATTTTCACATGTTGCGATATTATTGTTATTTAAAAAAAAAAAATGATGCCACTAATTATATAACGATTGTATAACAGCATAATATTGCAAATAGCCATAAACACTTTACAATACTTAGCATTCTTATGGTTAATTAGATTTTGCCTGTATAATTTGATGCTAAAAAGTAAATGTTCTACTATAAATACTATTAAATTAGATAAACATTCAATTTAAAATTTTGACACAGATGAGGTAGAACAAAAATGTCATTATAAAATGGCTTTAACATTATTTGTGAATTTGTAAATATATCTTGCAATGGCAAAGATTATTGAGGTCATCTCCAAGTATTGCACGATAAGATATATTGATTGTTGTGATAAAACCCAACCATTGACTTCTATATTAGGATAAGGAAATACAATGGAAGTCACTAGTTACAGGTTTCCAGCTTTCTTCACAGTATGTACTTTTGAGTTCAACAAAAGAGTGGAACTCAGGTTTTAAAAAAGTGAAGGGAGAGTAAATAATGACATGGGTTGTAATTTTTTTAGGCGAACTATCCTTTTAGTTGACAGCAAACTATTAGCACTGATGAACTCGAATGGCGAGAAAGGGACTAATCAATAAATTACTCTCTGTCGGGCATTAGAAATCAATATGGCGTCATCATAACACACTGGCATGCGGCTCACTAAACACACTGCACTGATTCTTTATTTTGATTGGTGGAAATCTAATGTGAGAGGATTATCCAAGTGGGCCAAATATCACTCACGTGCACACAAACACACACACACACACACACACACACACACACATGGAAACATAGAGCTCAACAACAAAGATGGCCTGATTTGTGGGCAGAGTTGTGGACAAGCTGATAGAACCATCAGTTGTCTGATCAGACGAGTTCTGTATTATCAGTGTATATACATTTTTTATTGATAATGTACATGCATTTTTTAATGGAATTGCAAAACTGGCTTCAAAATATCAGTTATAATGCAACCAACTGCCTATTATAATTTGCATGATATTGTTTTCCAGTAAAAGTGTAAAAATTATGCTTTTGTATAATTCTATTTATGTTAGACTTTTAAGTAATGCATTTCAATCAATTTTACATAAACACTGAAATGAAAAATGTCAGAATAAGAAAGCAAAGTTGATCTTAAAATAACGAATTATTCATTCATTCATTCATTCATTCATTCATTCATTCATTCATTCATTTTCTGTTCGGCTTAGTCCCTTTGTTAATCCGGGGTCGCCATAGCGGAATGAACCGCCAACTTATCCAGCACGTTTTTACACAGCAAATGCTCTTACAGTCGCAACCCATCTCTAGGAAACATCCCACACACATTCGCTCTCATACACTACGGACAATTTAGCCTACCCAATTCACCTGTACCACATGTGTTTGGAAACCGGAGCACCCGGAGGAAACCCACGCGAACGCAGGGAGAACATGCAAACTCCACTCAAAAACACCAACTGACCCAGCCGAGGCATGAACCAGCGACCTTCTTGCTGTGAGGCTACTGCCCCACTGCATCGCCAATAACGAATTAATCAAGTATATTTAATAAAAATTAGTCAAACTGTGCTGGTGTGTTTGAACTGATCCAGCTACAGAGGTATGGGATCTGTCATACTAAAGGGAGTTAAATCAACATTAATTCTTTACATTTATTGGTAACAAAAAAAAAACCCTGACACTTTGTGTAGAAGTAAAATAGTAAAAGTGCAATGCTTTTTGTAATTGTTAGATGTCAGATCCCGCCTAGCAGGCGGACAACATCATAAGATGATTTTTAGTTCTATTTTGGTTGCTAAGATAAGTGACCAAAATTTAATGATAACTTGCTGTCTGATACCAATGTCAGCTGACATCTAATAGCAACAACATCTGGTGTTGGTATTTGGTTGGTTTTAGACTGTGGCATTAACTAAATAAAATCCAACATCATTTTAACTCCATAATATGACATCCATAAAACGTCAGAGTCTAACATTAGTAAACGTTTATCTTTGGTTGGTTTTATGTTGTGTAATTTCCTAACTAAAATTCTGTGTCAATTTAAAGGGCACCTATTTTACCAGATGTAAACTTAGACTTTGGTGTCTTCAGAATGTATTTGCAAAGTTTCACCTCAAATACTCATCAGATTATTTATTATAGCCTCCAGAATTTGCCCATTTTGGTGTCTGAATACAGCTGTTTTTGTAGCCTGTGGCTTTAAATGCAAAAGATATTCTTCTCCTTGCGCACTATTACCATATGCGTGTCTACTTCTCATACGTTATGTTAGATAAACAGCAGTCAGTGACAGAGACAGACTCGGATGAAGCTAAAATACACCTCATTAGTCAAAAATACCAAGTAAGTTTATTTAATTTATTTAGCGTGGCGTTTATTCAAGTCTTTCTGAAATGATGAGTCTCACACACATGCCGTTTGCAGTACACAAACACACACACACACACACACACACACAAACAAACATTATCATTTACTGACACCATGCGGCCGGGGGGATTAAAAAGTTTGAGAATTACATAACGATTTAACTGTCTTTATTATAAACATGCTCTGTTTTATAATGTTTTAAAGTTCTAAAACGTATAAAACACAGATAACAGATAGTTGGAACAGATAGTTTAATCTCAGTTATTTGCAAAACAAATGTTCTGTGGACTTGTGTTAACATGTTTTTATAGAAACATGGCACCTGTCAAACAATTCGGTTGACGGGGAAACTACACTCCTACGCCACATTGGTGTGGGTCTCAAAATCTCTGGGATTTGGGTCCTATTTTAACATTAGGAAAATTTTAAAAAGAGACTTGTTGGGTTTATATCACTGCAATATGACAGTGGACACACTATGCATGCAGTTTTGTCCAAACAGCTTACAGAAGTTGATTTTTATCATAATGTGATGTCCATACCTTGTCAAAAGCTAACATCATTAGCCGTTGATCATTGGTTGACTTTGTTGCATCAACCTGATTTTCATATACAACCAAAATTCAAAGTTAGTCTGATGCTAGAGTCCCAATGTCAATTTTATGTCTGTGACGTCCAGTGCTGTGTGAAGTTCTTGTGCATAAAACAGAACAACAATTCTTATGAATATAGACTTCAATAAAGAAACTAATATTGCCAACCCAGCTAGAATCCAGGTTTAAATAATACATTTTGTCCACATTTTTAGCATGAAGAATCCGAATGTGACATTGTAGAAAATTACACTTTTTCAGTCCATATTTTCTTCCTTGCACAATCATGTCAACCATGAAATTAAATGTTTCAGATGCCATAATTTTGATGAATCCATAATTTTGAATGTTCCAGGTTTTGTAGAAAGAAATGTGTAAGATTTGTTGAAGCTGTTGAGAAGTCTGACCTTTAGCGCTTTTCATTTTTGTTCAGATTTGAATTACATTCCTTTGCACAGTACTTACTTGGACTGGTAGTGCAGGTTAGTGTGGCCTAGAGGACATTTTTAGTAGGCAAAGATGATCCTGGTGGGTGTTGTCAGCTAATTTAGAGGGCTGTCAGCAAATGACTGATATCATGGGTAATGTGCACCGCACAAAGAGGCTACGTACCAAGAGACATGACAGCCCATCTTTCTCTCCATTTCCTCTATTCTCTTTCATTAAACCTTTTGATGCTCAGTGTATTACAGGAACATAAATGATACGCAGTGCTCTCCTTGCTGAATTAGGTTAACATATGAGGACAGGAGAGGTCATGTAATCATATGGAGGTTGTTTAAGTGAGAATGTCCTCATTTGACACATGCTAAGCAAAATTGCCCGCTCAATCACTCAGAGTTGTTTAATGCTTTGAGGGATACTTGCGTCATATTGGGTATAAATGTCTTTGCACACTGATTAGATTTTTTTTGTCCTGATCATTCTAAAAATTTATCATTCACAGAAACCTTGCCTCATGTTCTTATGCTGTGAAGAAAATTCCAAGAAAAAAAAAAAAAAAAAAACAACCGAGTAACTGAGCCTTTTAATCAATCAACCTTTATTTATATAGAACCTTACTACAACTAAGGTTGACCAAAGTGCTTTACACCAGTAAAAACAAATTATACAACACAACTAAAAATCAAACAATGCAAAAACAATACAAGAAATATCAATACAATACAGCAAAACATTCAAACAGAGAAAAGTGTCAGTGCTACTATGTAGGCCTGTCACAATATATATATTTTTTATTATACGTTATATTGAACCAAAATATATTGCCATAAACAATATTATTGTAATTGTCATTTTAACATTTCAACAATTATGCACTAGAATCAGAATGTGAAAGCGCATATACTAAATAAATGATAATAAATGTTAACAAAAAAAAGTGCAAGGTCAAAAATAACAGAGGCTGCAATATCTGCTACCAGATCTGTTTTTAGTTGTCAGACACCCACATGAAAATATACTATAGTAATTTATAGTAAATACCATAGTGTTTTTTTTTTAACTACTGACTCTGACACTTCCAGTAGAGATAGAAATCTTACACAATCAGCCAGAATTTTTTTTTATGTGTGGGCGATATATATTGCATCCCAAAAATGATCATGTCCATGTGGGATAAGCAGATGTATTCATTATTGTGACAGACCTACTACTATGCATTAATAGCTATAATAAAGCTTGGCTTTAAAAAGTTTAATTTAAAAAGTAATTTTGTTGTGCTCTAATTTCTTTTAAAGTAAGAGCGCAAATATTGGGTTCATCAAACCTGATATTTAACGTAAGAAGGAGAGTTCACCTCCTTATTAATAATGGAATATCTTAAACAATTCAAAGTTTACTTCAGGATAGTAGTAGGAATCAGAGACAGGCTGTATGTTTAAGTTGTGGAAATGTACAAATTAATTCACAATACGTTGCTCGGAGTACTTGTATGCTCTTGTGGCTAGTTGTTGTGACTTAAAGGCACAGTAAGTTACAATTTACCCACTACTAAATATTTTTGTGTTGCAGCACTGAACTTAGTTTAAACATAACACTACGTTCAAACTAAATATTTACGGCAGCCTTCCCCTATTTACATAATGAAGAATGATCTCCCTCTACTCACAGCCTTATTTTCCTCCCAAATCTTTTTTTTCAGTTTTTTGAAAGATTAAATTTTCTATTATGGAGTTATTCTTTCTGCTCCTCACATGTAGATATGATAACTTTATGTGTATTTCGCATGCATTCACGTCTCGCGATGCAGCTATGTGCGTCAACTTATTACCCTGCAAACACAGGATGTCAACATGATGTCATTTTGACGTTGTACCATAACATCTTGGAGATGTTGGAGTTTGTTGGGAAATGAAAATCGGGTTGACTTCAGAACCCAACGTCAGGCTGACGTCAATGTCCATTGTCCAAATTAACCAAATATCAATGTCTAATCATGTTACACCTTGACATTTTGTGGACGTTACCACTATGACATATGTCAGCAATAGATTTTGGTCGTTTCTCAACAAGTCCTAAAATATACCAAATATCATTTAGACGTCAAAATAACGTTGTCCTTGGAGGCTGGCTCGACATTACATTTTGGTCACCTGGCGTCATGACCTAAATCGAACCTAATATTAACGTCTTAAGATGTTGTGTGCCTGCTAAGTAGTGATTGACTGTAATGTAACTTACTATAAAAATGTATATATATATATATATATATATATATATATATATATATATATATATATATATATATATATATATATATATATATAGACGTATTAGTTGCAGAATTTTAAAGCAGCTTAAGGATTTAAATGCTCTTTATTGGATATTATGTCATTCAATGCGACTACACATGACTTTACGGAGAGCTTACAACCTACTAACTATGGTTTACCTTAAAAACATGTGGTGCAACTGAAATAAGAACAAATTTAAAAAACAAACTACCTATTAGTAAGCTGTGTACTTTATGTTCTAGTTTAAGAAAGAACTAACGAACAGCTGGTGCAACCCTACCCAGTTCTTAATGTTTTTGTTGACAAAATATTCAGAGGCAATGACTCAACTAGAGCTCTTACTTTTTAATATGCAAAAAATTCCAGTCAAGAAATGTTTAATAAGTATGAAAGAACCTTTAATAAGATGCTAAGAGATGCCTGTTGAAACATTAGTTTTCTGTTTATTTCAGCTGCAGAGGCTAAAGCGTTCGCTGTCCTTCAAGACCAAGAGTCTTCGCAGCAAAAGTGCTGATAACTTTTTCCAGCGACCGATCGAGGATGTGAAGTTTCAAACAGAACTCCTCTCAGATGTCAGCAGCAGCACAGGTCATCTGAGCAGCATCGGCGTGTCTGTCACGGCCTCCCCAGCGATGTCTCTTCCTCCACCACCTCCTCCGCTGCCCACCGTCATCCCGGGCAACCTACCAATCACAATCTGCTCTCCATCCCGTGCCCCTCGCCAGACAGACCCCAATGCCCACACCTTCCTGGAGCACATCTTTAAGAAGCCTCATTTCTGTGACATCTGCAACCACATGATTGTAGGTAAGAGGACGTGTGTTTCATGTTAACTCGATGCTCATTTTTAAACAGAGCTGTATTTGTTTTGACCGAGGAGAGTATTATGATTCCTATTGTAATGACTATAGATTAGATGACATGATTGATAGATTAGAAATGCATAAAACTTTCTGCTACCCAACTGCTGTCTGTCTGCCAGACACTGATGTTTTGCTGCTGTGGACGACGCCAGTGCACAGGGATTTTAGCATTTGGAGAACAGCGAACGATGATAGATTGGCACGACATAATGAGTTAAAGGCTCCCATGAGATAAAAATCGAAGTATTGTGGCTGTTAGTCAGTGTCTGTTGGCTTTAAGGTCATGCCAGTGTACTCGTGATACATGACAAAGCTTGTAGTATTACAGTTCACAGGTCTTGGATCAGTAACTGTTCATGTGTCTGCTTACTAAGACTATTATATTTACAGCAAAATATAAATACAGTAATATTATAGTATAAAAGTTATAATATCACTGTTTTAGATTTATTTTGGAAAAGCTGACTTATTATTATTACTCCATTCTTTAATGTATTACTACATTCTTTACTGATCGTTCTCTTTTAGTTTGCAAATGTGTATGTCTTTAAAGTTGTTTTATACAATTTAATGTATCCTTGTTGTTTTTTATTTTTTATTTGTTTAATTAACTTGCTGATCCTAAACCTGCATAAAAATACTTGAACACACTGCACATTTACAATAGGTCTCATTTGTTGCTGTTAGTTAATGCATTAAGCAACATGCTCTGACAATGAACAGTCTTACTGATTTACTGGATGTGGGTTTTTTGAAGGCCGATGCCGATATCTTGGGAAGCATGGTGGTCGATGGCCAGGGTGCGAATTACAGGGGGGTTTGGGGGGTTCTGGTCCCCCTAATTAACGCTTGATCTACGATGAAGGACATCAAAACAAGATGTATGGGGGCCTGCCCTTTAATAATTAAGAAATAGTTTGCTCTGATCGATCTGTATCTTAAATAATATTAATAATTAAAATAATATATACACATTTAACCACCCCTATTATGGTTTATATGAGTGCACATTTGCGCCAAAAAATATTAATTCATCGTTTTGAAACTGGCAAATATAGAGCACAAAAACACAGAGTTAGTGTTCACAAAACATGCTTCTTTAAAAAAGGTGGTTGTAGGTGTCTGTAAAACAAGATGCATAGTCTGTATATTATTATTCACTGGCTCGTACGTGGAAGTTAAACAGCAAAAATAAAAAATATGTGCTGTCTTTCATGGTCATCCATTAATAGGTGCAGGAAAGCAAACCTGTCACTGTTTATTAAATATCACAAATTTCATCGAGAACCACTCAATATCCCTCAAAACACTAAAAACATAATAATACACTTAATTAGAAAATTAGATGTAAGTGAATTAAATATATAAATTTGGTTCACTGAGGAACATAACTGAAAAAATTGACCCCCCTGTTCCCCGATTATCAAAGTATAACTCACACCCTGGCGATGGCAGATATTTAGCCAGCATCATTTATTTTATTTTAATGAATAATTACATTTTAATGTAATAAAAGAATATTAAAATTAAAATAAATTTAAAATTAATTGGGAAAAAAATAAATGTGTAATTCAACTCAAATTAAACTGGTTATCAAGTGGTGTAGAGTGAAAGAGAGAGAATTATTTATTACGAATCATTTTACAATAATGGTGAACAAACAAACAATAAGAAAATTACCTCACCATTTATCCTGTTTAGTGGTTTTTAACCTTTATAAACTTTGTTTTTCTGTTGAACACAAAAGAAGATATTTTTAACAAAAAAAAAAAAAACATGTAACCATTGACTTCCATTATAGCAAAAACAAATGCAATAGAAGTGGGTGGTTACAGGTTTCCAGCTTTCTTCAAAATATCTCAAGCAGGTGTTTGACAAGGAAAGAAATAAAGAGTGAGTAAATTATGACCAGTGTTGGAAAGAGTACTGAAAAATCATACTCAAGTAAAAGTACCCTTACTTACCCAAAAATGTAGTGCAAGTAGAGTAAAAGTGTCTGTTTTAAATATTACTTAAAGTATGAGTAAAACGTAGCCCTTTAAAAAAACTCAAGAGTAGTGAGTGAGAGTATTACGCTGTGAAATGCTGATGCATTTACATGCAATTTGTGCAGGAATGTGTAAACGTAACATTCTGTAGTGCATTTAGTTATTAAGACTATTTGAAGAGTTTAGATGCAAAAACCTCTAAAAACTATTTGATATTTTCTTCTAAAATAAACATTCTTCACCGACTCTTGTATGTAGACTCAGTAATTTTACTTTTATAGTGACAAATAAGTTTTTTCATTGCCTTTCAAGTGAAAAGACTGAACATAAACATTGGAGGCTGACAAAAATGCTTATTTTAGGAGAACATTTCAGAGGACATTTAGAGGTTTTTGCATCTGAACATCATTCCTTGATTTCAGTCATCATGCAGTAAACATCCGCCATCTTCTCATCAGTGACATGCAGTCTAAACAGTCATTGCATGTAAAGATTTTGGGCATCTTCTAGGACGCTTGTCCTAAACATGTCTTAAAATTGTTCAATATGATGCAAATTTATTATTATTTTAGCCCATCCCCATAGACTAGGAAAATAAAGTAGTGACTTCAGGTTTAAGGAAAGTAGTCAAGTTAAACTACTAATAAGCACTGAAAATGTTCTCAAGGGAAAATAAATGTACACAAATTTAAAACTATTCAGTAAATAACAATTTCTGAGTTTGAGTATTTGTAATTTGTTTCTTTACAGTACACCACTGATTATGCTCATATTTTAGGTGATCCATCCCTTTAACTGATCTTAAATCTGCATTAATATATGCTTGCTCTGATTAACATGAACTAAGGTCTGTGGATTAGAATAATATAATAATAATAAATCAGTCTTTTGTCATTTTAATTAACCGATACTTTCATGGACAGATGTTTTTATCATATGAAATTATTGCAAACCATGTTTCAATAGTGCATTAAAATAGGATGTATGTTTTGAAAAGACAGAATTAAGTCAAATAAGGTCAACTGCAGCCCATTCAGAATTTCGTATTTATGCATTTTTCAGCCGTGAGATAGTTCTCAATCTGAAACCTTGAGATGGTTTAGAGATTGTAAACTCTCTACTTGTGTGTGGTATTTAAAAGCATATGTCTCAGCTAAGCCCGCATTATGGTATTTGTGGGCTTATCCTAATAGAGGGCAACAAGGAGTTGTTGCTCTCAATTTGTGTGTGTCTGTGTGTGCGTGTGGTGAGGTGAACAGATGTCCACCTGTTGAAAAAAAAAAGATTTATTTATCTGACAGCAATGAGGAACACAAACACTCACACACACACACACACACACATGCTGCGTCCCAATTCGCATACTTGTACTATACCCTAAAAGTATACACACACACACACACACACACACACACACATTAAAAAATAATAATAAATATGGCAAAGAAAGTGAGTATTGGGGAGTGTTAGATAGGTGTGTGTATGTGTTAAATGTGTGGCGAGTGTGTCTAGTCTAGTTGTGGCTGGCATATGGATCTGTCAGGCCTCATCACCTCTTTACCTCACTAACACTCCCTCAGAAGAGCACACTAATGAGGGCAGGGCTCCAGATCCAGTCCTGGCACATCCTCATGAAAAGGACATCAAGCGGCCAAATGATGCATTTCAAAGCTTTGTGGTGAATGCAGAGAAACCTGAGCTTGCGCAGCGATAGATGAGGAATGATCTGTCGGTTCATTATCCCTCAGCATTCTGATTACTGAATTTTATGAGATCTCACCAGCTGCCTGAAAAAAAAGAAGAAAAACAGCGAGTGGAGTGTGTGTGGCTGTTCTGCTTCTGTGTGTTGAATCTCAGTTTCTTGCTGTGACTAATAGGTAATTACTAAATAGCAAACCATGACATCTCCACTTGTAGACTGGATATCGGGACACCTGTGTGTGACCTGAATCTCCACAGGTGGACCAGATACCTGTTCACTTGTGCTCGACCCAAATCTCTACAGCTTGATTAAATATGAGCTTGCACGTGCCATTGACCCAAATCTCTGCATGTGGATCAGATATCAGGATATCAGGACACCGGAATTACACCAGGCTTTCAGCATCACATTCCTTTGTTTTCCATGTTCTAACCAGTGGTGTGGTGAGCGGGATATTTGAGCTGCTGATGCTGAAACCCGACCTGTTGCTGTGCTGTTCAGTTTACAGCTCAAGTTGAGGATTTTTATGCCTCCTGTGAAACCGTTAAAACTACCTTGATTATTTATTTATTTCTTTATTTACATATTCAATTCATCTTTATTTCTATAACACTTTTACAATGTAGATTGTGTCAAAGCAGCTTAACATAGAACTTCTAGTAAATTGCGATTAAAACGGTGTCAGTCTTATTTTCAGTTGTAGTAGTTCAGTTCAGTGTGGTTTAATTTTCACTGCTGAAAGTCCAAACACAGAAGAACAAATCCATCGATGCGCATCTCCACAAGTACCAAACCAAGCAAGCTGGTAGCAACAGTAGCGAGAAACAAAACTTCACCAATTGATGAAAGTGAAGGGAAAAAACCTTGAGAGAAACCAGGCTCAGTTGGGCACGACCATTTCTCCTCTGGCCGTACTTCCTGTGCAGAGCTAAGCGCCAAAGGCTTTAATACTATTTTTTATTTGTATTTAATGTTTATTAATGCATAAAATGTTTATTTATGCATCTATTTGTATAATTTGCAGCCTATTCTGCTGTGGCGACCCCTGATAAAACAGGGACTAAGCCAAAATTGATCTGTATTGATCATTTATATATTTATGCGCTTATTGTATTTATTAGTTTGTTCAATCATTCATTTAACTTCAGGCATATTTTGAACACAAGATTAATTTTTTTATATACTTTTACTTAAATATATTTTTAGTTTATGTGCAGATTTTGTTGTTTCACCTTTGTCTTTGTGTTATTTTTTCATTCATAAACTATGATGTTCATCATAAGTGAGGAATTATTCTATTTTCAGCAATTTTGCTAAACCGGTCTATTCAATTGTGTCATTTTTTTCCTGTAGTTTCACAAGAAAACTATTCGTTTTTATTACTTAGGAAATTATTTTGATTGAGTAAAAACTGGATTTAAAGAAAATAATTCTCTGGTTGCAAATAGTTTTACTGTTGAACATTGCAGTTGAATTAGAGGGATAGTTTAATCAAACATTTACATCACATTTAGCTTTGAGTTAGTAAATTAAATCTGCATGAGTTTCTTTTCCTGTTGAACACAAAAGAAGGTATTTGAAAAAATGATGATAAGCAGACATTTGCTGCAGCCTTTGAGCTTTAATAGTAGAAAAAATACGGTAAAGTCACTGGGTCTCTTATGTCTGATTACCAGCATTATTCAAAATATCTTCTTGTGTTCAGCAAAAGAAAAAATTTCACACAGGTCTGGATCAAGTGGAGAACGAGTAAAATATATATTCAGTTAATGTGTAGATTTAGTTCTTTTACTTTTGTTTTTGTGTTTCTACTATGAGTATTCATTGCAAATTAGGAATTTTAATATTTTCAACAATTTTATTTTATAATATTATTCTAACATATTTATTCTATTGTGTCAGTGTGTTTTGCAGCATCACTCGAGAACCATTTATTTGGAGATCATTTTAATTGAGTAAAAAACTACAGATATTTATGAAGTATTTAAAACAAATCTTCTGGTTGCGAAAACTGCACTATTGATCATTGCAGGTGAATTAGAGGGATATAGCTTTATCAAACATTTACATTTATTCTCATTTACTTACCCTTGAGTTGTTGCAAACCTGCATGAGTTTAATTTTCTGATGAACACAAAAGAAGATGCTTAGAAAAATGATGGTAACCAGACATTTGCTGCAGCCTTTGAGTTTTAGTAGAAAAAAGAAAGTCGCTGGGTACCCTCTACTGATTGATTTCTAGCATTCTTTAAAATATCTTCTTGTGTTCAGCAAAAGAAAATAATTATTTTGGTTGCAAATATTTTCACTGTCGAACTTTGTAGGTGTGTTAGAGAGATAGTTTAATCAACATTTTTACTTTTTACTTAAGTACTTATTGCATATGCTGAACCTGCACCTGCACCTATATATGCACCTGCATATTCTGAAAAATGATGGAATCCATACATTTAAAGTAGAAAAAAGACTGTAAAGTCACTGGGTACCCTCTACTGTTTGGTTACCTGCATTCTTCAAAATATCTTCTTCTTGTGTTCAGCAAAAGAAAGAATTTCAAGGATCAAGTGTATAGGACAAGTAAAAGATGACCAAAATGTTTAAGTAGTCAGCCGTTTAAGTAGTCAGCAGGTGAAAAGTGTGCCTTTTCAAAAAGGCCAAAATTGAAGAAACACCCACTAAACACCCACTCAGCTGTGTGGGTGACAAAACGAAAGGACAAATGTTTTAATGATCCATCGTGCAGCTGTAAAGATATTAATTTACTGACCAAGAAATGACTGTGTGCTTCATCAGAATAAGATGATTAATTCTCGGTATTAAGTCTATTGCAAAATGTCAGTCATCAATTTACAAAGCAATTTCTGGATGGGCGAGCTGCATGTTTTTCATGCTGATGTTCTCTCTCATGTTTGGCTGGAGCCGAGGCATCTATTTCTAAAGACACTGAAGCCATGCTGTATTTCAAAGCACAAAGGAAGGCTTAGCACATTGGGAATATGGTTGGCTGTCTGTGTGGGTGGATTCTCATCCCATTGGGCAACTGATGACATTAGCAACATTAAAATTAAGTCTGCATAACATCCAAGTGCTGTTGAATGCTGAAATATATTTCTCAGTTCCTTCAGGCCAAAAAAATCCTAAGTTGGAGTCCAAACATTTCATGACTTTGACAAAATATTGTAATGTATAATTCAAGGAAGTTACTGAAGCCTGGTGTAAAATAGAATTTTTTTTATTTGAGTTTCTGTGTCACCTCTCAACTCGAGAAAATCACACATTCAGCCATAAAAGATGCATTAAACATTTTTTGCAAAGGCTGAAGTGATCAGCAGAGGGATGCATGAGAGAGTCTGGACTGGGCATGTGATGTTTGATTAATCGATGGACGGTTGGAAGCAGCTTGTTGTAGCAGACAGGGGCAAATGAGCCCTGTGACACAGTCATTCTCACAGCCACAGGGCCTTTTGTTTTCACCCTATTAATCATTTCACATTCGTGTTTCATTAATCAAAACAAAAGCTACATCTAACAATTAAATTTTAAAGCTACTCCAAATCTGAAAATATTTTAATTGCTGCTCCTAATTAAAAGCATTGATCGCCCTGCCCACAAATCTCTTTCTCTGAGGAATATATTTTAAAAAGAGTCCACACAGTGAATATCTGAATGGTTGTTTGCTTGGACCTCTTTTGGTTTGGACATCGATTTTTCAACGTATACACATTTCTCATAATGGCATCTTTTGTATTTCACATAAAAGGCAAAATCATAGAGATTTGTAAAAACAAAAGGGTTTGTAGATGATGACAGAGTTTTAAGTTTTTATTTTTTATTTTTAAGGGACTGTTCACACAGAATGTATAAATAAATAGAGTTAGAAAAATAAGTAATGTTGTGCATTAATAATTGTCTATAGTGATATTAATTGTTGTTTTAACAATGTGTAATGTTATTATGTGCAAAATACAAACCAAACTATGGGATAATGTCAATGATCCTACAATTCAAGTTAGGCTTAATATCTGAATGAATCAGCTCTTTTGAACAAATCAGTTGAATTAGTTATGATTTTGTGATTTACTTCTTAAGACAGGTACTTGCCACTACCTACTGATGATTTCAGTGTCATTTTTATATATACATGACAGGCATAAACTAGCCTATAGGGACCAGCACAAAACACTCTTTAAAAGAATTATTAATTAATTGTTATCATAAACAAATATAGTAGTGTTTTATGTCATTACTGCATATCTGACTTTTTTCTCCTTTTACACTGCCTGTGTTTTTTTTTAAGGACAAATGTGTTTTGGGTAAATGACAGCAGTGCTTTTCACACATAGACTTTACTTGGGCAGGTCGCCCAGGTATTTTTAGTGATTAGTATTTTTTAGTTTTACTGTTATTAATCTCCTTACATTTTTTGTATCCGCCCAATAACCAAACATCTGCAATCAATTAAGTAGGGGAAAATCTTCTCTCGTTTACCAGTTTCGCTTTGTGTGAGCGAGACCTGTCAACACTCCCACAGACAGTCTCACATGCTCTGCAGACCCACAGAGGTGTGTCTTTTTGGGACTTTTTGGTGAAATTTGTCCGGCCCTGGTTCTAAATCTCATAAAATGTCCAGGATTCAACTTTTCCTTTTGTTTTCTAAAGCTCGTATGGGTTTTTAAGTTACCTTTTTACTTAAGCCTGTACTTTAACTTGGCTTTGCAGCTGGCTGCACGTGCACAGTCACGAGAGCCAGAGAAACATTAAATAAATCCTTTTTTAATCTAAACGACTCAGAAAAACTTTACTCTATACTCGAAGAGGATGAAATGACTGGTCTGAACTGGCTGCAAAATATATTTACATCGTTAGTAATGCTTAATCAATGCATTTGCCTTATTTAAATAATATACTGGTTTTAATCTTGCAATTATCATATTTTTAGAGATATTGTCTGTTTTTATTATTTTTTCTGTCATTTATTTCACATTTGCTGTTTATTTTATTAATTTGATATTTGATATATCATAGGCTATTTTATACACATATTTAAAATGCTTTGCCATTCAAGTTTAGTCAGTGGATGCACATGCTTCTGAATAGCATAAAAGTAAGAGAAATTATGGATGTCTTTTTCTTTTAACCATAAAAAAGAAACAGTGTATAACAGTGTCATAATACATACAATTATTGTTAAAAAATTAAATAATGTATTGTTTGTTGCATATAGTTACCTATTTATGTGATTTGGGTAAATGGTGTTTCAGTTCGGCAACCACTGCAAGTATATTTCAAACCTGTGGGAAGCACTGGACAGTTAGCATGTTTATTTTAAAAATCAACATCAAAAGAGCTATAAATGAAGTCAAGTTGTCATGTATGACCACCTTTTTCTTTTTCAACACATGGAACAACTGTAATACAAGAGAGATTTTCTCCTGTAATTTTTTAGCTTGCCAAGGTGGAGCTGGCAAGGTCTTCGGTAAGTCTGTTCCGTTTGATGATGAATTGAGCTCTTTAGAAACCCAATCCAACTCTGTTCGCCCACCCCCAACCCTAGCCCACCCTCGTCCTGCTTCTGCACTCATAATGACTTCTTCAGCACTCCCAGGAAATGCATATGAAGAAGAAACTCCTCATATGCTTGCCAGCCTGATGCTTGATACAATTTTTCCTCAGAGCGATCGATCTCAAACGCTTACTCTGTGAAGGAATTGTTTTTTCTGATGTTTCTTGTTACAGTCATAAGAATATTTTTATTTTGTGTTTCGAGCTTTGCTATATGCATGCCGTTGTTAAAAAGTGTAAACGAGGGTTTTTTTATTACCGAGGTTTAAAGTTAATGGAAGCTTGGAGAAGAGAGTAAAAGGTTATTATAACCAGTAGGTGGTTTTATTTTTCAATAAGGCTGCTCTTAGAAAACAGCTGGAAAGGTGACTATAATTTCAGTTATTAGTATTTATTGACTCACCACAACAAAATATGTTTATGTTTAAACTGCCTCTGTGCAGGATTTTAATTTCTGAGAGGCAATTATGCCTGATTAATTTTCCATCACTCAAAGATCATACAAAGACAGTAATTGGTGTGAAAGAGGTTTTTTTTTTTTTGTTATTGAATACATTAAGCACTAGCTGTAAGAAAGAAGAGTGATTTAATGTTAATGTTTTAACAAATCATTGGTGGAGCATTTAGAAGAGTGTTTCATTATTATTTAATTACGCCAGAGTGAAGTGCGGAGAATGTTTGTTGTCCCTTGGTGGATTTGGCTATCATTATTTTTTCATTTTAAATGCAATGTGATCAAATGTTTTGTTATGAACATAATATTATTAATTAATATTAATATTAATTAATATTGAAATCAAAGAAATTATACTCTTTCTTCTATCACTCTTCCTTCTTTATTGCTTTTTCCAAGTTCTTATCATAAGGTTTTTGAATCAATAAAACGGCATCTCTTAATCCCAGTTCTCAGCACCAGGTGTGATGATATCAAACTGTGAAATTGAGCAAACAGAAGAACACAATTACATTAAGAGTGCTGTTTTATTAGATGATGTCTTGTACAAATGTACGCTTTGCTCTTGTTTGTCTTCAGCTGTTTCTGTTCGGTTCAGCATTAACACCTGTTTTCCTGTTTCCAGTTTTACTAATAAGTTTGAATTCTGCAAGTGTTTCTGGGACTGTGAATTGATAATTTGATGAGCTGCTTTTAAGGCATCTTCTTTTTTAGGCATAAGAAATGGAAACTGAAGCAACCTAAACACTTGCAGAATTGCAGCCCTTTAATGTTTTAACCCTTTAGTAACCATATGCATAACACAGTTATTTGAGATTACATGTTGTGAGATGTAATAGTGAATGAAAATAAGGAAACTTTGATCTTAATAATACTGCTTGTCAATTACCATGCATTTATTAATCATGTGTTTTGCAATAGATTTTTTATTTATTTAATTTAAAGATACACTCTTATAAATACACTAGTTATTCAGTCTGAACAACATTTATCGTTCATGCACTGTAAACCCTAATAGGTTGAGACTACTCAAATGAGTTGAGGATAGTGATTTTCTCTGTTCGTTTGAGTAATGGAAACTCGATACCTTAATTTACTGAGTTGACCAAATGTGCTGTCTTCTTTGAATTAACTTAAACGTTTAAATCCTTATAACTTAAAATGGCTAATACATTAAACTTCCAAATTTTTCAGCTTTAATATCTTTTACTTATTCCAAGCGCTGTTTATATTGAAGTTGATATTTAGCCACACCATGTTGATGTTTCGTAACATCTAATTTTTCAGGGTTGGTTGTTAGCCCAATGCTCAACCCCTAACCTGGAGGACCAGGACATACACACATACACTACAGACAATTTAGTTTGCCCAATTCGCCTATACCACATGTCTTTGATCTGTGAAGGAAACCGAAGCACCTGGAGGAAACCTATGCCAACACGGGAAGAACATGCCACACAGAAATGCCAAGTGACCCAGCCAGTACTCAAACCAACAACCTTCTTGCTGTGAGGCGACAGAGCTACCCACTGCACCACCCTGCATGTTATCAATAAAAAAAAAATTTATATACAGTAGGCATTTAAATATAGTCCCTTTATTACTCTGGAGTCGCCACAGCTGAATAAATCATCCAGCCAGTAATCAGCTTATCCAGCATATGTTTTATGCAGTGGATGCCCTTCCAGCCGCAACACATCACTGGGAAACATCCACACACACACACACACACTAAGGACAATTTAGCCTACCCAGTTCACCTCTACCACATGTCTTTAGACTGTGGGGGAAACCAGAGCCCTGGAAGGAAACCCATGCAAACACGGGGAAAACATGCAAACTTCACACAAAAACACCAGCTGACCCAGCGGAGGCTCAAATCAGCGACCTTCATGCTGTGAGGTGAATGTGCTACCCACTGCGCCACCACGTCGCCATCTACTTACTAATTAAATTTTTCTCTTTCATCACATGGGTTCAGGTAGTGCCTCTGTCCTGCTGCGTTTCAGTAAAATTCAGCATTACAAGCAAAATGACCACCTTGTGTCATATAACATATATCGACCAATCAGCGCGGTTGTCAAGGTAGAATTTCTAGTGAAACCAATCATTTTAAAGAGAGACTTGGTGAATCGTTTAAAGAAATAAAAATTTGAGCTCAGAGAAAATATTAATTAAAAGTTTTTTGCTTCCTAATGACTAAGTAAACAAACGTTTAAATGTTTTTATGCTAAAACTTGGTATTTTAAGTAATGTCAAGTTATATTAGCTTAATGTCTTAAGTAATGACATCAGTAATAAATAATATCTTTAGAAATGACGGGGTTTACTGTGTGAAAACTTGTAATTTTACAAAATAGTGAGGAAAAATTCAAGAAAAATGGTTTTTGGAAGCTTTATTTTTAAGAGTGTATCTTTCATGTTCAATATATTTGTTCTCTGAAGTCTTTTAACCCTGATAATAATCGAAAATGATCTCGATTGCTAGGCACCAATGCTAAGCTGGGCCTTCGGTGCAAAGCCTGCAAGATGGGAATCCATCACAAGTGCCTAGATGGAGTTGGACAGCAGAGATGCATGGGGAAACTGGTGAGATATTTGTTTTCTGTGTGAATTCCGTATTTGATACTTTGTTTGTTTTTGTTGATATTTGGATAATCTTGAAACTTGAATGTGAAGCTAAACAAGTATTCATTGGTATTTACTGGCCAGTGCTTAAAACTGATACTGTTACAAAGAAAACACACTAAGAGCAGCCTACTTATAATTTGTTATAGCACTTTCCTTGTGTTCCTTTCTGGCAGTAGGTGAAAATTTGTAGTGTGTGAGTGTAAAGATATGTTACTCTTCGCATTGATATTTTTGGTTATTTGAAAGTGTGATTCATCAGTCTGTCTTTTCCTTCTGTGAATTGGTGTGCGAGTATGAATGCTAATGATCCTCCAGTGTGTACTAGAGAAAGTGAGATAGAGGAAGGATGGGATAGTTGATACGCAATATCAGGATGCATCTATCATGTAAACACCTCTGTGCTCCACTCAGGGGACCCACAAGTCACGACTCTTCAGGGAAATTCACACGCCCCCGACACACACTAAAAAAATGGCAAATAGGAAAAAGAGTGCTAAAATTTCCATTGGTTTTCCCATGGCTTCAGTGCAGAACAGGAGTGAGTCAGGTTTCTCAGAGAACGATTGACCTTAAGAACAAGTTTACAGCTTTCTCAAAAACCTATTGGCATGTAGAACTAAGAGTCTGAGTTGTACTAAAATTATGTAAAAAGTTCACCTGTAGAGTCTTAAAAAGAAGTTTCCTCCACAAAACATTAATCAGCCCAACTAGTTTTAACATGAATGTTAAAAGTTTCTTAAGCAGCAAATCAGCATATAATAGTGGTATCTGATGGATCATGTGACAAGACATCTGAAAAGTGTAGTAACACTAATAACTGACAAATTATTGTCAGTTATTTGCCATCACAAAAACAAACAGAAATAAGAAAATACAATAGAATACAAATAGAAAAGAACAAAAGAATAGAAGACAGTTATTGCTATTTACTGTAATGCTACCTTGAAAAGTATAAGACATCTTTCAGAATCATTTAAGAATCTTGCTGAGCCTAAATGTTTTAATGCTAATGTACTGTGTTTATACAATACTGGATATTCTATTTGTTAGCAGTAGTTCTGGTGAGTTCATGTCTAGTTCATGCCAACCTGAGTTTGATTCCTGCTTAAGGTCCTTTGCCAGTTCTTTGCTTTCCTGTCTATATTGTCTTATCTAAATAAAAGGTGTAAACCCTCCTTAACCTCCTAGGGCTTAGTGGCCACATACTGTATGTGGACAGCACATTTTAGCTCTTAAGTGGCTATTTAAAGTATTTTGAATGTTTTCTATTTTGTTACAAACATACAATGTCATCCTGCAACTGTTTTGCAGCACAGTTTTCCCAAACACTATTTTTAACTGTACAAAATGGGCAAAACATGTTGTTTTCACTCTCTGATAGTCAAAACATGTTAAAAAATTATGTATGTTATTAATGGATTAAAGAACAGTCAGGAAAAAGTGTTTTATTTAAATTCGGACATGGAGTCCACATATATGTGAGAGATAATTTTTTCTCTAAAAGTACATCATATCAAAAGATGATACTTAGGTTTTATTCTAATTAGGTTCCTATCAGCCCAAATAGCAAAAAGAAATTTAAAATGCCTGTAAAAAAACACCTTGGGCCTTAAGAGATTAAATATGCTTTTAAAAATACTATATTAGGGTTGGGTCAATAGACGATGCCATCGTCCATTGCCGATGGCCAATAAACATCACAATGCTGAGCCGATGTAAATATCAGGTTGCATTATTTGATTAAAGAAACGCTCCATTATTTTTGAAAATCAACACATTTTAAAATTTTCCTACACTGTCAAAAATATGTTTATTATAGTTTCCATTTTTTGTGTTTTCCATCTATTTATGGTTGTGAATATGTTAATGGGATATTAACCTCTGCTCTGCCTACTTTTGATTTTAAAAATTCAACTCTACAGTTCAACAAAGTGACTTTGATTAACATTTTTTAAATAATATAATGTATAAGAAAAATATAGAGAAATAAGTCTGTAAAATAACAGAAAATTTGTTGGCAGCTTATCACAAGATTTCTGCAGCATAAAATAAAACATCATCTTAGATAATATATCACTTTTAACTATTAAACTATTACATTTTCCAACTTTTTAAGGTTAATGTGATTCAAAAGAATACATATTAAAAAAAATAAAAACATGAATCACAAAATAGCGAAATCTGTTAATTTATGGATATTTTTACTGAGTAAACAATTGATGTTTGAACCTATTTTCAAGAGTTTCTTGATTATTACGCTAGAACGAGGCTATAGTTCCTTGACATATCAGTCTACAAAAAACTTTTCTTTTTTTTGTCATTTTTTTACACAATGTAACTACAGAAGGATTAAGATTTCAATAGTAAAGCTATTTGGTTATTTTGGAGCGAGATGCTAATGCTCTAATCTGATTCAATGATCTATGCTAATGTAAGCTACAAGTGCTCCTGACCATACAGTCTACTGAATTGATTAAAAAATGGAAAAAAAAAAAATTGTAGAGAGTTCCTCTAAATACTCTCTTGCCATAAAATATGCAATATATGTGACAAAAATCCTTTCAATTTATACTAACTCTCTGTAAGTTTTCGCTTTAAAATCAATAGCCCTATTAACAATGAACTTTGGATAGAATCTTTGATCAGTGTTTTGATTCCTAGAACCAAGCACTTCTGAGTCTATTACTACACTATGAGGTCATCAACACAGGAAATGGAAAAAACACTGTGCTTCAGATTGTGTGGTGGGTTGAGTCTGGAGTTGTACTAGTCTCCCCGATGATGATGTAGTGGACTCTCGCAGATGGAAAATATGGCTGTGGGGGGTCAGGATTAAAAAGAGAACAACTCCCCACAGGATTCAGCTCTAATTCCACTTTTGCTCTATTTTTATACTCTGTTTATTTCTTTTGGCTTGTCTGATCAGTGAGAACCTTTGAGCTGTACGAGTGCTGTTCTACCAGCATGACATGAGCTCAGTCCTGGTTGTTGTTAGTCAACCATTAAAACCCTCATTATGTGCCAAGCGAGCGTCGCATGGTGTGGCTATTATTGTTCTTTTGGTTGATTAAACAAATTAATCACATGGAAGTTTATTTCGGTTGACTCACTTCAGTCTTAGCGGGTACGTGCTCCCTGACACTGTGCACTTGTGTTAAATGCATTTATTAGCATCTACTTCATGTCTCTTTGCACGCTTCCTCCAGCGAGCTCTTGGAGAAATGTGACGTAGCAGCACTAGAGAGCTCGTCTCTGGGTTCAAGTGGTACTTAAATTAGTCTCCAACCCCAGTCGTGGCTAACGATGAAGTCTTCAAAGCAGATTTGTGATGCTGATTGAATAGACACCCTGCTTGGATTTAACACAACAAATACAAATAAGGGCATGGTGAGCACAGCGAGTCTTTTGCAAAAGCTGTGCATTTGCTCCTTGATGCTAAATATAATGCTGCAAGTGCTTGTGTTTTAATCATTTGAACCAATGAATCCCTGTGGAAATTTGTCTTATGAGTATATAATCATTCAAATGAGTTTAGACACTATAATCCAGTTACTTTGCCTCATTAAGGATCATTTAAACAGTGCTTCTGAAAATGAAGATGAATGCTGTCGGACTAATATTGAATTAAGTCATGACAAAACCCCTGTTTTATTAGACTTGAACCACATGTAGTAATGCAGCAGTTATACTAGTGTACATTATGACTGAATATATACACTGTAAAATATCTGTTCATGCGTATTTAAAAACAATATTTAACAAAATGACTTTTATTGACATTTGAAGAAGTTTAAAAAGAAAATTGGGTCTGGGTTAGTCATATACATTTTGGTAAAAAAGGGTAATGACCTTTTATTTAGCATTTTACTGATTTATTTGTGAAATGAAAATTACTTCAAACTATTTTAAGATTTTTTGATGATGTACAAAACTTCCCTTAATGTATTTGCTCTGAAAGGAACCAAACCAACATCAAATCAGGGCATATAATGAGTATATATATAACACGGACATGTTTAACACGGGTTTCACAAAACACGCAAAGAAATAATTAGCAATTCTGATCTTTTTTATTTCTTAGTTTAAGAATACTTTGTAAAAATCAATGTTTACATCTCTTTTGTGGTTTGTTTAGATGTACTTTTTTACAATAATTGATGCTGGTTTTGTTTTGTGATAATAAGCAGCCATATTTGTTCAGGGGTGCATTTCCCAAACACCAACGTAACTTGCGGCTGAACTATAATAGTACGATGCATCATTTGGGAAAAGAACGATGTAGTGACCAGTATTTCTCCAAAAGTTAATAATAATGATGATGATGATTATTATTTTTATCATTATTATTATAGTAGTAGAATATTGTGTATTTAAAATTTTTTTTGAAAAGTCTACTATTACAATTTGACTCATGCAAACCACTGCAGAAATGTTCTAACCAACAGGCCCATGTAATATACAGTACAAATACTTAATAAATAACCTACTATAAATTAAAAGCATTACCGTATGATATGCTTTTGTTCTCACAAGCTTTGGAGACATAACCTAAATTCCGCTTTTAAATAATAGGTCACCTATAGCTTTTGTTATGAGCCATGGCTGTGTTCAAAATGACTATAATGTTTTCAAAGTGTACTACATTGGCAATGTAATTGTAAACATGAAGAACGATATAAACTGATCTGTAAAAATACTTTGAATGCAAATTACACCTAAGAGAGATGACCTTAATTCTTTTAAAAAAATTATTCCATGTTAAAATGTTGGAATGTTCTAAACGAATATGGCATAGGGGGATAACTGTGAATAGAATACAGCCAGGGACTATGTTTCAAACTACAGCTTCAGAGGTGGATTTGCAAGCATACAAGTGTGCAACACAGTTTGTGAATGTTCGTTTGGTTGATGGATTTGGGAAACGGCAAATCAACTAACTATGTTTGTAACGACGCAGCTTGCGACCTTAGTTGGGTAAAAATTGTTTTTGGAAAGGCACCCCAGATTGAGAAATAAGAGTGATTTGTTTAGATGTACTTTTTTTTTTTTTTTACAATATTTGATGCTGCTTTTTTTTTTTTTAACAATAAGCAGCCATAATTGTTCAGATTGGGAAATAACTGATGGTTTAAACTATTGATTCAAGTGTTTAAAATAAATAGACGTGATATTTTTATTAGTTTTTTTTTACCATTTAACATGATAAAAATGGCCATGAAAATCTATTCTGCCTATAAAAAAGTAAATGAAAAGACTAAATCCAGTGACCCTGTTTATGTGATTGCAGCCAAAAGGTTTTCGAAGATATTCTAGCTCCCCTCTGCTGATTCAGGAACAGTTTGGGTGCATCAGGGAGGTTATGCCTATTGGTGAGCAATACCTACATTTTGGTTTGTTGTTCGTTTTTGTGCACTAATGTATAACATTATTAGTTAAATAGTTGTGTTCACTGATATTTTGTGGTTCCTTTTGTGTTTCCTTTTTGTTCTAGCTTGTGGCAGCAAAGTTGACCCAGTGTATGAGACTCTGAGATTTGGAACTTCTCTGGCACAAAAAAACAAGCGAACCAGTGGATCAGAGTCACCACAGAGAAACTCTGTACGGAACACTTGCTTCTTTTTTTATACCTTTAAAATACATATATAAATATATATAGCAATTAATGTGTTTAAGTGCAATATTTACAATCCAGTTAAGAATATTATTAACATAAAAAACTGCAAACATATTTTATTTATGAAATTAAAGCAAAATAAATCCAAAATGACACTTAAAAACAGTTTAGTAAAATAAAACTAACTCTAAATAACATTTATCTAAAAACGCAAAAAGGTTTTTGTGAAGGTTTGATTTAGCAGGTAAGTATTCATAGGCCAATATAAAAACAATAGACTATAAAACAATAGTCTATGGTGGAGGGCCAGAAAGAAATCTGTACAAAAGTTTCTGTGTGTGTGTATTTTTAAAGGAGAGATGTTGTTTGACTGGTCAAGGCTTATCATAGTAAACATGCATCCATCATTTACCTGCAGGCAATTTGCTTCAGTTCAGGCTTTTAAAAAGATTGAAATCTCATTTTAATGTGCGTCTGCTTGGCTGCTCGTGTGGAAACTGAAGTTCTCATGGTAAAAAAATAGTGATGATTATTATGATTAATTCAATAAAACACTCAAAACAATTCAATTTCATCTCCTTGAGCTGCTCTCTGTCTTAATTCACAATCATTATGTCCTCTCTGCATTAGAAGTGCTTCTTTCTTCTATTGGAGGCATTATCACAGGACTGCTGTTTCTGTAAACAGCCTGTTATAAAACTCGAATGTTGCCATCATTATGTTATTTATAGCAACATGTTTGCTCCCTGCCTTTTGCACTCCGTTGTTAATACTTGAGTAGTTTTTTTTTTTATCTGTGTGCATGAACATGTTTATACCACCTAATATTCAGTTACTGCAAGTAAATGGAAATGCAGGAGGCCCAGATGTACTGTTTTACTGTTTGAAACAAACACAGGCAAACATACACCCTGGAAGGAAGTGATGGTCCGCTTCAGATAATGCCTCTCTAAAGCAAATATGACCAAAAAAGGGAGAGAATGAGATGAAAGAAGAAGAACAGGCAGAAAACATAATTTGACAGGGTGAAGTAAATCAACCGTGAAATTATTTGCACAGAAAGATTAAACTATGTGAAATATGATATTCAATAGATGTAAATCTCTAAATAGTAAACAGTCAACGTGAATTTTTTTTGTGTCTGAAATCCATAACAGACACAGTGCTTTGTTAGGACACGTTGTGTTCATATGTGTACATTATGTGAGAGATTCATTTGTGTTTACTCGTTTGTTCAGACCAGTGATGTGGCTCAGGTACCAGAAGAAAAGGCTGCCCACTGCAGTCGAGCTCAACTCATCAGGAAACCCAGTGACAATGGTGAGAATATGTACACACACAAAGAATAGATGCTACTACTACTAAAAATAATGGTAAAAAAATATTTGAGCATTTTTGTTGCATCAAATTCCTAAAAATTAGGATTTAAAATACTAATTTGAATATTAGATTTTTAGTTTTAAAATGAAGCATATTTATTTTTTTGCATTAATGTTTTTTTCACTTATGAAATGTGTTTTGTTATTGTTTTAGAAGCACAATTTGGGGCTCTATTTTAACGATCTAGGCACAAAGTCTAAAGTGCATGGCGCAAAAGCATTAAGGGCATGTTCGAATCCACTTTTGCTCTTTTAAGGACAGAAAAATACGGTATGTGCCCTGGTGCATGGTCTAACAAGGTTGTGCTTATTCTCTTAATGAGTTGTGGGTGTGTTTTGAGCATAATGTGCATCTCACATTCCCTTTAAGAGTCAGACATGGCGCATTTGCTATTTACATGGAAGACTTTGTAAGTGGTAAAACTGAATGCTTCACTAGCAAGAAAACAGTTAAACAGAGCTTCTGCAACGCGAAGATAAAGAATGAAGAATTACTCTACTCCTTTACTTTCGTGGAAAAGGAAACAGTGTTGTACGCATCCATTAGCCTACATATTTAATTTAATTTATTAAGCGCAAAGATTTGTTTCAAAACTATTTCTAAATTCAGTTTGTAATTTCCAGCAAATTAATAAATGAACAATGATAATGAAGTGCGGTCAAAAAGTTATATCCAAATACATGTCCTGTTCTTAAGTCTCAAATGGTCCAAAACCCAACAGGTGGACAAATCTAAACTTGTTTTTATTAAAACAAATAGAAATATGCAAATAATAAATATAACTGTTAATAATAATAACATACAACTGCAAATTGTCATGAAATAAACTGACAAAAGCCCCTCGAGATAAAGAAGGCATGAAAGTAGTGGTTTTTATATTTATGTTGAAAATAGTAAGTTTTGTAATCCTTTAATTGTTTTCAAATGTAAAGATATTTGTGCATTGCTGTACATCTTGTGTGTATAAAACAATGTGTAAGCGTTTGGACCTGCATAGGCGCATAACTAACGCACTCTGTGCTGGAAAAGCTAGACCAGCTTTTTGTTTTCAGTCTATTTGAGTTCCTTAAAATAGCAACGCACCAACAATGCGCCTCAACACTCCCCCTTTATAGACTGGCACACCCATAAGTCTACAAAATGGCGCAAATGGATTTGCTATTTAAACAACACGGTGCAAAATTAGAGTTGCGCTGATCTGAAAATAGAAACAAATCATGCCAAACACGTCTTGCGCCTTATTGCGCCAGGTGTATGACAGGGCCTTTAATGTTAGAAAACTATGCCTCTAAAACTAAACTTGTAAAATTCACCACAACTTCTTGACCACCTAATAGTTTTAATATGCTAATAATTTACTAATTATATATCAATAAAACAAACTATTTATTATTTAGTCACTATTATTTTTTTCTTTACTATTTATTGTCAGAAAACTATGACTAAAATCTAAACAATAATAACTAGTAATATTTGAATAAATCTAATTATTAATTATGTATGTATCTGCTTTTTTCTATTTATTTTTATTTATAAGTTTATTTATAGTATAAGCACTATTTATTGTTCATCTCTTTTCTTATTAGTACTATTTACGCAGCTATGATCAATCTGACCATCAATGATCATCTATCCCACAATGCCCTGTTTAAATACAAACTGAGAGCTTTTAATCAGACTCATTGTCCACACTCATTAATGCTTTAGTTATCATGATACAGCGCTGTTTGTATGGATACATGTTGTATTATTGAAATGAATGGCCTCGATCAGGGTTGCATCCTGTTGATCACAGATTGACCCCAAGTCTGAGTGAATTCATGTGCCCATAGCTGTGTGTGCTGGCACGGAAGACGTATATTTATTCTCTGGTGCCACAGAGATGACCGAGAAATGGCGGTATTTTTGGCTAATCAGTCCAGCACTCTGAACAATGACCCACTACAACTGCATCATTAATTTAGCCTCGTGCAATGATGAGAAAACAAGTGAGGTTTGTTCTGCTGTGAATTACTCATGATCAACAAGTCTAGACTCCAATTACTGTCTTAGCTCATTGATTTTTTTTTCTGTGCTGTGTTTCAGTTTTTATGCCGTTGGAGAATGGAACTGAACATTTTCATGTTGCAGAAAGGAAAGCAGAAGAATCACTCGTGAGCACTTTTTTTACTCAGTTTAGGAATGTTCAAACTTACCCAGACATACCCAAACAGAATTCTGAAGACTTGCTTTGTTTCACACCCATTGTATGGTGTGTCTACATCCGACTAAACCATGGGTATATGAGCAGGGTATCCGCAGGGTCTTAAAAAGTCTTAAATTGACTGAAATATTGTGTTGTAGGTCTTAATTAATTTTAACAAAAGTCTTAATTTTCCTCTGTCCAAGTAAAGCTACCCAATCGGGCAGACATCCATTCAATCACCAACAATCCATCTTAATAAAATCAGGGAAAGAAAACCAAAAACATTTACACAGTTCCTCATGATAATAAAAGAGCAATTTATTACTTTACATTACCTTTCATTCATACAAAAACTATTTATATAGGTAAGGGGGAGTAGACAAAATAATTATAAATAGACATAAAACGTAAAGCTTTATAACAGAAATGCAATAGTTTGAATAGAAGTTATACTCGATCAATTTTCACCAAATGATTTTTGATTATTTATGTAATTGCCTCCACAATAAATATACTTTTAACAAAGTTAAACTTGTCAAATAATGAAAAAGAAATATTATGTTAAAAAAAGTGTATACAACTAGGTGAAGTTTATTTAGGAACTAATTTCAAGAGGATCACGTCCTTATGATTGCTTGCAGCCGGCCCCGCATTATTCAATTAATGATTCACCAATCAGACGATTCCTAAGCCACTATAAATATCCTAAGTTCCATATCACAGCCATCTTCATTTTGAAGAACTCCCCCTTCCACCCCTACTCCTCCTCCTTTCCTGGATGGGTGGCACGGTGGCCCAGTGGTTAGTACTGTTGCCTCACATGCAAGAACGTCACTGGTTCTAGTCCTTACCAAGCCAGCTGACGTTTCTGTGCGGAGATTACAAGTTCTTTCCAGGCTCACATGTCTTTCCCCTGGGTTCCCCGGTTTCCTTCCACCGTCCAAAATCATGCAACTTAAGTTAATTGACTAATCCAAATCGGCACCATAGACATGCTCTTAGTAAGTAGTTATCTCTTAAGATCAATCCCTATCTGTTCATTGGCTACTACAGCAGGGGAGTTCTCGATATCTCCCTGCGCTCAAACTCCCCTCTCGCCTTGCAAACGGGAGGGAGCCCCGAGTTGAGGATCTAATGAGCTCAGGGCTCTCTCCCAGGACAGCATGCCAAACAAGCTTTACAATCAATTATCAGCTAAGTGTGAACTCTTGAAAAAAATTTTTTTTGACACATTAAAGTATGTCGCTAAAAAATATTTTGTGATAAAAAAAAAATCCATTGCCCCAACCAGGCCATTAGAAATAATCAATAGAGTTTAGCCCGGTATAAATTAAAAATTTTATTCATAAAGGTCTTAAAAGGGTCTTAAAAAGGCTTAAATTTGACCTGATGAAACCTGCACAAACTCTCTATGAGGGGTGTACACCAGGGTTGTGTTTTATAACCCTGAGTAAAAAGTGGTGCTAATCATGCTTCTAAATTCATTCTTTTTCATTCAGCTTAGTTCTCTATTTATCAGGGGTCGCCAGAGCAGAATAAACCGGCAACTATTCCAGCATATGTTTTACCAGCCTGATCTCACAGGAAAACATACGTGTTTTATGTTTTGTTAGTTTAGTGGTTAATTCGTACGAATTCGTATAAGTTCAGCCGTACGAAAAAGATAAGATTCTAAAGAGGAGGCGTGGCACCCACCCCACCCCTAAACTCAAACATCATTGGATGATGAGCAAATCATACTAAATTGTATGAATTAGATCCATGGAATTCATCCAAATTAGCCCCTAAATCAAAAAGTTCCAAATTGCCGTGGGATGGTTGTACACAGTGGATGCCCTCGCTTCTTAATTACAAATGTAAAATGTTACTTTAACTGAGGCTTAAAATTGTGCTTAAATTGATTGTTGAATTGCAACAATTCTCCTTTCCTAGATAGATTGCTATTTGTTTACTTGTGTAAATGTGTGTAAATTTATAGTTATTCAGTTTTTAAATTAATTTCAGTAATATTATTGACTAATATGAAAATATTAATATGATTTATTTAAAATACAGTTTGTAAAGTAATATTTTCTGTCTTTTAATAGATATATTATATCAGAGACTTGCTTTGTTTACCAAATAAGTGGATCTAATTGAATTTGCATTGTAAACATTAAATAAAAATTTTAAAGCTATCTTTTTTTATTTAAATATATAAAGTTATAGGTATGATACTCCCAAAATCATTTCACATAAATCCACAGATTTTTAATAAAATTCTCTTAAAATATCACAAAATGTCCGCAGATTCTGTCTGTCCCTACTTTATGAGTTATCAAATTAAACAGTAAGATAATTACGTGGATCATTGTTTGCATTTTCGGGGACAGTTTTTTATTTGATGCTTTCATTTAGCAAGAATACTTATAAACGACAGTTATTTAACAGACATTTTCATTGATACAAAAGATTTATCAAGTTTAATAAGTTTCAATTCATTAAACAATCGTATTTTCCACAACTGTTTTCAAGCTTGATAATAATAGGAAATGCTTCTTGAGCATAAAATCAGCATATCTGAATGGTTTCTGAAAGATTGTGTGACAAAAAGCAAAACTAAGAAAAAGAAGCACAACTCAGCCTTTATAGGAAACAAACATTGATATAATTGAACTCCTGACTCAAATCCGTAAAGCTCTGGGTTTTAGAGCTTTACTGAGCCCTGGTCTACAGTGGTTTCTCATCTAGAAAATCAACCTATTTTCCAAAGTCTCTGCTGTTAGCACAAGTGCTTGAGACACAGAGGTCATGAAATTTCAGTCAGAGGAAAATTACACTTTTTATAATAAAGCTCAGTCAATGTAATAATTGTGTGTGTGTGTGTGTATCTCTCTTTTTTCTGTCTTTTTTTGATGTTGAAACGATACAGTCTGCCGCACTTATTAAACTCATGTGCCTGTGTCAGGATCTAATCACAATCTGAACTATTCTGAGGCAAGTTGAGTGTATGTGCGGCTGCTTGTATGCACAATTTCCCTAGAGCTAATGGAAAAATCCAAATTTATGTAACGCCTCTCCCACCTTAGCCAATGTCTGCAGACCAGTAATATCTGGATTCTGAAATCAATTCTTGTTTAGCCACACTATTTCCTAAATAATAATATCTTCTTTTTAGGGTTATATATATATATATATATATATATATATATATATATATATATATATAATTTTTTAGCCTATAATTATTTTGTTTCCAATAGTGTTTTCCTCTTTATATCTCTGTATATGTAGTCAGAAAGGGAGCTGAAGAGAGACCCCTTGCTGCTAAATACCTATGTGGCTTTGTTTGGATTCACAGCCCAAGACAACCAAGATCTAGAAATGAGGTAAGTGTAAATAACACACACACACACACACACACATACACACACACACACACATACACACACACATACACACACACATACACACACAGTCACTCATCCAGTGCTTAGTTATTGTCTCAGTTAATTTGAGTCTTCACACCTGTATCATGTGAAAATTTGTGATCTCCCCCATTTCCTGCTTACTATATTATCATCAGGAGATGCAGTTAGTTTTCAGGAGGAGGTTGTTGGCCTTTTGCTGGATCATTAGCTTAAGATTTCTTTGTATGCACAATACATTGTGTGCTTAGTAATGGAAATGTGCATGTAGCATATGTGCATAACTAGCAGTATAAGAATTAAAGGTGTGATAAATTACTAATTCAATCATTTATTTTTCTTCGGCTTAGTCTTTTTATTCATCAGGGGTCGACAGAGCAGAATGAACCTCCAACTTATCCAGCATATGTTTTATACAGCAGATGCCCTTCCAGCTGCAACCCAGTACTGGGAAACATCCATACACACTCATCTACACACACATACACTAGGGAGAATTTAGTTTATTTAATTCACCCACGCCAACACAGGAGAACATGCAAACTCCACACAGAAATGACAACTGACCCAGCTTGGACTCGAACCAGCGACCTTCTAACCACTGGCCCTAGCCCTAAATGACTAATCCTTTTATTAAATGTAAAGAATCATGGCAGAACAGAGCATAAGCTTTGTATACTTCAGTCTATATGAATGTACTCACTAACAGTCAAGATGATTCGTTGGTCCTGGATGAGCCTGTCCTATTAGTTTTAGCGTTATCTAGGAATGACATATTTGTTGTGAATCAGAATCAAGTATTGTAGAGAGCCATGCAAAAAGCCACTCTAGAATAAACATAAATTTTCTTGTGAGAAAAGTTGTAAAAGTTTTAGCTTTCAAGTTCTTTCTTAAAATATGTGATTAGTTTTTTATGTAAACATTTTTTTTCAGTGAACTTTGTTTTTTAGCGAGGTTACTAAGGTGCATTTTTGCAGTGGATTAAGGCAAGAAGGCAGAGTTTCTATTTAGAAAGTGCCCCTACGTTGCTAAAACACTCACTTTTTCATAATAGAAATTACACCATCACATTATTTATCACAGTGTCTGAAAGAGTTCATTCAAAAATGTGTTTTTTGGTCAAAGTCCCTCTTCTTAGAGAGTCTGCTCTGCTCAAATTGATCAGATGACAGTCTTTTGTGATTGGTCTACTACTTGCATTGTGTGCTGGATACCAAACATTATGCACAATAACAGGGATGTCAGTTTCCTTATCAGTTCAGGTATGTCTTCATTTTTTGGAAGTGTTTGCAAAATAGCTTTGTTTTCCCAGCACAGAAAACAGCCATTATGTTGGCAAAACCAAGGTTACTTGTGTTTGTGTACTGCAAAAAAAATATTTTCTTACTTATATTTTTTTTTGTCTTGTTTCTAGTCCAAATATCTAAAAGTTCTCAAATCAAGAAGCATTTTCTAGACAAGCAAAACATATTGTCTTGTTTTAAGAAATAATATGCCAAAATAAAGTGAGTTTTTCCTTAAATCAAGCTAAATGCCAATGGGGTAAGCAAAATAATCTTATCACAAATCGAAAAACTAGATTATTTTGCTTACCCCATTGGCAGATTATTTTGCTTGATTTAAGGAAAAACTTGTTTCATTTTGGCATATTATTTTTTAAAATAAGACATAATGTTTTGCTTGTCTAGAAAATGCTTCTTGATTTGAGAACTTTAAGATATTTGGACTAGAAGCAAGACAAAAAATCTAAGTAAGAAAAGCATTTTTTGCCTAGGTAGATTTTCACAGGCATCCAATATAGACCATAGATTGAAATTGAGCAGATTTATTTAAAAAACAATTAAGATTTGTGCAGAAAGTAAATCTGCAATTACTGACAGCATGTTTAAGACAGTTCAAAATCAGTTCATGGGGAAGGTAACTCAATTTATTGCACTTTTTATGTCAATTGGAGCATAATAGGAGCACTTTAATAGTAACTTTCTTAATAATAATAATAAATTAAATTGAATTATGCAATCTTTCCTGCTGTATAAGCTACTTAGGTTCTTAAACTGTATGAACCTGGAGTTTCAGTGCTAGAAAGAAATGATAAATCTTTAAATTTGTGGATTCAGCAGAGGTTAAACTCACACAGTTTGACCTGGTACTTTGAATATGACTGCTGTGTTATTTTTCTCCCCAGACTTATTCTGATTGCATTGCACATCCATTTGTCTTTACAATTACTCCCCCAGTAGTAATTTCAGGTCTGGTTCTCAGAAGCTCTCCGGGAGGCATATGCATGTGCAGGTTCATTCTGGCCTTGTGATATATCATGAAGCTATTGCAGAGTTTCAGAACAGCCTCATCAAAGCTTTCAACCCAATTCCAAAAATAATTTCTAACTGTTGAGAGGGGGGATGCAGGTTCCTAATGTGTTACTCTCTCCCTGTAGACCCGGAGATCGAATAGTCCTGGCAGATGATTCCAACGACGATTGGTGGAAGGTGAAGTCATGATTGATTTGAATTTTATTTGATTGTTTGTTTCAAAAAAGACATGGATGAATCATTCTGCATTACTAGAAAGAAAGTTTAAAAAGTTCATTTTAAATTTACAATATTTTTTACAGTACAGTATATTTAAAATAAGATCAGTGTTGCTCAAAAAGTCTTTCTGCAAAGACTTTTTTATCAAAAGCATATAAAAGTGAAGCTATTCCAAGACTTTTGAAGGGTACTTTAAATTACAAATTCAGTAAAAGAAATATAATGCAGACTAACTATGTTTCGTACACTTTTCGCTATTAAGCGCACTCAAATGACCTCTCCTCCGTCATTGAAAGCCAGATAAGCATGTTTGCGTGATCATTCTCTAGGAGAATACCTATTGCACAATCCAAATTTTGATTGATGTATTTTGCACCAGTAGTTTTTTCGAGAAAAGAGGGAAAAAGTACTGCCTCAGCAAGTGTACAGAAGTGTTAACGGTGTTCCGTACAGGATTAAAATAGTGTTTTGTACAGAGCGCATAACTTTATTTCACCAGCAAAAATGGACATTTTTTAAGTCTTATTAGAAACCAACATCAGAATATACTATTAATGTGTTTAACTTATAGATTGTGATATTTAATAACTTTTTATAAAAGTTTGAAATAAAATAACTTTACAATCATTTGATTTTCAGATCATGTTTATTTTATCATCCACAATATAAATTTAAATATTGCCCCCAAAGCATTTATTCAACAAAACATCATCTATAAAACAATTTGTGATAACATGATACCAATTAGATAAAGACTGTAATACTGTGTGATGCATAAACTAAATGCAAGTGCATATTGTCGTTGCTCAAAATATCTCCCCTCCCATGCGACGCTCGCCCTTTGCTTGCCCACTGTCAATTGGATTAGGTGGACGTACTTACTGAATTTTCTCAGAAACATTTGGTAGAAAGGTCTCTGCTGTGCTCAGGGGTGAAAGAGTGAGAAACAAGATTACAAAGATATACTGTTGAAGTCAGAATTATGAGCCCCCCTTTTTTTCTTTTTAAAATATTTTTCAAATGATGTTTAACAGAGCAAGGAAATGTTCACAGTATGTCTGATAATATGTGTTTCTTCTGGAGAAAGTCTTATTTGTTTTATCTTGACTAGAATAAAAGCAGTTTTTAATTTTTTTTAAAAACCATTTTAAGGTCAAAATTATTAACCTCTTTAAGCTAATGTTTTCAATCGTCTACAGAACCAACCATCGTTATACAATAACTTGCCTAATTACCCTAACCTGTCTAGTTAACCTAATTAACCTAGTTAAGTCTTTAAATGTCTGTATAGAAGTGTATCTAAATAAACGAAAATATCTAGCAAAATATTGTTTACTGTCATCATAGCAAAGATAAAATAAACCAGTTATTAGAAATGAGTTATTAAAACTATTATGTTTAGAAATGTGTTGAAGAAATCTTCTCTCCGTTAAACAGAAATTGAGGGAAAAAATAAACAGGGAGGCTAATAATTCAGTGGGGCTAATAATTCTGACTTCAACTGTATAGCTTGTCTACGGCCTGTAAGGATTTATTCAGAGATATGTGTTGAAAGGTAATCTGTACGGAACGTTGTTGCGTACAGAACATGGTAAGTCTACGTTATAGGTTTTTGTTTTTAGTGCTGCAATGCAGTTTGTAACGTAGTTTGCTTGGTTGGTTCCTTTTAAGTATTTTAACTTTGAATACAAAAATCTATTGCTGAACTAAAATGAAGGAATGAGTCCAAAAGCAGAAAATACGAAAACCATTTTCAGTGCTCTTGTCCATGAAATTATATATTAATGAAGACTGAAGCTTTCAGGCTTTAAAAAGACACAAAAGCACCATTAAAAAATCATTAAAGTGGTCTGTATGAATCTTACACCCTATGTGTGCTATATTCCAGTCCAAAAATTCAACTCTGAAAAGTAGTTTTGTTGTTATTTTAAAATACTTTTTTTTTAATCAACTGTTTAGTTTATTGTGCATTTCTATGAGTTAATTTGCCCTGTGTATGTTGCTAACAATTTCAGGGTGTGATTGAAGATAGAATTGGATTTTTCCCAGCAGCCTTTGCACATCAAGTGACGTCAAGTGACAGGGTGTTCAGGTGTAACCGAACCTTTATTGGCTGTAAGGAGCAAGGACAGATCACCCTAAAAGAGGGACAAGTGAGTACATGTGAGCAATGTTATCAGTCTAAACATTTCTAACCACAAACAGCACAATTAAACTGCTTTATGATCATGATTTCAGATTTGTGTGAGCGGTGAAAACGAACACAATGGCTTCATCAGAGTAGCCAGTGGGAAAAAGAGAGGATATGTGCCCTGTGACGTCCTGGAGAATATATGAGGTTCAAAGAACACTCAATGGTAAAGTAAAAGAGACATTTCAAAACGATGGCTCCACCACTGCCTCAAGAACCTGGAGGGCTCTCAGGAGGGGCCGGGAGACCCTCACTGACACAAAATGAATGTACAGTGACCCGGAAGAGTATTTGGATATTTAAAAATGTATGCATTTCATTTATTAAAATAACAAAACCATTAAATCTTCTGCAAACAAATAAAGCCAGAGCTTTTCTCAGAACTAATTTCACTAAACTTAAGTTTTGGCCCCGTTTACACTTGATGTTCAACCAAATATCTTGTCATTGTTTGCTCACCCCCAACTTGTTCCAAACTTGTTTGAGTTTCTTTTTTCTGAAGGAAGTTATTTGGAAGAATTATGGAAGCCAAGACAAATGACTTCCATATGATTTCTTTCATCTATTTCAATGCAGATTTTGGAATATTCTATTAAAAATGCTTAACTTTTGAACCAACTTTTGAAAATGCACATAAAAAGTTATGTGCCCAAATACAGCATGTGCATCAAAAAGCCCATGTGATTCTGTTTTATCAGATCTTGTGATAACACAAATTGGTGCAAATGGACAAACCAGCAGACTGACCCTATTATAAAACACAAAACTGTTGGCGCCAATAGCCTGACATAGCACTGAGGTGCTTACAGCAGCGTGATTTCAGTTCCCAGCTCAAGATCTTTTGCCAATCCTTCCCGTCTCTCTGCTCCCCACACTTTTCTATAATCTCCACTGTCCTGTCCAATAAAAGGTGAAACATAGCTGAAAAATAATAATAAAAATAAATCTTGGTCTTGGTTTTGGTCTCGGCCTCTCTAAAATGCCTTAGTTAAAGTCATCAAAAAGTTATTTAGTGTTATCACTACGCCCAGACAGAATCTGTAGACATCTATGTGTAATGATTTTGGAAGTATTGTAACTAAAACCTTAATATACGAAATAAAAAATAATACCTATTTTACTTTTATTTCATGTTTACAATGTAAATCCAATTAGATCTACTCATTTGGTAAACAAAGCAAGTCTCTCAAATAATATACCTACTAAAAGACTGAAAATTTACAAATACATTTTCTTTACATTTTCATATTAGTCAATAATATTGCTGAAATTAACTTAAAACTGAATAATTTGCTCACATTTACACAAGTAAATAAATAGACTTAATGATGGGCTAAAAATGTGTGGAAATTGTGCAGATTCCATGCAGGCCTAGTCATTATCTTCCAGAACTGTCTGCTCAGCCGAAAGAGAACTATCACATCTCCAAAAGTCATGATGTGTTCATTGCATTTCATCGACATCTTCTGAGGCAAGTAATTTCTTATATAAAAAAGCCCCACAGTGGCTTCTCCTACCACAAATTTTTATATTTGCAGCATGTTTATCAGCAAGTGATGGTTTTATTCACAAATGTTTTATGCGTTATTTCATTTTTGTGCATAAATCTAATTTGCATATTTGGAAGAAAACAGCCAATGGCTACATGTTTTACCATTTCAGGATTTTTTTACATTATTCTTATTTGTGTTTAACTGAAGAAAGAAACTTAAACAGGTTTGGAACAAGTGAAGGGAGTAAATAATTACTTTTTTTTGGGGGTGAACTGTTACTTTAAGGTGCATGGCTGTTGTTTGAGGAATTACACCAAATGTTATTGATTTGTATTAGAATCAGCAATGATTAGAGAGTGTTATGTTTTTTATTTTTTTGATTCTAGATTTACACTCAGATGACAAAGTTGGTTTTGAAAAAACACTTTAATGGATAACATCTGGATTTTCAATGTCTGCGTATTGGGCTGTCTTGATATTTCAAACATATGTCATCTGTACCGATTATCTTTTTATTAATAAGATATTTTATTTTAGGACAAAGAAACATTTTCACATTTGAATTTTGATTATTGAAGGCTGCATGAAGCAGGGAAATGTTTTTGCTGCACTATAATAGTAAGGATATTTAAATGGATGTTTAATTTATTTGAGTCTAGTCACGGAGGTATAGACATCATGTATTGTCTGGTTAAAAGGATACATAATCTCTGTCTCTTGATAAGATTTTTAAAAAATATGTATAATTTAACTCATTTGGTCTTTTGATAATGTTTTCATTTGAGCGAAATGAAGCTACAGCATCATGCTTTGTATATACTTTATGTACAGAATTAAAATTTATTTATTGATTTAATTGTGATGTGCTTTTGTGTGTCAATAAGTCTACATCACATTTATTTTTTCAGATAGACATGATGTGAGGTGTGACGTTAAAAGACTTCTTTTAAGAGCATCATTGCTGATTAAAAATGTAACTATGACTTTTAATTTTCCAGAACTTTGTTCCAGTGTTGTGAATTACTTACAAAAAAGTCAGTAATCTACAGTGTTAGCCTGTTACTGTTTACGAATTACATGATCAAATCACGCTTATTGTGATTTTAGTGTAGGAATATTTTACAGTTTAATCCAAAAATGACCATCTGTCAGATGAGGAAGAGCTGGAGTCAGAGATTCAAATAAATAAATCAAGTTTACTAAAGATAGTTTCAGTCTCATCAGCAGAAGCCAGCTTCAACCCTCGCAATGAGATCGTAGACTGCTCTGCTTACAATTATAAGTCAATAACAATTATACTCTCACATAACATTATTAACTGCCTCATACATATAGGTGTTTTAACCTGACTGCTTAAAACACAGATAGACTAGGAAAAGTTTAATGTGGGTGCGTACATACAATTGTGAACAATATCTCAAACATATAAACATCAGACATCCACTAGACTGTTTAGAGCTGACCTCGGACCTGTTAAAAGGATCCAAAATTGAATAGAACACACACACTCAAAGTACAATCTGTTTCTTACCCAAGGCTGACTGTACTTTCAGCCGTCTTTATCAAACCTGGTTAAAAACTGGTAAAAATCTACATTCAGCCAGTTATATTCTCACTACACAAAGTTTATATGAATAAACAAGAAAATCACTTTAAACAGAATTGGCACATAATATTAATATCAAAATCCCTTTAGACAGTATTCACACATAGCACTACAAACAGGAAAACAGTTCTTTTCAATCATCAAGTCCTTCAGTTCCACTTAAGGTCTCCAAGACCTCTGACCTGGTTTGGTGGCTCCTACAAATAAAGTAACAAAGAGACAGGCAAATGCACTGAACATTCTTATATTAAAGAATGTGTTAACTTTATTCATTAGTCATAATCATTTAAAGATTGAATACTGATTAAAAAATCATATTAATAAAGTAATGAGAAAAAGGATAAACCATGATCCATGCTGGACGGATTGGAAGGCAGAAATCTGAATACATCACTAGAAAACTTATCTTAAGTCATTTTAAGACTACCTTTGAATTAATTTAAACTACTTCTGATATAACCTAATTATTTTATGGTTTAAAAAAAAAAACATTCAGAGGTATGAATTGCAAATGAGTTGACAAGACATTTACATGGCCAACTTTTACGATCATTTATGAAAAAAGTAACTCATTTTATTCTTATTCTTATGCTTTCAAATGAATATTGTAACAGAAATAACATTAGTCTCATAAGGCAAAAATAGTTGATTTTTTATATAGCAGTTACTAATTCTTTTTTGTTTTAATGAATTATAAATGTCTCCCGAGACCTTAATATTTTGCTTCAGAATCACTACTGTGCAGGCATCAAATGACAACATCAGTGCAAAGATGTCAGCGGCTATATCTTTAAAGCTTAATTCCCTAAACCTTTCTACTAAATCCTTTTTTTTGTCAACAAAATAAATAAAACCATACAGAAAGATTCTAAGAATCCACCCATGTTAAAATTTCAATAATAACCACTGGGTCTGTCTGTATTTGACCAAAGAACACTCAGATTTTAGGTTGCGTTAATATTACTGTTTTGCAGGCTTTTTCTTGTTTTATGCTCATTCAGACATACCGCGTCATTAGACATTAATATTAGGTTAGATTTAGGTCACCAGCATCTAAGGTCAACGTTATTTTGATGTCCAATAATGATGTGAAATGATGTTAATATTTGGTTGGTTTAAGACCAGAATTCAATGTCGAATCAACATCTTAAACCAACGTCATATTGACATAAAATAATGACATTTATTGGTCAGTTATTGCAACCGTTGCCATCCAATGTCTGATAGACGTCATATTTGTAACGTCCACACAGCATCAAGCTGCAAAATCATTATACGTTGATATTTTGTTGTTTTTAGGTTGCGTTGGAAAGAAACCGAAATGCAACCTGATGTTTGACATTGACATCAGCCTGACATTGGGTTCTGACGTCAACCAATTTCCATTTCCAAACAAAATGCATCGTTCTACAATGTTGGGGAACAACCTAAGATTATAGTACACAAGATGCGTCACTCGTATAATTTTCAATGGGGAAGAGTGTAATGGTTATCATGGTGAATGAAGCCCCGCCCTCTAGTGCAGAAGCCAATCAGCGATCGCTATAGACTGACCAGTCTCTGGGAGAGGGGCTCCAACCAGATGGAAATTTCTGCAGATTTTGTGTGGTTCCAACATTTAAAAATGAAACTAAAGATACAGTTGTTTGATTTTATTATGGATTCCGAATTCAAAATTGAATTGTAATTTAATCGTTTGATGTTTTCCCATTCAAACAGAAGGCCTGAGCATACTGCCTGAGATGGCCGCCGAGCGAAATGACTTGCCTTGAAGCATAGGTCTTAAACTCAATTCCTGGAGGGCCGCAGCTCTACACAGTTGTGCTCCAACCCTAATAAAACACAGCTCATCTAGTTGTGTCTAGTACTCTGGAATGTCTTGATTAGTTGGATCATCTGTGTTTAATTAGGGTTGGAGCAAAACTGTGCAGAGCTGCGGCCCTCCAGGAATTAAGTTTGAGACCTATGCCTTAAAAGGACTTTGGTACAATGTCAATATGATGTCTAGTTTAAGTCCAGTGTGTGCAGAAAATGAGCACAAGAAAAAGCCTGCAAAACATTACAGTAATATTAATACACCCTAAAATTGTGGTGTTCTTTGGTCCAATACAGACAGACCATAATATATTGAATTTTTATTTAACCCAATGTTTGGGTTTGTCCATATTATTACCATATTTGAGTCCTAACAACAAAGCATTTTTATATGATCATTTTCATTGACAACAGGACTTAAATAAATACTTTTACAGGATTTTAAATAAATGAATCAATTATTTTACAGTCTTTCATAAATAATAATATCCAAATGCACATATGAATGCATAAGGAAATAAGAGTGCTGAATGCTTGTTTGATAACTGCAGGTACACGTTCAGCATCATTACTTGATGAGAGACGCTGTCCTGTCTGATGCCTGCAGGAGGAACTGACTAAATGAGCCGAGAGCAGACATTGTTCATCTCTGACTCCGTTTCGCCATCGTCCTGTTCTTTGTCACTGCCGTCAGCGAGTCTGAAGTGAATCTGGTAATAGAGTTGGTCTCCTTAATTAGTTTGATCAGATGCCTGGAAAGGCCTGAGCTGCTGCTGTTCACCCAGCAAAACACAGCGGTCATTAGCACACGACTGGCAGAAGAAGAAGAAATCTCTCTGGAACCACTGGTGCTCTTCAAAACAATGCAGCGTTCAGGTACATTTACATAACTGTGACACTTCACACCATCTCTTTCCATCTCTTTCTCCACACCGAATATAAATTCTCTGAGGCGTATTTGGTTGAATTGTCTACAAACCAAGGGAAAAAAAAACGAAATAAATGACGACAGAGATTGAAACATTATTAAAATCCCCTAAGGCTGCTTTTTTTTTTTTTTTTTTGATGGAGAGAATACAGAATAATCAAGTCATTCATGCTTTCAAGAGAATATTATCAGTGTAAAAAGGACTGAAAAATCATACTCAAATACCATTTCTTGGCAAGTTGAGTAAAAGTATGTGTTGTGAATAAATACTACTCAATATATGAGTAAAAAGTAGCCCTTTTAAAAGTACGCAATAGTAGCGAGTATTACGATGTGAAAGGTTGTTGTGTTTGCATGCTATTTGTGCATTTGTCTGTGAAAACATAACCTTTTGTACAAAATGTAGTAATTGTTTAAAGCAATCTGGTGATTTTAGTCCTCATACATCTTCATCATCATCTTCTAGGGCAGGGGTGGCCAATCCTGTTCCTGGAGATCTTCCTTCCTGCAGATTTCAGTTGCAACCCTTATCAAACACATCTGTCTGTAATTATCAAGTGGATTTCAGGTCCTAATTAATTGGTTCAGGTGGATTTGATCAGGGTAGGAACTAAACTGTGCAGGAATGTAGATCTCCAGGAACAGGATTGAGCACCAATGTTCTAGGGTACCTAAATTTCGTATGAAGGGCCAAAAACCGAATATAATTGAAAGCTGTGGGCCAAAAATACATATACCAAACAGTTTTACAATAAAGTTGCCATGGGTAATTTCATTAATTAATTTCATTATTAATTCATTATAATTTTTCATAATATTACAAAAAATAAGTAGAAAACTTTACTTTGAATTGTATTAACTAATGCAGTATACCTTTTTTAATAATAACTTATTGCAATAAAAACATATTTATTATTATATTAAATATTATTATTATTATATTTTATATTGTAAAATTCATATTTATAACACAGTGGAGTTTAATGCTGAACAACACTAGTCAAGCAGAAGCTGTCTTAAATAGTATCTAGATGCAGCCTTTATGATGCAAGCTGAGACTGCATCACTCAGCGATGCAATGTCAGACACAATGCACTCAATGGAGTGAGTGACGTCACTGTGACGGGTTGGGTTAGGGGTGGGGTTAGGTGAGTGCATTAAAAATCATTGGATGCAGCTCAGATTGCACTGGACCAGGTCTACATCCAGACCCCTCTAACTGTCTTTGCCTTGATTTACTCACCAAAGTCTCTGCATTTTCCTCTATCTGTCGTGTGCACATTTTAAACTAAATCTGATTCATTTACACCATTTAAATTGAAATGTTTAATTTCAGATAGCTTTTTTTTCTTAGCTTAACAATAAAATAAATAAAAGGTTACATTAATTTAAATGGGTGACAAGGTTTCACAGTGGGTAGCATGTTTACCTAACAGCAAGAAGGTCGCTGGTTCGAGCCTCTGCTGGGTAAGTTGGCGTTTCTGTCTGGAGTTTGCATGTTCACCCACAGTTCGCGTGGGTTTCTGAGTGCTCCGGTTTCCCTCACAAGTCCAAAGGCATGTGCTATAGGTGAATTGGCTGAGCTAAATTTCAGTGGTGTATGATCTTGAAACCATTATCAGATGAGATGGCCCGCAGGTCCTAGTTTGGGCATCTTTAACCTAAACAGTCAGTATTTGCATGTAATGGGACACTTGGACACTTTCAATGGTTCCACACTGTACATGTTTGCTGCATATAAAATCTAATTTAAAATTAAAATTTGTAATGCTCAACTTAATTTGTTTGTTTAAATTCAGCCCAAATAAGTAGTTTGCAACCACTTAGTTTCAAAAAATGTGTAAATCCAACAAATAATTTTTTTTGCTGCATGTGTCTTGAGATCCTTCTGTATGATGTGATTTTTCCATGCATATTGGATGGGAATCACGGGACTGATTACTCTACTAAGCCAATCCAATATAAGTGAATTTTATATATAAACTAAATTCAAGAGGATCACATGCTTATGATTGTTCACGGCTGGTCCCGCATCAGCTCACAATTGATTCACCAAACAGATGATTCCTAACTCACTACAATTAACCAGAGTTTTCTTATCTCAGTATCTTCGTCTTGAAGTAGCAAGGATGATGCAATCCTGGATTTACATCTGTGTTGATCCTGGAACATCATTTTTGTCGAAAAATGTAATTCATACCTATTATCTACCCCTAAACACAACCATAACTGTCAATTATTCCCAATATCAGAGGGAAATAATAGTCGGATAACAATCATGTAGAAGTGCATAAACCTAACTGTAAGCCTAAACATAAATGGGAAACGTATATCCCTTAATTCTGATTGGCTGATTGGAATGTTGTTCCAGGGTCAACATAGATGTTAATCCAGGAACATGTCTTACTTAGTGAAATCATGTTGGTGGTAAAGTAAAAGTACACATAAAATTACTAAATTATTCCTGAGAAAAACTACTCAATTACAGTAATTTGAGTATTTGTAATTTGTTACATTGCACCACTGAATATTATCCGACTATAACCACTGAATTTCTTTGTATTTTTTAATATTTTTTATTTCCTACAGTTTCATCAAAATTTCATCTTTTTCTTCAACAGAAAAATAACTCTTTGGCACCACTTGAGTGAGTCTATTTTCATTTTTTTGGGTGGACTTGTGAACATTTTTTCGCAAAAGTCATGAAGTGTGAATTCATACCTTTCACAGTTTTTGGTGTGCGTGAAATAAGCTGACAGTAGTATTGCATGTCAACATTTTGTATGTCAGCAAATGTAACGTCCGCTCTAATTAGGAAATACAAATATAATTGTTGGCCAAAATAACAGGCAGGCAGTTTACTAGATTGTTTATTGCAGACGGTGACACAAAGATGACAAAAATAGCACTTGTTTTCCTTTTGGGGTCTCTGCTGTTCTGTTCAGGTGAGATTCACTCTAATATTTATTGAAATAAACACCTAATAAAGGACTTAAAGTATTCTGTTTTTTTCATGGTTAGTTTTCAAAATATTTCATATTTGAGCACTCAGATTAATTAAGTGCAAAAATGTTTTGGCAATTTTAAAATAATGTGTGATTTGACTGGATCAAAACAAGTCTTTTGTTGCACTGCTTAATATTTTGGAATAGACAAAAATACATTGCATGGGTCAGAATTTTTTTTTTTTTTTTTTGTAATAAAGTATTGTTTAAAGACCATAATCCACTGAGATATTTTGTTCTGTAAATCTGTCAAAATATTTTTTTAAGTAATAGGCATTGCTATATTTAAAATCTTAGATTTTTTTAAGTATTACATTTTTTATTCTCAGATTTCATATTTTCAACTAGTTGTATCTTGGCCAAATATAGTCCTATTAATTTCCCAGTTATTCTCAATTTCCAATTCCCATTGACACTTATGACTGATTTTGAAATCCAGAGTCACATGAAATATTTTTGCAATGTCAATAAATTAAATAATTGCTCTGTCAGTTGCTGTATACAGAACCACTCCGTATACAGTTGTTTTACATGCGAGTTGTCATATCTATTTGTGTTCCAAAGTTTTACCCTATTTTGTGATTTCTTTAAGGTGTTTCAGATGTTCAGATGGAAATCTTGCAGCAATCGGACCTTCTGGATGTGCAGGGGTTGAAAATCGATGATTATGACAACAAAATGGTAAAAAAAGTTATCATCTTCACATATTTAACAAATGAAACTGCTAAACACTCTTTTCTTGCCCAACATTTCAGCTTCTGTGTTTATTTCTCCCTCAGCTTGCCATTTGTGTTATTTGTAAATATGTCATGAGGAAAGTAATAGTCGGTGTTGGAAAAACTGTTTCTAAGGTTTGTAAAACATATTTGTCTGCTAAACTCATTATATAGTCAGTGTTTTTCCTTGACCTTGATTTATTGTTGTCTCTGTGCAGGACGAGGTCAATCGGCAGCTTAATACGATCTGTAGAAAAATAAGAATACCCGGATGTAGAAACTTTGTGCGAAAATATAGAAATAAACTGATCAATGATCTGCTCGCTGGTGCCCGAGCCCACACCATCTGTGTTCACCTGAAACTGTGCAAAAATATGTAACTGTGTGAATGTTCAAGCATGATTTGTAATTGACCATTTTTTTGTCATTTCCTCATCTTATCATTTGTTAACCTTTATAATTTGTAACTTTGAAACCTGTAAGTTAAACATTTGATCAAAATAAAGGTAAATCAACAGGCAGTTTTTTTTTTGTTTAGTTTTCTTGTGATAATCATGATGAGTGTCTTCTGCAGGTGATTATTACAGCTTTATAACTCAGGAATTTATTCTTGTGCTTTGTCACATGATCCTCAATAATCATTAATTTATTCAGTCCTTTTTCTAAAGCTTAGTCTCTTATTTATCAGGGGTCGCCACAGCGGAATGAACTGCCAACTATTCCAGCATATGTTTTACAGAATGGATGCCCTTCTAGCTGAAACCCAGTACTGGGAAACAACCATACACTCTCACATTTACACACATATGGCCAATTTAGTTTATTTAATTCACATATACTGAATGTCTTTGGACTGTGAAGGAAACAGGAGGAAACTCACATAAAATTAGGGAGAACTTGCAAACTCCACACAGAAATGCCAACCAGCTCGAACCAGTGACCTACTTTCAGTTAGGCAACGCAGCAGTGCTAGCCACTGAGCCACCATCCTGCTCTACTCAATAATCTTTTTTTTTATTGTTATAAAAGTAAGGGCAGTTTTGTTGTTTAAAATCTTTACAGGAACATTTTTGAGGTGTACAAAGTTCAAAACAATTAACAGTATTACTTCAAAAATTTTTTGTAATATTTCAAATGCAATTTAATTATTCAAATGTAAATGCTTTTGTAAATAAAAGTGGTTTGAAGAAAACAAACATGAACGATTTCATTTTTTTCATACATGTTTATATTATTTTTGTTAGACGTTAACACCACATTTAAAGTTCAGAAATGTTAGGAAATTAGTATTTTAAAAAATTTATATTTTGAAGGCAACACAGTGACTCAGTGGTTAGCACTGTCGCCTTACAGAGAGAAGGTTGCTGGTTAAAGACCTGGCTGGATCAGTTGGCATTTCTGTGTGGAGATTGCTTGTTTTACCCATGTTTGTGTATGTTTCCTCCAGGTGCTCCGATTTTCCCCAAAGTCCAAAGACATGCACTATAGGAAAATTGCATTAACTAAAATGGCTGTAGTATTTGTGTGTGTGTGTGTATGAATGAGTGTGTATGGATGTTTCCCAGAACAGGGTTGCAGCTGAAAGGGCATGCGCTGCATAAAACATATGCTGGATAAGTTGGTGGTTCATTCCGCTGTTTGTCCCCTGATGAATAAATGGACTAAGCCGAAGGAAAATGAATGAATGAATGGTATCTTGGAAAATTCCCTTTTTTCTCTATAAATTCACACTAAAATTCATTGAAAATCATTGAAAAAGACTAAGTATTAAATGAATTAAAATAGTCTGTGTTCATTTACTTTTCATATTTGATCAGTCAGATCAATCACAAAAATGTTTTAACAATTAAAATATAATATGTGATTTGGATCTCTATCTGAAAATAAAGAATAAGTGAAGTTTATTCATAAACTAATTTCGAGAGGATCACGTGCTTATGATTTATCACGTCCAGTCTCGCATTTGCTAATCACTAATCTTCCAATCATATGAGCCCTAAGGCACCATAAATAGTCTAAGTTTTCAGTTCACTTTATCTTCGTTTGGAAGAAACCCCCCTCCTCCCCTATTCTCCTCCTTTACCTGCAATTGGGCGGCACGGCGGTCCAGTGGTTAGCACTGTGAACCACACAGCAAGAATACTGCCGGTCCTAGTTCGATAGGACCGGTGAGTGTTTCTGTGGGGAGTTTGTATGTCCTTCCTGTGTCCGCGTGGGTTTTCCCCGGGTTCTCCGGTTTCCTCCCACCATCCAAAGACATTCAACACACTTAAACAATCAAGCTTGTCTAATTCCTTACGTTCCCTTAGCTACAGCGGCAGGGGAGTTCTGAGATCCACCGAGCTCAGGCTCCCTTCTTGCTCTGCCAACGGGAGGAAGCCCCGGGCTCGAGGAGCCCTTGAGCTCGGGGCTCTCTCCCGGGACAGCATGCCAAATAAGCTTTGTAAATCATCAGCTAAGTGTGAACTCTTGAAATGCTTTTAAAAATGAAAATATTTTTACACCTTTACAGAAAAAAACAAATAATCCACAGTAAATTGAAAAATTCTGAAAAAAAGACACTTTAATGACAAAACCAGGGGAAGATGTTGTTCCAAAAAATAATAATATTACAAATACATTCAGAGCAGCATTCATTCCTCCTTATGCCATGTCTATAACATTTATGGCCAGTCCAGCTGGAAAACTCAAGTTAGATTTATCTAAGCTCAAATCTCAGGTAAAGGAGTTTCTTTGCTTAAAATATAACTTCAGATGTCTTTCATATATCTAAAGTTATATTCACATTGATGTTTGTGTAATTCCCAGCATGTAAAGTTAAATACATTTTAAAGAAACACTTATTGAAACAGTGTTTAGTAACACCTTTGCTTTGATCTTTGTTGTTTTAAATGAATTGTATGTTATATATTTACTGTACTGGTTTCTGTAGTTATGGTTCAGTCTGTTCAGTTTGTAAGTTTGTCTATATTTAGTCGAGGTATTGGTGTCTACAGTTTAGTGGAAATTTGTCTTTTTATTTGGTCTCAGTATTGTTCCTATTGTTTTAGTTTAATGATATTCTCTCTTGTTTTGGTATTGGTTTTGATTATAATTAGTTGTAAATTTGTCTTTATTTGTTGGACTCCATAAAGAATTGCCACCACCTATGAGATCCAAATACACAATAAAGTCAAAGTAACCGTTTAGCACTGTGGTATATTTTCACTTTCTTTCAGCTATTTTACAGGACATGAGTAAACAGTTTAACACACCAGACCAAAAAAAAAAAAAAAAAACAGTTAACACTGCAAAAAAAAAGAAAAAAAAAACTGACCATGAAGTTTTCAGTGCACAGTATAGCTATTTTTCTATTATTTTTTCTGTGTGTGCATATGGATTTTTTTTTTTTATCTTAACCAGGGTAATCTGACGAAATGTTTTCTGTAATTAATTTTCTTCTTCTGATCTCTTGCTCAGGTAAGATAACAGCAACTAAATTTTCCAATCCGTCGATTGCATATCTAAAATGAAGTAACGATTTCATTACTTTCTTTACTTGGAAAGCCCTTGCAAACATTGAAAATGAAGCTCCCGAGATGCCTTCACAGCTCGAAAGTCTACACAGTTTGATGGGCAACTATGGAAAGCACTTAGCGGTATGGACAACACACACGTTCATTCAGACTCTTTCACTTCTTCAACTGAAAATTGTTATTCTCTGTTTTTAACCTAATTTCCGATTCAGAAAGTGCGGCCGAACATCATCTTCTGCTGTATCTGTCAAGAAGCTGTACGTCGAGCAAAGCAAACAATATATCAAAAGATGCAAGAGGTAACTTTCTAATGTTTTGAAGCCAAGTGTTACTGGAGATAAGTAGCCTATTTGAGTCAATCTAAACAAGTTATTGACACTTTGATATGAACAAATTGAAATGAGAAGAAAGATTCATTGGACTCATCACAGTTTTCTGAATGAAACTACAAAGTATAAAAATTACATAATTGATTAAAACATTTATTTACAGTTTAAGACAATATTATTAGCCCACCTTTGATATTTTTATCATTTTCAGATACATCCCAATTGCGGCAATAACCTATTTCTTGGAACTCATTTTCTTTGCCAGCATGATGACAGTACTTATATTTATTACGTATAATATTTTACTAATTTTATTTTTTATTTTTTGCAAAATAGTATTTATCGTAAAGTGCCATTTAAAGGCTTAACTTGGTTTAAAATATAGGGTAGCTATAGTTATGCTGGTTTTAAAACAATAAATTTAAATGTCACTTTAAGCTGTATAGAAGTGTCTTGAAAAATATCAAGTCAAATATTATTTACTGTCATCATGACAAAGATAAAAGAAATCATCGTGTATATACATCGGGTATATCTGAAAAAGATTAAAAAATTTTTTTTTTGTCTATATTAAACTGTATTATGTGTTTTATTTATTCAGTGAAGCATACTAATGCTTTATTTCCATTTTAAATTAGAGACTTCATCAATGTCAATGTATTTATTGGACAGCTTGTGTCACTATTTGTTTAAATTTGATTTGTTTTGAAGAAAGAATTTACCAAGCAATTTTTTTTAAATAGAAATGACATTTAATTTTTAGCTTAAAAATGCAAACAATAAAAATGAAAAGAAAGAAAAAACTATTTCCCCAAACAAAAAGTCTGTCTACATTCTCTATATTGTATTGAATCATAAAGTCCTTTGTGTTTCTGTTTATTATTATCATTATTATTATTATTTTGTTATTTTATTCATTTATTTATTTATTTATTTATTTTTACAGAAGATACACAAAGTCTGTTCCATGTACATACCAGTTTTTCAAAAGAAATGTCTTCAGCGAGCAGGCCGACTTCGAGACCGTATAATGCACACAATCTTCCCTGGCGGCGGTCCGAGAGGAACTTGCTCCAAGATAAAGCTTTGCTCTTAACAACTCACTGTGACTGTGCACTGTCCAATGGGTACATTTACATTGACTAGCTAAATTAGCATCTCTTTTTACAATATAGCAAAGCTGCTTTTCATGATTTGATTGCAAAAAGTATGTAGCCTATGCAGTAAAGTGCTTGTTGATATTTGTTCACTTCCATGTGTGTTTGTATTTGAATTGCATATATCATTCCATTGATTGACTGAGGTTTGAGGATGCTTTCATCTTTGCGTTTTAGAAAATCAATCAAACATGCAGAAACTAGATTTTCTTGTTGCGTGGCCTTTGCTATTCTATAGGCAATGGATATAAAAGCTCTGTAATGGAGGCTCTTTTTCCAGGACACACTCCTATCGACACCTGCAGAAACTGGAGGTTCTGCGACAACAAAAAACATTTTGACTATTTTAAGAGTTACATCCAGTAAGAAATGTGATAGACTGATGTTTATTCTGTAACTATGTTATGTTTTATGTCATCTGCAAGTTTAAAATTCTAATCATTTTCATGTGTTTTTCATGATTTTTTTGTGATGGTCATTAAAGACCAGTTGCTCTCTCATTAAAGTTGTCATCTGTCCATTAAAGGCATACTAACGCTGATGATTTATACACTTCAGACATGTATGAGTTTCTTTCTTCTGTTAAACATAAAAGAAGATATTTCGAAGAATGGGGTAACCAGAAATGTACAATGTTTTTGGATCAAATCAATTTAAACATCAGCTCTTTTATTTAGAAACAAAACATATAGTTTGAGCCCCATTAAACTATCATTAAAAGAGATATTGAATGAAATGCAAATAGGTGTAAAATGTGCATAAATGTCTTCTTTTTTTAAGACAAAAAAATATTTTTTAATTTTACATTTAAAGTCCTAGAGGATTTTAGCTGTTGTGTTATTCCTCTCCATATGCACAAGACACTTTCCTACAAACACTTCATTACAACACTGTAAAACCCAGCAGTCAATTTTATCAAATGAAATGGGTGTATTAACTCAAAAATTACTGAGAGTGAATTCTACTCATTTGAAAAGAGTTTTGAAATCAGAGTTGAAGGTAATGAGTTAATAAAATACCTCATTACTTCAACTTACATGGAGTAAGTTCATGGTACTCGTATAGATTAGTTTTTTTTTAACTCAAATGGTTTGAGTTGCCTTAATAGGTTTTACAGTACTCATGTTGGTTTGAAGTTCTCTTCATTTATAGGGTTTTGGTTTGCTTAAATTGCTTCATTTATTCAAATGGATTAAGTTCACAGTACTCATAGTTTTTTTAACTTAAATGGTTTGTTGCAATTGGTTTCCTTTAAATAATTTGAGTTACCTTAACTTTTTACAGCGAAGGACACAATAATATAAACAAAGATTAAACTGCTAAACTAACTTAGACTTGTCATATATTGCTGCTCTCTGGTGATTTTAAGTGCTTCTTTTATTCTTATTAAGTTGCTTTGGATAAAAATAATGTCTGCTAAATGAATAAATGGGAATATAAAATAAACCTGAAAAAGCCTACATGAAAATTCTTTCACTGAGCCATATTTTCACAGAGCTTTCGCGATGAGGGTTCAACTGACTTCACTTCACACTTATGTTTAACAGCTTCATACAGTATATCCTCACATCAGCAAACCCACAGAGAAAAGGCAGTTGTCGGAGTGCACTGATACTTTAAAATACAAATAACAGAAAATAACAATTGCCAAGCAATGTATCTCACCATTATCATTGGATCCTTCATGATTCTCTTAGGTAAGATACTGGACAAACAATATTAACTTGTGTGATTTGTTCAACCTTGAGCAATATGTTTTGTTGTATTGTTAAATTTATATTTCATGCAGCTGCTGCTGCTGAGAGACAATTTGAGATGAAACAAGCCGTCACCATTCAGGACAACAAGAAAGATGTGTGCAATCCTTCCAAGGTAATGAAATGAGATTTAACTGAAGGAATGTTTTCATCCCTCAACCTTTAACACGTATTATGTACAACCTAAAGCTTTACTGTGTTTGGAGGACATGTGAGTATTATACCAAGGGTCTCACTGATAGACACCCCTTAATTCATTCTCTCTTTCTAGGATGCCATAAAATGCTGTATATGTTTGGAAGCCATAAACCAATATTTACCCCAGATAATTGCTCAGGTTAACCAGGTAAATGTTTCTGTTTTTCTCTGTTCAAAGCACAGACCAATACTTATGCATTTATACTATTAGTTAAACAGTAAATAAAGTAGTACATTCAGAGAAATGTATTGGACAAAAATATTTTTATTGTTGTTCATTTACTGTGATGTAAGTTGATTTTTTATACAGTTATTTTAATATTTTTCTCCTCACCCAGAAAATCAGAGCTGCATGCAATGTCAACAGGTTTCTGAGGAAACTATGTTTAAAGATCGCCACAAAGATAAAAATGAAAGTTTTAAGAAAATTTTTCCCAAGAGGTCCTCTACAATTCTGCAAGAGGTATAAAATGTGCAAGTAAAAGACAACTGTAAACAGTCCATTAAAACATCAACTCTTTAAGTAGGATTGTTTACTTGTTTGTTTTGGTAAAAGCATGAGATGAAAATGCCTCCCCTGGTTTCTGTAAACTTCATTATACACTGGACAAATCCTTAGATCAGAAAATGCATTCAGTCAAAAATGCTTTTAAAATGTTCTGAAAGATGTATGTTTATCATGTTTTGGAAGATTTTGTTTTTGTTGTTTCTCATTTACTGCTCATTAAAAATCTAATCATTTTTATGTGAAGACATTTGTTTCTGTCAATAAAGTTGTCATATCTCCCTTAAAAATAAAAACTCTGCCATAATGTACTCCTCGTTTTTCTTCAGTTGAAAATAAAATATATATGTTGAAAAATGAAGATAACAGCTGATGTTCTAGAAAAATAAATAAAAATACACTCAAAAATTTTTATTTTTTGCTCATCAAAGTACTTCTTTTTAAATAAGCTGAAACAACACAATTCAATAACATTTTTCATGTCCAATCCACACAATTTGTAAAAAAGTGTTGCCTTAATTTGTTAATTTAAGTTAACTTAATTTGTGTTGGGACAACATGAATGAATTGTGTGGAACCCTGCATTTTTTAGTGTACAGTGGAGGTCAAAATTATTAGCCTTAAATTATTTAAAACTTAAATTATCAGGTAATTGAAATATTTTGTCAATAGATCCTTTCTTTTGGGGAGGCACAGTGGCTCAATGGTTAGCACTGTCACCTCATAGCAAGAAGGTCGCTGGTTGGGTCAGTTGGTATTTTTGTATGGAGTTTGCACATTCTCCGCATGTTCATGTGGGTTTCCTCCGGGTGCTCCGGTTTCACCCACAGTCCAAAGACATATACAACAATACAGGTGGATTGAATCACCCGCTTCAAATGTTATCACTTCAATTGAATGGGTGTTATCAGTGGTTATTAGCTAGTAGGTTTTTTTTTGCGCCTATAGACTCGGAAAGTTTTTCTCATAATTAATCAGCTATACTGATAGAGAAGGCTCCAGATACGGTTCTGTTTTTATAGTACTGTGGCTGTTAAGTTTAGGGTTGGGGGGTAGACGTTAAAAAAATACATTTAATGGGAAATTTAATTAATATTATAATTAACTTTTGTTAATTCTTGTGATTTATAGCTGATTAATCATGTGGATGGATGATAACAACCTTCTGAGCCTACCAGTAGGCGCAGAAGGCTTCTACTGGTCCATATCCATCAGCTGATAACCACTGATAACGCCCAATCAATCGAGTAAAAACATTTGAATATGCAGATTAAATATACTAAATTGGCCATATATGGTGTGTGTGTGTGTGTGTGTGTGTGTGTGCGTGCGTGCGTGCGTGCGTGCGTGTGCATGTGCGTGTCCGGGTTTTCCACTACTGGGTTGTGGCTGGAAGGGAATTCACTGCAATAGACATTAAGGCGAAAGTAAATGAGTGAATGATAATTTATTTTGTATTTGCAATATATATATATATATTTTTTTTTTCTATTTGCAAGATATAGTATTCTGCTAAAAGTGCAAGTTAAAGACTTAACTAGGTTATGTTAATTAGACAAGTTGATTGGAAAACAGTGGTTTGTTCTGTTCTGTTAGATTTTTTAAAGGGGCTAATAATATTGACATTGTTTAAAACAAAGTAAAACTGCCTTGATTCCAGACAATCTAAAAGAACTAAGACTTTACCCAGAAGAAATAATATTAGGAAATACTGTAAAAATGTCCTTGGCCTGATAAATATCATATGAGAGATATTTGAAAAAGAAAAAATAATTCATTGTAATTTAAAGTACAAGTGAAAGTAAATATTTTTATAAATTAACACAAAACACTGGGCTATATTTGTAGTTAAGAGAGTAAGGGGAAGGTTTGACTGACTTCACACTTACTTTTCACAGCTTTCTCTTCGATCTCATCAGCAAAACAGCAAAAGTAAAAAAAAAAAAATCGATGTTAGAGCTTAAGCAATATTCAAATGACAAAAAATAAGGAGCAATGTATCTCACCTGTATCGTTGGATCCTTCATCATTCTCTTTGGTAAGATATTTACTGTTTGGTGCACAATGTTTACTTGTAATCTCTGTCAAACAATATTTCATGTATGAAGTTATATTTCATGCAGCTGCTGCTGAAAGACAAAATGAGATGAAACAAGCTGTCACCATTCAGGACAACAATAATGATGTGTGCAATCCTTCCAAGGTAATGAAATGAGATTTAACTGTGAAAATATTTCCCATCTCTCAATCTTTAAACACATATCATGTACTGTTAGGAGGACATTAGAATTCACTTGTACAACCTTATTTTTATTTGCATCTCATTTTAATTTCTTTTTCTAGGATGTCATAAAATGCTGTATATGTTTGAAAATGATACAAAAATATATACCCATGATAAATGCTGTAATCGACCAGGTAAATCATTCCTTTTTATCATCTTTGTTCTAAGAACAACCCAATATCTGTGCATTATTTTAATTATTTATTCAAAAAGTGCAATCATATAATATATAAAATCCTTGGAATTATCATTGTGTTCCGTTAAATTACAGTCACAGGTCAGGTATTTACATTATTTTTACTATAATGTAAGTTAATAAAATCATAAACATATTTGTCTTGGTTTCCTCAAACAGAAAATCCAAATCATTTGCCGTGGCAACTTAATTTTTAGGAAAGCATGTAGAACGGGCATCGAGAAGGTCAAAAATAAGGTCATCAAAGGATTTTTCCCAGGAGGCCCTCTGAAATCCTGCAGGAAGTATAAACTGTGCAGGTGAAAGACGGATCAATCAAATATCAGCTCTTTACAGACGATTGTTTACTTGTTTGTTTTGCCAAAACTGCTATGTAATAAAAAATGTAAAGCAACAAACAGCACTTAGTTCATTCTATTTTTTAATAAAATACAGAAAAAAATTAAGCAGATGATCTCTGAATTAAAACATACTGATGGTTATAAAGCCAATTAATGTACACTATTTTATTTATTTCATCATTTACTGATGTAGAATTTGTATTAGCTTACGTTGTTAAACATCCAAAGTTCTAGGATTTGTTCACATTGTCCCAACAAAAATAGATTAAGCTAACTTAACTGTTTTTGCTAATTTCAGTGGATTTAACATTCATTCATTCATTTTCTTGTCAGCTTAGTCCCTTTATTGATCCGGGGTCACCACAGTGGAATGAACCGCCAACTTATCCAGCAAGTTTTTACACAGCAGACAATTTAGCCTACCCAATTCACCTGTGCCACATGTCTTTAGACTGTGGGGGAAACCAGAGCACCCGGAGGAAACCCACACGAAGGCAGGGAGAACATGCAAACTCCACACAGAAACGCCAACTGGGCCGAGGTTCGAACCAGCGTCCCAGCGACCGTTTTGCTGTGAGGCGACAGCACTACCACTGCCTCGCCTGGAGTTAACATATATTTTTTAATTAACACAGAGGTTTCAACTCATTTTAAATAAGTAGTTTGAACAAGCAGCAGAAGTCATTTTTGGGTGTAGATTCAATATCTCTAGCTGAGCGGAGACAGTCAGAGTAGAAAATGCTGACAGAAGCTCCACCAAAACATGCTTGACACATTTGGTCCACAGTGGTTTTGGTGGCCCGAACATCAGCACTTCAAAAGTCACGCGTAGACATTTGTTATCCTCAACGGTATTCATAGCTGCATGTGAGAGAAGAGAAGAAGCACAGATAAACACAGGAGAGACAGAGAGTCACTTTGACAGAAAATCACATAAAAATTCATTTAAAAAATCAGACCCCTTTGGCAGTTCGATTTGAAGAATCATGTCACCTGTTGTTCATTTTGGATTGCTTATGGCATGCTCAGGTGAGACCAAAAGCATAAACAAAGCTCTTTTGTGTACTTATTAGAATTATAATAATCAAATTCAGCGCATATATGTGGTCTGTTTTTGTCTTTCAGTTCTTGTTGGGTGTAGCAGTGTTGCTAACAAGGAAAAATGGATGAATCTTCTTGAGAGAAATGAGATGAAGTTTCCTGAAGAAGTCAAAAAGAGTGATGGAGTACAAATAGAGGTAAACCGAAGCACAATGTACTGTGATTCAATAAAACGGACATAAAGTTACTGATACTTCATGTATTTATTATCTTCTGAAGTCTGAGAATGTCATTGCCTGCTGGGTTTGCAAGAAGTCCGTTCATCAGCTCAAGGGTTTGGTTCTTCATGAGATTAATAAGGTGATCTTTTCTAAACTTAAATTGTATGTTTTACTTAAAAACGCTGACACAATCATTAATTAAATATGTTTTCATTTCAGGAAATAAAGGCTGTGTGTAAAGCAATGAAAGTCTTCAACCATATCTGCAAGCAACAGGCATATAAATACCAGCTCTTTGTACTTCATCTGCTGTTTCCTCATAATAGCAGTCAAACCTGTCAGCATTTGAAGATGTGTAAATAAATGTGTTTGATCTGCTGTGAATAAACATGGTAAATCTTTGATAATGTTTTGAATAAATTAAAATTATTAATTAAAATATGTGTGTGCTTAATGCCTTGACAATTTTGTTTTTAATATAAAGTGTGCATTGTTACTTCTGTAGTGTAACTTTTGTGAAATCTTAAGTCAAAGATTCAATAAATTGTTGGTTTAGAACCTTTCCTGCTTCTCATGTCTGATAATACTTGAGTCTCATTTGGTCGTCCTGTTTTTAGTCAGCTAAATTATTAAACTATTTTTATCTACATGTACTATTAATGTTTATATTGATGTAAGTGTTCTGACCAGTGATTGAGGAATATTTGAACACGTGACTGCTGACATGATACTCACGCGCTACCTGCCCAAGGGTGAGCGGGACATCCAATTTGAAATACCTAAAATTATGATTTTGTTGTAATTAACGTTTAGAAATATTATCATCATTATTATACACATCGGCTAAAATTACATCCCACCTACTCCAGTGGTTAATTTAAACGCACCCGCCGTGAGCGCGTCGCACCATGTCATTCCTGAGCGGCGGGTTTTTAAACTGAGGTAAATGGGTTTACCGGTAAAAAAAACTCGATTAAATGGGCATATAAATTATCATACCTCGTACAATTAAGCATATAAACATTCGTGGTTACATTTTAGTCAGGGTGGAGCGTCGGGAGACAAGTTTTTATCTTGATATAAGTTGTTTAGTCAAAGAAACTATGCTAAATGTATCGAGGAGATTATAAACATGCGGGAATACGCATAACGTTTGCATTGCGATGTTTAATAGTTATAATACATGTACACGCAGGGGCAATTCTGAAACTCCGGCTGATTTGATCATTGAGACATGATTAAATTGAGTCTACCGTGGCTCGAAACAGCCCCGTCTGGAGCCGCTCACAGTCTGCAGATCCGGCGAGGTCCACGGAAAACAAGGCCGGGCTCGGCGGGTCGGAACTCGGCAGACTCATCGCAGCAGCCGCGCACAAAGACACCCGGGCCGACTCTGCTAATCCAGAGACAAGAGATGGCCGCCTTCTTCAGACTGTTCGGTGGGTTCAGCAAAGCAGCTGCCAGTGATACTCATTAAACTAAATGTCACTTGATGTGCCCTAGGATAGTAAACAGTTTTATACCTAGGTCAATTGAAAATTGCCAATGTAAAAATGCAATTCTGTAGAACTAAACTGTGTTCTCAGATGATGATCTAATACAGGACTTTCTGTGGATGGACTGCTGCTGCAAACTTACTGACAAGGTATGGTATGGGACGTTCTACCAGAAACATACATTATCTGTCCCTGAAATAAAAACATAAATACAGTTAATTAAAATGTATTTCATCAAAAAAAAAATATCTGAAATGGACTGATGGTTGATTTTTGAATTGTTAAAGGACTTTTGGTTCTCAGATTTTTTTTTTCTTTATTAAAAACACTTTACGCTGTACAAACCCTGTCAATGTCCGTGTCCTCAGCCTAACTGAACCTACAGCTTTAATAGTTTTGTTAAGCTAAAAACTGTTATTTAAAAAAACTTCAGAAATAGCAAGTTTAAGTTGTTTTCATTTACATCAATTAATTAAATACAGGAAATTATAAATAAATTCTACAAGTAAATACTACAAACATATAATCCAAATAAATGTACAATTGCCCCCATGTGTCTGTCAGTCCTGTCACATTTGCATTAAATTTAACATAAATGGCGTGCAATACACCTTTAAAGTGACATCATTTGATGGAGAAGCTGACAGTCATCAAGGATGAGTTCAATCATTGAATTGTAAGATTTTATTCTTGTTTTGTATGATTTTTTTGAGGACAACAAGTTTTAAGGCCGTGTCACATTTTTTATAATTGAAAACGTACGCTTCTGGAATAATGTCCCAAATATGTGTGTTCTTTTAATATTTAGTGGTTTCTGAATAGTGCTAGGTTTTGTTTTTGAACTGAGGGCAGTATCTGTCTTTGTCTTTTGCAGTATTTGTTGGCAATGACATTTGTGTACTTCAGGAGGGCTCGCTTCAGTATCGGTGAACACAGCAGAATAAACTTCTTTCTTGCTCTGTAAGTTTAAGTTTAAGCAGAGGATTTTAAAATTTGGACAGGGGACCTACATGTCAGTAAAACACAAAAGTAAATCTAAAATAAAATAGAAAATGCAAATATTAACAGGGTATCTGCGGGGTCTTAATGTCTTAAATTTCAAAAACAAAGTTTTATGCCTTGAAGTCCTAAATTTACTGAAATTTTGTGTTGTAGGTCATAATTGTCCTTTGTCCATGTAATGCTTCTCAATCAGGCCAACACCTATCCAGTCAAACATTTCATCTCAATAAAAGTTTTAACAAGTTTGTTTATCATTTTTATTCACCAACATGGCTTGATTATTTTCCTTACAATAACATTTTAATTTTTCAACTGTGCCATTAGAAAAAATCCTTAGCATTTAGTCTAGAATTTCATCCTAAACGTCTTACATTTGACATGTGTCAAAATGAAATAAGAATTAGTGTGGATTAAAATGGATATTAAATAATCTAGTAGTTTATTTAATTGATAGAATAATAGAGAAATAATTTATTGATATTTAAATAAATAAATAAATAAATGACAACATATGTGAATAATATTAAGTAAAATTAGATTTTAATAAAGAGGTCAATAGAGGTCTGTGACACCTAAAGGATCGGAAGCCCCTGATTAGTGGACATTTTCTACATTTAAAAAGATATATAGAAATGGCGGTTGCCAGAAAATGTACATTCAATTTATATGAAAAACACACACAAATAAAATACCAGCAATGTGTCATATTTTTATAAATTAACATTTGAATACATTTTTCATATAGTGCAGGGCAAAGATTAATTGCAATTAATTGCATCTAAAATACAGATTACTATTGTATTGTGTATATTTATGTATGTGTAAATATACAAAAACACATACCTGAATATATTTAAGAAAAGTTTAAATTATATCTGTTTAGATGTAAAATATACATATATATATATATATATATATATATATATATATATATATATATATATATATATATATAAATTTAAATATCCATGTAAATATTTTTCTTTTGTGCAGTTTTGTTTTATGCAAGTGCATGTATTATATATAAATAATAAATATGTATACTAACAAACTTTTAGTTTGGATGCGATTAATCATGATTATTCTTAGCCCAACACACATTTTATATTTAAATCATCTTTTTATTTTATTTATTTGTATATATTTGCATTAACAATGTGTAGAATTGTATCTGGCCTTATAGAGTTTTAGGTTCTTCAACAGAACTGCCATATATTATTATTATAAGAGGAGCCGTCCTATTTATAAAAACAAACTTAATTCCAAGAGTCCAAGTGCTCAATTTTTCATACTCTAGCTATCTGGCAAACACTATGGAAGAGGATGAGGAGGAGACCAAATATGAGATCTTCCCCTGGGCTTTGGGAAAGAGCTGGAGGAAACATTTCCCACGATTCCTGAAGCAAAGAGACCAACTGTGGGCACGTATTGAGTACAGAGCTGCTGTCAGCAGACGATGCTGTGAGGAGGTATGAGGCTCTTTAACCTGCATAGTAAAATATTTTAAAAGATTCAAAAATAGCTCTCCATCATTGTGTGCTTTATGCATGGTTGCAGGTGATGGCTATTGTGCCGTCTCACTTCGTCTGGCAGCGGGAGCGTGCAGAGCATCACAGTGGAGCCCAGAGACTCCAGCAAAACCGCGAAGAGATCCTTGTTCCTCGTGGACCCGCTGCTTCTCCAGAACCTTGCTTTCTGTGTGCCAAAACTTCTGCCCTTCCTGTGCCTCGGCCATCCTCTGCTGGACCCCGCTCTTCATCGGCACCCCTGGAGAGAAAAGCTTCACACAGAGCCAGCAAGACGACCAAAGCCCAGCACACCTGCAAATACAAGCCTATTGCAGGTGAATAAGTGCATGGCGCCCTCTAGTCGTGGTACAGCAGCACTGCTGGTCCTGTTTACATCTATTGAAATTAGGGCTGAAAAATATTGGGGAATAAAATACACTGCCATATTTTGTTTTCCTGATATATATATATATATATATATATATATATATATATATATATATATATATATATATATATATATATATATATATATATTTTTTTTTTTTTTTTCACTAGATGATTTAATTTGCTCCTTTTGAAAATAATTTATAATTTTACATTGATTGAGAGGATTTTGTAAGGTATATAATGAAATATATATATATATATATATATATATATATATATATATATATATATATATAATTTTTTTTTTTTTTTTTTTTTTTTTTTTACAGTCATATATAAATGCAATTGAAAAAAGATACAAATGCAATAACCAGTTCTTTGTGGTCTTCTAAAGAGTCTGACAGTATTGAGGTATGAAAAATCAATTCTCAAATGTCAAATAGCACTGTATAGTCTTCATTGTATAAATAAATACAATTAGGCCCTGTCCCCAAAGCAATGTATTTAGTTCAATCCTCACAGCTTTAATATTGTTTCAGTGTTTCAGCAACACAACACTGCCATTGTTGGTGCCCTCAAACTAAGTTTTTGGATAACAGGTAATAGAGTGGAAAATCTCAAAATGCCATCCTGTACGTAATTGTGTTGATAGTCAAATTGCATGATGCAGTCACTGGACCACGTTACCAGAAGGAGGAATCCCACATGTAAGCAGTAATAACCATGGTGAAATACAGATCTGCGTCTGTGTTGCAGGCACTGCTAAGTTTATTAGCATTATAACAACAAACGTGCTAATGCTATCAACTAGACCCAGCATAGATGCTGTTACATGTGTCAGATATTTTTAGATATGCTTGCATTCGCGATAATCTTGTGTTTATGTCTATACTAGGCATTCTGAAAAAATAATTCATGCGCATGCTCCTGATTGTAGTGTATCATAGGGCTCTGTCTGTGTATTTATTTATTTTTTTAATAGTTTCACATACGATTTATTACACTGGTTTATCCCAGTTTTCCCATTTCCATTTGGAAGCAGACATTTCTTGAAAGGATATGTATAATAACTATAGACTGTAAAAAAGTATGAACGCAAAACCTTTTTCTGCATAGCCTTAATCTTTGTTAAAGCTACAGATATTAATTTGTAGTACCCAAATGGCTTAAATTAACTCGAAATCTTATGGTCACAGGCTTTAAAACACATTTAAATTAAAAACTCTTTTAGGGTCCGACTTTGCAATGTCTCTACAAATCACAAGTTTTTGGCATTGCATGTCCTGTGATCACTGCAGATTCACACATTGTGATGCTGATGTTCCAATAATATATTGTGCAGCCCTAATTGAGATGCATTTTTTTTTGTCAAACCAATCACAAGTGAGAGCTAGTTGACTAGATTGATTTCAGTAGTGTAGTTAAAATTCACCATCTTATATGATTTAGTTTGAGTTTGGTTTGAAGGCAAAACGTGTAAATGGCATGATGTTAAATACAAACCCTTAGAACACAGGTGTCAAACTCCGTTCCAAAAGGGCCGCAGCTCTGCACAGTTTAGTTCCAACCCTAATTAAACACACCTGATCAAATTAATTGAGTTCTTCAGGCTTGTTTGAAACCTACAGGTAAGTGTGTTGGAGCAGGGTTGGAACTAAACAGTGCAGGGCTTCGGCCCTCCAGGAATTGAGTTTGAAACCCCTGCCTTAGAGTGAAAGATAAAGGGTTAAAAGAGTGATCCAATTGATTAAAAAGCTTAACATGTATAAACAGGACCACTGTTTTCACAATAGCAGCATCTTGACCACCACAGCTAACATATTTGCCATGATCTGTGCCAGTCACTCTGTACAAATATTTACAATTGGCTTTTCTTTTATGGATATTTACAGGAAGTGATGTGGTCAACGAAATGTGTCATGATCACTCGATGGACTGGATCAATGAGGAGTAGCTCCATCATCAGGCAGATCATATACTGTATGCTCTGTTGCCTCTCAAAATGACCTTGTACACCATTGGGGATTAGAGCTACAGTCATATTGTTGTTCAGATTAGATCTAAAAAAACATGTCAGTCAATCCTCTCAATGTGTGAAAGTATGAACATGCACTGTATCATAATCCTTACCGCTAACAATTTCTTATTATTGTACAATGTATTTCTCTAATATGCACTTTGTGATTGTTAAAGTCTTGGACGAAAGTGGGAATGAAATGTTTGGGTGTTAAAACATTGATGAAATAAGTATAACATTTGGCTGATAATATGAATAAACACTGATAATTTATTCCATCAACAGAGATTAAGATTCTTTGGCTTAAATACAAAAGTAAAAAAAATGTACAAAACAATTTAGCTAAATTTTTATTGTAGGCAAGATACAGTAGCTCTGTTGTTGTGATGAACACATTAGGCGTGTGAAACATCTATTTCAGGATCTTTCGTAATTTCACAAGGAAAGCTGAAACAGAAAAACATTTGATTAGGTTGCTCAAAAAAAAAAAAATTAGTCATGCAGCACAATCACACACTAAATATAATTTATTTTAAACATACATATCTGATTATACAATTAAATAGCTGTAACTCACCTGTATGACCAACCTGCTCAGGATGCGGACGTGCAATGTACTGGACATCTCCAAACGGCACTGCATCTTGACTATTCAAAACCTCTACAACACAGACAGGTTAGTGTGTGTGTGTGTGTGTGTGTGTTTTAACTAATGATTTGAGCTAATTTATGAAGTAAAACATATGTAACCAATCTAAAAAAAAAAAAAGAGGAAAGACGTTATAAAATTCACCTTCTGTTTTTAAACTTGGTTCATCCTGATCACCATTTTCATATGGAGCTTTTCGCTTATTGAATGTTCCATCTTTTTTGAGTGATGGGACAACTAGCCAATCCCTGTGCTGAACCTCAGTTATGCATTCACAAACCAGAGGAAGCGCAGAGCATCGCAGTGCTTCTAACAGATCAATGACCTGTGTGATGCTGTGAAAACAATTAGAAAATATATAGTTATATATATACACAGCTGTTCAAAATATACATTTAAAAAAAGAGAAATATGTGATCTCGTTCAGTTGGTAAATACTAATTTAATCAAGAGTAATAGTAAAATGTACAATGAATGTAAAGAAAAAAATGTTTTATTTTCAATAAATGCTAAGTAAGTTGAGGTTATTCGGAGACATCACCAAAAATGTATCATTTTAATCAACAAGTAGGTTATTGAATTTATAAAAAGGGTAATAATCATAAAAGAAACAATGATTGCATGCGGGCCATTCGTAGGTTTGAGGTTATTAAGAGTTTTTTAATACTTTTATTTGGAAATGAAGGATCGAGGTGATCAAAAGTGACAGTAAAGGTTTTTATGCTGTTACATGCTAATGTGCAAAAATATATCAAATAAACTTTCTAACGAGAAGCATGGTTTCACAAAAATGTTAGGACAGTATATAACTAATGGCAGTGGTGGGAGGCGTGCGTAGGCACAAGGCCGCAGACAGAGTGCCTTAGTGTACCACCAGTGACCATATACAGCCATATGGTACTGCTATGACTGATATTGTGTTTCTACAACAGTTCAACGGCATAATCGTGTATATAAAAAAGAAAATCAAACACAGAGTCTAAAAATCCTTTTGTATGAAGAACTTTCTTCCATTTCTTGACATCTGCAGCTGACATCTGAACAGCAGAATCCATTGCTACTTCACCAACGTCAATTTAGAGCTAGTATTTGAATGATTCTCTAATGTAATGTCTAAAGTGATGACAAAGCAGGGGATTTTACTGACATTTAAGATTATAAGGCTGGAAGGCATGAAATGCCATGAGTCTACAGACATTTCCCAGTATTTCTCTGTTGCAATCGGGAGATCACAATAATTAAACCTGAAAAAGCCAAAGCAACGCAATCACTACCAGGTTACTGTTGTGTTTGCAAAAAGGAACAATGGCAGACACATGCGGGCATTTCTTCTTTCTTTCTTTTTACTGAACTTGTCTGCAGTAATGAAAACAGAAGGCTAATTAGAAACAAACAGATGACCAACCAAAAAGTAACTCAGGGTTATACAAAGATTGACCAACATAAAATACATCCATTCCTGATATGCAAGTCCCATCTTACACTCAATACACTACAATTACTATAGTATAAATGCAGCATTGCAAGATACAAAAGAGAGAGATCGACTTAGAATATCACTCACCAATTTTATAATGTTTTGATTAGCTGTAGTTTGAAAATATGGCAATCTTTTCTCCTCTAAGGGCTCATTATGCTGTCTCTATCACCATCTTGTGGATGAACAATGTCAACCATCTTTGCTCTGTTCAGTATGACAGACTGATGGATGCCGATGCGCTGTATCTCCGACATTATAAATATTTAAAATAGGCAGTCCTTATTAATAATAAGCATAGTTGCAATCTACAACTACATTCTCGTCTAAAAAGCCTCAAAAGTACATTGTTGTCCAACAGCTGCAATATTTGTCAAACTGGTGAGTTTATTGATCTGCTGTCACTATGTGGGCGGAGTAATACACAAGGGTGAAGAGGTTGTACAAGTGCTATGTATATCTCACAGCTATCAGATTCAAGAACCAGACAGTGTGTGCGTGCGTGCGTATAGATGTAGAATTTTGTATTACTTTGCTTGATAAACTGCACACACAGATCCAGGATGAAGGTAAGGAACCACGACAGGTAAAGCCAAATGTGGATTGATCATATCCAAAGCAACCTAAACACATGTACACACAGTATTTCATATTTAAACAGCAATTGATTCTGATATAATAATAAAACGCAAACACATCTTGGGGTGTGGATCCTCACTGAGTTCAAACCCCGTCCAGCCAGAAGAGTGCCAGCAGATATGATATCACCATGATGAAAGTGGACATTATCAGGCCATTCCTGTCCTCCCCGGCGACGCCATGTGTTAAGCCAGCGCTGATAGTTTAATACTGAACGTTTATGATGATCCTCTCTAATCTCCACACTCAAAACACTTCCTTTATATCCCACTGATGACACAAACAATACATGCATCAGTTTGAAAATGCATTCCTCTGCAGGACAGTATCAGATATGACCTCATTATCAAGTGACTCATCATCATATTGCAGTTAATGAACACCTAGGAGGAGGAGGAGGAAGAATAACAGACCTGCTCTGGACAAGAAGAGGCTCATGCCACCAGAGCCGGAGCCGCATTCCAGGACACAATCTCCTTCAGTCACATCCATCATGGTCAACATCGCACTGGCGTCCTGCAGAGGGGTAGAAATTGCTCTTTTCAGTCTGCGCGGACATAAAACTTACATGGCGTAAGCATCAAAGAAAAACATAATATATTTCTTTACACTTTAAATGCATATGTATTTTACAATTCAAACATTTGGTCATATAAAAGCTGCATTTATTTGATTTACGGCATAAAGAAGTTTTATAGTTTTTAAAAATATATATATTTTTTTGTATGACATTTACATTTTTGACATCATTACTTTAATCTTTAGTCTCACATTCAGAAACAAATTTATACTCTGTATTATCTGATGAACTGAAATCAAGTTGATTTCCAGCCAGCTAGTGAAGTGCTGTGGAGGTAAACCTCACGTCTCTGACTTTTAAATAAAAGGCACTCTAGCGACAGACATTAGAGGCCATGGTCTTTAGCCTTTTAAAAGACAACCAACTACCATGCGGAAGGTTGCCAGCTCAGAGCGGGTTGGGGGGGGTGTAGTACCACCAGGGTTATATTGGTGCCGAAACCCGGGATGGGAGCGAGGTTTAAGGCTGTTTTATGATTCTGCGCAGTCACATAGCCCTTGCCGTGGCTGACGCCAATACTGATGTATACCCCTCAAAAGATTTAACTACACATCACAACGACACGTAGCGAAAGCTTTGTGATTTCTTGGCTTGGTACCGGTGATGATCGTGGGCGGTGCTGAGAGCCGCAAGCCCAATGTAGCGAGTATTTACAAGTGCTGAGTCCCGTAAAGGAGCTCCACATGGAAACTTTTGTATTTACCTTTATGATTAAAGTTGTTGCATGTTCGCCGATTGCCGCCTCTAAATGAGTGAGTTTTAGCGACAGCACTTGTAGTGTTCAGAAAAAATTAAGTATCTGCTAAGAAACTCGACACAGAGGAACATAAAAACCTATTGCTAGCTAGCGTTTCGGAAGTGTCATTGCAGAGCAACACAAACAGCGCGCAGAAGTATAAATGCATGGCAACGTGCAAGGCAGGCACCATGAGTCACGGCGATCACTCGACGCAGAAGTATAAACCAGCCTTTAAGGGAGTGAGTGTAGCAGAGGCCAGCTAACGTAGTGAAGTGCTGTGTAGGTAAACATCACTCCTCTGACCTCTAAAAAAAGTCAGTATAGTAACAGATGTTAGAGGCTATGGTCTCTAGTCTGTGTTAGAGCAACGGACTCCCATGCGGAAGGTCACCGGTTTAAAATATAATTTATGTAGGCTAATTTAGTCCTGTACTTTAAAGCTGAATTTTTGTCTCTCATTATTTATTCATGATTAAATTCTGATTTACTCAGAAATTGTTTGCTGTTCATTATTCATGTATTTATTGTTAAAATAAAAATGTTTAGCTTATAAGACAGGTAGACTTTTTTAATACTCAGAGGCTGCTTAACATCTTTTTTTTCCGCCATCTGACTAACCTGAAATCATTTATTTTTCTTGTTTTGTTAATTGAGTTCATCACTGAGAGGTTAGGAGATGGGATTAAAAATGGACAAAATATTAATGTTTACCTCTCTCAATATTTAACTAGTTTTGCCATACAAATACAAAAGACCAAAAAAGTAAATAAACTTGTTTAACTTCATACATAGTTTTTAAAAAGCAAATAATGTGATGTATAATTGACTGACTGCTGTGTGTGTGGTGCTCATATCTTACTTTGGGGTAAGCAATAGCTGGTCCTCTTTTCATGAAGAGCACGAACTCCTCCAGACTGACTCTCCGAATGACGAACGGGATTCCTTTTGAAGTGCGGATGACGCTTCCCGCAGGACGACCCTCCATGTCATCATGAGCCACTGATCCCCAATTACTGTAGAGCTTCTGTCTCTCCTTCAGCTCGAACATCTTCCGAAACTCCACATCTCTCGCTCGTCTGAACTCGGCCATCAGAGTCTCTCCGAAACACATTAGCCTTTCTCCAGGAACACACACATGATGATGATGATGATGATGCTGATGATGATGATGAGTTTCTTCTTCTCTCTCCTTCTCCAGACTCGGACTGCTCGGTTCCTCCTCGGTGGTTCTGGTGTCCCGAAGACCCCAGACCTCCGGGCTCAGGCTGTCCTGGGGTAGCAGCTGACTGACCCTCTCCAGCGGGGACAGAGGTCTGCGTCTCCCAAGAACTCTCCTAGAGAACTGAGAAGCGGGTGCAGGAGCCGCTTCTGAAACATCCCGGTCGGTGTCTTTGGAGTCCGTGCTGAAGCTGCTCAGTCCACAGACAGAAGGTTTAACCCGAAATATATTGTGTCCAGAGACTCTGGCAAATTTACGAGGCATGAAGGAGAGAACCAAGGAAAATGGAGGCGTCATGATGTTGAGCTTGTGCGCTTCTGCACCAGCACCAACCAGAATGGACGACACAAAGTCAAATAGATTTGCTCTGCAGAAATACGTTCAAACGACCCGTTTTAATACACAAGTAGTTAGTTATATAGTTATTCATTTGCTGGATACTGGTGTTCGCGGCAGCTCTGTTATGTTAGATGAAAAACAATCCATGAGTAAAAGCATGATTCTCACAGGGAGCCGCCATGATGGAACGGACGTCACTGACAGATGCAATACTGCTGCTCACCGGCAGAGGGTTTATTTTTCATAAGTACAATTATAACCATAACAAACAGCCTTCATTATGTAGTTTTATTTTCCAGATTTAGTTTTTCTTTTGACAAATATATGTCTGAAGAAGAGTCAAAACAATTTTTAAGGCTTTAGATTAGATCAAGGGCATTATTTATTCAAACCTTTATTGATAAGTACAATCCTTCATCATTTTTTCCTTCAAAATCAAACGTTTTAGGGGTTATAGTAATTGGGGAGCAAAGTTAAACAATATTTAATGGGCGTTAATTTTCTTTATGATATATTATATAAAAAGTTTTTATAACACATGCACTCAGTAATGAAAATGTGCACTTATTTTTTTCCAAATCTCAAATATTCATAACCATCATTCATAACATATCTTCTACATCTACATATTGTTACAGGTGCCAAATAAATATGAACGTTTCAAGTAAATGTTTGGGAATGTTTTTCTTGTTTTCATTTATTTTATACATATAGCAGAGACATAATGACATGGCAGGAACATTTTAAAATGAGATTAATTTGCCTATTGCACTAAGTACTAAAACGCATAACCTCCAGTTAATTAATACTGCATTTTCATGGGATCTCCCAAATATTATGCTCACTTTCAAAATTCCGCTACACTACAAAAAAAACTTGAGAACATTTCCGCACCCTGTAGTTATTGGTTAATGACAGTATTGTCACGCCCACACTACCCAGCGGGACCAATTAGCTTTTTCGCAGCGCCAGCGCTGCTGCGCATGCGCGCTTTCCAATTCTCTCTCTCTCACACGTGTTTCCCGTGCAGACGGACGCACGCGGAACGGTAAGATGGCGGCGGACGGAGGCCGAGCTGCGTTACCCTGCGCCTTCAGCCCTAAATCACATCAGTTTTTGGCTCTCTGCGCGCAAGATGGGAGACTGCGAATCTGGAATACCGAGAGCAAAACCCTACAACAGGAATACGTGCCTTCCGCGCATCTGAGCGCAGCCTGTACGTGTGTGACATGGGGTCCGTGCCGAGCAGTTCAGGTAACGTTAGCGCACAGCAGTCGGGGGATGAGGCCTGTTATAACACATTGCACCGTTGCTGTATCTTCAGCTCTATTTAGTGGGGTGTTTTTCACGAATGCGATCCTAAAACTGAACTGGGGGTCATTTAGTAATGTCTGTTATGGCTGTGTTATAAGTGCGCTCGTGCAGTGCGCTGCGCACATGTTGAGTGTGGCACATGTTCAGAAACAGGCCGCGAGCTCCACACGTCCTGCACAAAATCACACACAAAGCATTGAAAAAGCTCTAAGCTGATGCCAGAACGTCGTTTACTTACCCATACAGGACTCCTACACTTAGTTTATGCTTCTGCTGAGTGTCTGTGCCTAATGGCATTGGTAGAATAAGTTGATACTGACAAAAGTGATGGTTTTGTGTAAGTTGTTTTGTAACAAAAAGTATGTCAACGCGTGTGTTCGTGTTACAAATGTTTGTCGTTTCAGTTATCCGCGTTTTATTTAGAGTGATTTGAGTGAAATGACGAATGGTCACATGGCAGTGGTTTACTTGTTGCTGTTTGATAAATCAAAGATCAGTACCTAACCACTTCAATACGATGGAAGTAATGGATAATTCTGTCAGAAGATTACATTATTAAGCTTTGACAAGTAACTATTGCATCGTGACTAGTTACAGACAGCAAATGCTGCATATAGAAATCAAATATTCACGTTCTGTTTTCACATTTTCTTGTTCAGTTGTTTCTGGTACTAATTCCAAAGTTTTACAATTAGTCAACATTGGTAGTAGTGACTAGATATTAGGAGGAGTTGAAATGGCTTCTCTTTGTTTTACAGTATATGCACTTGCACTGTACATACCCTGGAAAGCACTGTGTTATGCCAAGCTCTGGAAAAATGGAAAAACCTTAAATTATAAATTATTATTTAGATTAGTTAATTGCAGACAATAGCTCACAAAATGTATATTCAGTTGTTTTCTGACCATAAATATTCAGGGGAAGATTGATAGTTTTGTGTATATACTTAACATTACTCAGTTAATGTATCTACAAATGGTAAATCCACATTAAAATAAAAGTTTTGAGGTGGTCTCTTAATTTATTTTTTACAGCTGCTTGTTTATGACTATAATGGGTTCAGGTTAATTTCAAGTTATCACCAAGGTATCTTAATTTCGAGTATTAAAATACTGTTAATGTTTTTAAAATGTACTTTAAGTACAAAGCCAATGCAGAACAGGTCTGTCATAAAGTAGTACTGGTAAAGTACAGATTCAGGAAGTCAATGCCAAAGATTTGTCTCCAATATCAGTGTTTGTTTTCTGTAATGTGAAATTACTATCTTATTTAAAAACTGTTGTTGAAATAAAATAGATACTAGCAAGTATTTGATAACTTAAATGTTTCTTAGTAGGTGATGTGGTTTAAAGTTGTCTTATCGGAAATTGGTGAATTGACGTGGAATTATTTCAAGTAGAAAAAACTTGTGTTGAACTTTAATAGACTCTGTTTTAATGATAATGTTTTTTTGTGTTTTAGGAGGTGCCTCAGAGGAAGAGGAGGAAATGTGATGCGGCTTCATCAGCTGAGCAGTCAGATCTGTTGGCACTGGGCACTGCTGCTGGCACCATCCTCATCTACAGCACACTGAAGGGAGACCTGCATTGTACATTGGTGAGAAATCATGACCATTAATTATAGTATTCATAGCGCACATCTCAAAGATTTGAGAGGTTTTACTTCAATTTTTCCAAAAGAGATAATCAAATTGCAAAATAACAAGATTCTTAAGGGATAAAGTAGGTAATAGATGTTAATGATGATTTACCATAACAGGATGGAGGACACAGTGGGCCTGTGAACAGCGTCCAGTGGCATCCAGAAGACTCTGTGTTATACAGCGGTTCAGATGACACACACATAGCCGAGTGGGACTTGAAAACGGGGAAAGTTTGCTGGTAAGTGTTTGATGTTTGACCAGTGTGGGTTTCTTGCTTTATTTCTGTTGTTTTACCCTTTGTGTATTGTTCAATTAAATACCATTTCAATATTTAAGTGGCTGTTTTTGCCTCATTAAATGTCATTATAATGAATTTTTTTTAAATGCAAATCCTTGACAGCATATACATTCTGCCTTGGTGGTGGTTTTCTCTTTTTGGATGAGGTTAAATGTGTAATGTTACGGCTGATCATCAGTTGGTCCCATTAACCCATTAGATAAGGCACTGCAGACAAGTTTCTGGCTTTTATATGGAGTTCTATGGAGTATGTTCACTTGCTATGCTTACTATGTTCTGAGAGCTGCAGTGCTTATTTTGATTTTATTAGGCATATCAAGATCAAGTGCACAAATGTTTCTCTTATAACACACACACACACACACACACACACACATTTCAAATAAAAGCCAGAACCTAAGGCCCAGTCCCAATTCTACCCCTTAGCATTTCCCCATTACTTCTACCCCTCATTTTGCATGTTCATGTGAAGGGGTAGGGTGTCCCAATTCTCTTTAGCTTCAAGGTGTTGGGCTAAGGGAAAGGGCTAGATAGCTTTAGAAACTTGAGATTTTCCAAGGCCAAACTAGAAACCAAGGGGTACAAAAAATTTCCCAGAATACAACGGCAACATGGCTGGCACGCAAGTCAGGAGACGCATCAATTTATTAATAAATTTTTTGCCATTATGAATTTTTACAACAAACAAATGTTTAAATACATTCATAACAGAGTTTGTGTTTTACGGTCATGCTTTAAAAAATGATTTTAAAAAAGCTAAATTTCACTATCCATAATCCATAATAATAACTCCTGTATCAGTCCCACAACATACTTTTACATCTGTCACTCTGACACTCCGATACCCTGTAAAAAAAGTCTAATGGCTGGTTATTATCGTATTAGCGTTAATGTTGTTTTCTTGTTTTTATAGATGAATAGGGCCATAGTGGAAATGCACAGTACAGTTATGAGCTTATTGTCACATTATATTGTTATGACAACAAGATATTGTTGCCTTAGTTGAATTCCTGAAGGTAAATACCAAAAAATAATGCAACTGGAATAACTACAATAAAGAGCTTACGATTACGTGTTAGGGTGTTGTAGTGGTCTCCCATTTCTTAGGGGACACTTAGGGGATTGTTTTAGGAAGCTCTTCACACTATTTTGAAGGGGTAGGGGTAAAAAATAAGAAAAGAAATGGGATTGGGCCTAAGTTTTTTTTTTTTTTTTTTTTTTTTTGAAAATAAGTTAATGGAGCAAAAACAGACACTAACATAACAAAGGCTAGTAAAATAGTGTATTGTTGAGGACAATACATTTTCTCAAAATATGTTTTAAAATAAGGTTGGTCACCACAAATCATCATATTTGCTCAAACAGAGAAAGTTGTGGCTAAATTAAGAGTTAATTGTCCCCAACAGCACGCAAGGGTTAACTGTACATGTTCTGTGTTTAGCAAATGGAAGGCAGACAGATCCGCTATCAGCAGCCTGTGTATAAGTCCAGATGGAAAGATGCTGCTCTCTGCAGGAATGACCATCAAGATGTGGGACCTGGAGACTAAGGAAGTGTACAGGGTAAGACTGAGCTCTGTTCATACTGACAGCCACAGATAAATCACAACAAAGGCTTCAGATTTAAAAATCAATCTTCCCAATGTGCAGAAATTCACAGGTCACTCTACCATGGTTACGACTCTATGCTTTGCCACAACACGACCTCCAGACAGCAATGGGATGTATTTCCTTTCAGGAGCCGTACATGACAGACTCCTGAGTGTGTGGTATGTTACAGCTTTGCTATTTGACATTGGTGCGCAACAATAAGACCGTAATGATTTTTTAATGCTCATTGTCATTTAAAATAAAGACAGAAGCGATAGACAAATAAGCAGTAAGAGATTTTTCTTGGTTTGTTTTAAAGAGATCATGAAGTTTGAAATCAAATTTTTAATTATCTTTTTAACATATAAAAGTCATTGTACTATGACCTTTGACCTAGCATTCTGTAAGTTTTAGACATCAATGCTTTCTTGTTGTTATTAAAACATTTAAATCCCGACCATAAGAATGTTTGAATTGGTCTGAAAGGGGCTCCTATTTTCACCCCTTTTTTCAAGATGTAAGTTAAGACTTTGGTTTCTCCTTGATGTGTCTAAGGTACACCCTGCTAAAAATATGAGTTTGGGACTAAGAAAACATTGTAGCTTGTGCTTTAAATGCAAATTAGCTGGTTCTCTCTGCCCACTATTACACCATGCATGTCTTCTTTTTCCTGCTGCAACACATCAGATAAATATCAGTCAGTGACAGAAACACACTTGGATAAAGTTTATGAGTCAAAATAGCAAGCAAATTGATGTATTTGTTGTGAGGTTTATACAAGTTAATATAGACTGCTTTATAAAAGTCCATGATGCTACTGGATATGTTTATGCGCATTACTTTAGAGACATGTTAATAAGCGCCTGTCAATTAATTCAGTGAGAGAGGAAAACTGCACTCTCATGCCAAATTGCAGTGGGCATCAAAATTGCTGGTATTTTATCGTCAAGAAATAAAAAAAAACATTTATTTCACTCCAATATGACTGAAGTCACACTATATACCTACACATAGTTCTGTTCAAGCCGCTTCTAAAAGTTGATTTTGCATCATAGGTGCCTTAATTAATGCTATGAAATGCCCTCTTCTAAATTATATCCTCTTTAGTCCCCACCTACCACAGAGTGCCAAGGCTTTTTTGTGATTATAACTCTATATTTGCACTGCACTAGAGCTGCACAATTAATCGTAAAAAGATCGCAATCTCGATTCGACCCCTAGATGATCTTAATCCAGCATTTCTACGATTCTGCCAATCATATTTTCAAGATCAGGGGAGAAGCAAAGGCGGCCGCACGGGTCTTTTCATTCTTTCTCATACATTGCTCTGAGACATGGACACCTCCAAATGATGTTAAAAGAGTCACACTGTATTTATAAAGTATAATTCACCTAAAAATGTCATTTTTGTCTTAATAATGCTGTATTCGTGGCTGGGAAATCACTCGTGACGTGAGCTGCTGACTGTAAGCTGTAGTGCGGGCGCGCGACTACTTAATGATAGACGATTATTGTTTTTGTTTTTTTTTGACAAAAAAACAATAATAATTGCGCCAATTCATATTATCCTTTATTTTACATCTACAGACTATTCTGTAGCTATTCTCATTTTAGCCAGAATCGTGCAGCTCTACACTGCACAGGATGGCTGTTGAGTCTTGTTTTAAATCTACTCTTTCTTCATGTCCAAATAGTTGGAGTTCTATGAGAAAGTTCAGACCTGATTTTACCCCTGTGTTTTTGTTTTCACACAATGGTATGTACTGTGTAGGCAGAATCCGTAATTATAATGTTCTGTAATTCAACTGTTGTTCTAATTCAGTGGATGATTTAAGAAACCTGTCAAAATGGTGATTCAAAGTGGACTCAAACTGCATTGGTTCATTCTACATTAGGACACAAGTTAACCTTAGAAAAAACAATTCAACCTAAATTTTAAAATTGGCTTGTTTTCATTCAATAAACCACAGATTTCTATCCAAATGAAATCTGCTTCATGGTATTGTCAGTATTGTATACTCCAAAGGTCTGTGCATGCTAGGATGATTTCTCACATTTATTTGTCGTTGAAAGTCTTGACACTAAAGAAAGTCTGGCACACTGTGGCACCGGTCTGTGTGAGAACACATTTTTAAGGATAAGAAAGATGTATCAAGGAAGGGAAAGATTAACCTGGAGCTGCTTTTTTCATGAGGAGTTATGCCTGGTTTATACTTCTGTGTTGAGTGATCGGCGGGACCCACAGCACATGCCTTGCGTCTTGCCCTGCATTTATACTTCTGCGCACTGTTTATGTTCCTCTGCAATAACACTTCCGAAACGCTAGCGGGTAGTGAGGTGTTTATATTCCTCTGTGTTGAGTTTCTTTGCTGGTGTTTTGTTTTTTCTGAATGCTTCCTTAATGTACAAGTGGCTCAATCTCGCTTGTTTTGAGGCAGAAACCGGCGAACGTGCAACAACTTTAACTATAAGGTAAACACAAAGCAACAGTCTCCATCTGCAGCTCCTTCACGGGAATCAACACTTGTAAACACTTGCTCCAACGGACTCGAGTGGCTCTGTCCGGCCCACACTTGTCAGTGTTACCAAGCCGACCATTCACCGAGCTTGCGATACGCATTGTTGCGACGTGTAGTAGACATTTTTTTATGAGGTGCGCGTCAGCAAGGCCGACAGCCACGGCGAGAGCTATGCGTCCACGTGTAGCATATGCATGCTCTTGATGCAGAAGTATAAATCCCCCTTTATGATAGCGAATACAAAAATGTCAATAAAAGGGAGTTATGGAAAGAAGTTGCAGATCAAATAGTATATGATGGTGTTTCTTTTCACATAATTTTCTTTTGCGTCTCTTAAGCACCATCTAATGTCAGAGAGAATTTTTGCACAGTGTGTTCTTCCCCGGTGAAAATCTCTTGTGTGTGAATGCTGAAAAATGTCTCTGCTCATGTTAAGCATAAACAAAAATCGTCCTGATTTGCACAAGCCTTTTGATTATGGAATAGTGATGATCTTAAAACTGATGTGTTTTTTTATTTGGTTGCCTTTTTGCTCCTTAGGCAGGTACGGTCCGATGGCAAAGACAAGAACTCTGTGGTGTCTTTTACTCTGACAGATGAACCCCAACACATAGACCTTCAGACATCCAACAGCAAAGATGAGGTTAGGATCTTTTTCACATTTTTTTTGACTCATTAGCCCTCTAATCTGAGTTTACAGTCATGTGCATATTATTTTTAACACCCCTCTGTGTGTTTTTCAGGCTGTGCGGTTAGCAGTGGTTTGTAAGGATGGGCAGCTTCATCTTTTTGAGCACTTTTTGAATGGGTCAGTTTGTCTTTCTCTTCATAAATATCAGTGTAAATATTTTAAATCTTTAAAACTAGATTGTGCTGAAGCTGATGTTGGTATTTGTCTCCCACAGGCAGTGTAAGAAGCCACTGTCTCCAGCGTGTTCCCTTCAGGTGTCCACTATGAAGGGAGAGTCTCCAGTGCCTGTGCCTCTACTGGCAGCTGCTCTGTGTGCGGACAGACAGAACCTGATGCTGGCATATGGACATCACCTGCAGCCCGTCATGGAGAAAACAGTGAGTACAGCAGAGACTCCTGTTTGATTATAAGAAGTTATTTAATTGGTTAGTTGTACTATCATGCCATGTTTCTTTCCCCAGCCTTTTAACACATCAGAGAGGCACACATGCTTGAACCGAGATGTACATGCCACACTTTCTCTTTCTGTAGACACGACTGTCTCCAAGGTAAGACTTGCATGTGTGCTGTTAATGTATATTTTATATTTTTAAATGATTAAATATTGATTGTATCATCATCATTATTGACTCGGCATACTTTTTAAAAACAATCAAAATTACAGCTTTTTTTGTTCTGGATACTTATTATACATGTTTTTTTACAAGTTGCATGACTACACTGATATTTTACTTTCATCATATTTATTGGTCAAACTGCAGTACAATGTATGTGAACTACACATGTAATAGATGAAATGTTTAAAGAAATGTTTAATCACTTACAACTTAAATATACACTATATAAAAAAAAGCAAGTCTTAGGCTCTGTTTGGCATCTTTATTATATTCTAAAAAAATGTACTTGATTTACTTGTGAAATCTCTTTTTTTGAATTAAAAGAAAGTTAAAAGTGATTTTCTTTAGATTTTCTTATTCTATATCAATGAATATATTACTTGTCTGCTACCTGTATCTTCTGCATCACTGGCATGCCATTACTTAAGAGTCATTAATTAATTTACTGCACTTATTTGAACATTTTCCTCTAGGTGAAGACACCAGTTGTAAATCAGCAAAGCAAAGTTTTAATCCCAGGAGTTCCAGGACATAAGGCACCAATTAAATTAACTCCCAATGAAGGAGAGAAAAGGAAAAAAGGGGCCAGTACTACAGAGGTAAGACCACATTTTGTCACAGCTGCCTTGGATGTTTTCTTTGTATTTAGATCTTACACCATAAAACATCTATTTTCCCAGAATACTACAAAGAAAGTTTTCTTCTGTAATGCTCCCCTATGTTTAGTATAGATTTATAAACTGTTGTCCTTACAATCTTTTGAACCATAGCATTATTAAATGAAACCCCAGTGTTTCCTCTAGGTTTTTCTTTTTCAGCTGTGATGTTAGGCCTTTTACACAGATCTTCCAACTGCCCATGGCATTATTTCTATGACGCATGCCTTGAGCGCAGTATTACAAGTCGAGATTGAGTATGCAAATTTCTTTGCTTGCTGTACATAAGCTGTAATCTAGCCGTGGTGGGATTTAATTTTGGTGTGGCGCTCCACCTTGGAAGAATAGATGTAGCAAAAGCCATGGACCCATTAGTGATTATTTCTTTCTCGTTAGCATTACCAGCTCTGAGTAAGCTGCAGCTGTCTGCTATTAGTTTTCACCTGCTGAAGATAGTCATTGACTAGCATTTGTAGCTCTGTCCTCTTCTTAAAAAGAGCCCAATCTCATTTGAATTTAGTGACAGTCACCAAAACGCCAAAATTGTAAAAAGCGGCATAATTGGTCCCTAATGTTACGGTGTCTTCCTTAGGAATTTTGAAATTCAAAATCAATACAAGGATTTTACATGCTCATGAAATGTCCAGTGTTGCCAAATTTAGGTGACTTTTTCCAGCCCAAAAGTTTTCCAAAACATTTTATTGAATTTTAATTTATTTAATGCAAAGTTAACAGATGTTTTCACTCCTGATTTAAATGTGTCTAATGATGGAGCACATCTGATCATTTCTGGAAGCTGATTTCAGCAGCGAAGGACATATAGTAGCTGAAAGCCAATTCACCCTGCTTTGACTGAATTTCTAATTCAGGGGCAGGCAAACTCTGTCCTGGAGGGCCGTTGTCCTGCATAGTTTAGCTCCAACTCTAAGCAAACACACCTGAACATGCTAATCTGTGTCTTCAGGATCGCTAATTATTTATAAGCAGCTGTATTTGATCAGAGTTTGAGCTACACTGTGCAGGACATCGCCCTCCAGGACCGAGTTTGCCCACCCCTGTAAAATGTAGTTTATATGATCCTAAAGATCTTAGTGATTGGTTTGTGTTCAGTGAGCCTATCGGTTATGTATTGAGGTCCTAGACCATTTAGTGATTTATAAATTAAAATAGTAATACTTTAAAATCTATTTTAAATGTAACCGCAAAAACCTTGTTTTACCCACACAGTCAAATTTAAAATCGCCCAATTGGACAGAAAACCGCCCAATCTGGCAACACTGAAAATGTCAAACTGTGGTCTCTTTGACACATGTTCATTTTTCAATTTTGTGAAAGACTTGCAGTTGAGAATTCAATTACACTTTGTGTAAAAATGCTTATATAGTTTTTTTTTAACATGATAATCCTCTCTATCCTGCTGTAGGTGTCTATCGAGGAACGGTTGGAGCAGATTGAGTTGAGTGCTGGAAGAAAAGGTGCTGATAAAGGCTCGTCCTCCCTGCAGACAGACAGTTTCGCTGTGCTGCTTGTCCAGGGCTTAGAGAGCAAAGATGAGAAGATCCTTAATGTAAGTTGCACTACAGAAATGCTTGTAATCATCTGAATTACGATCACTTTAAAACAGGGGTCACCAATCTTAGTCCAGGAGGGCCGTTGTCCCTGCAGTTTAGCTCTAACTTGCCTTAACACACCTGCCTGATTGTTTCAAGTATACCTAGTAAAGCTGCAGTCACACTCGGCTTTTCCTCCCATAGACTTCCATTCATACGCATGTGAATGCGTCAGACTGGAAACGCAGGGTCATGCGTCAAGTTTCGCAGGTTGCTGCGGTGCAAAGTTCAAGCTTGGTGAACTCTGACCTGTGAAATCGCATCACTAGACTGCGTGAGACCAATCGAGGATCAAAACATGACCTGCCTGGACAGAAATTAAAAATATGGACATTTTTTAAATGTCTAATAAGCTTGTTTAATCCCGCCCCTTTTCGCCACGCTGCACGACAGAATATCGCATGCTTAAACTCTAATGTGACTGCAGCTTATGACCTTAATTGGCTTGTTCAGGTGGGTTTGATTAGGGTTGGAGCTGAAATCTCCCTCCATGAACAAGTTTGGTGACCCCTGCTTTAAAATATAAGCTAGGAACTCTGCAGGGTTTTAAGTGTGCAGTGACAAGTTGTCCTTGCCTTTTGAAAGTTGTTCATGTACGCCTTCTGATTTGTTTTATTGTAACAGAAAATATTTCAAACCAAAAAAGAGACGTTGATCAAGAACACTGTTGCTCGGTTACCACCTCCTGCTGTCCTGCCATTGCTGGAAGAGGTATGTTGTCATTTTGACATTGTATTATATACATACATGCATGTTAAACTGCCTTTCAAACGTTTAGGGTTAATAGTTTTTATTTGGCTTAAATTGAGGAGTCATTTAACATACAAAAACGTGTCCGCAGGGTCTTAAAGTCTTTAGCTAGTATGTATACAACTAGGGTCTGCTTGTTTTCACACATTATTTTAAATATGTGAATATTAAGATGAATATGAATGTAAAGAAATAACTAATTACAATTTAGTTTTAGTTTTTGATAGGCCAAGTTAAAAAAAATCTGCTGGGCCATTAAAATCATTCGTGTTAGCTCTATACAAGTCTGAAATGTAATTGATGCTCTGAAAAAGTTCCTAAAAAGTCTTAAATTTGACTTGGTGAAACTTGCAGAAACCCGGTACATAACAGCATAATAAAATGATTTCAGAAAAAAAGATTCTTTGATATAAAGAAAACCCATTGTAATTCATTATCTTATTAATTTGCTGGTTATGTTTTGTTTTTAATTTAATAAATGCAGCTTTGGTGAGCATAGGAGATTTATTTTAAAACCCTTTGTTTTATTTTAATGATTTTTTTGTGTTTTGTTTTAGCTCTCCAGAAGACTGCAGGGACATCCATACGCGTAAGTCACTTCTGTTCATGTTTGTTTATTTTTTTTTTAGGGTTTTTAAAGCTGAGCTTTTTATAACACCTGATTTTGTTTTTTTTTTCCGCAGGGCTTTGCTTATAGTTCATTGGTTTAAGGCTGTACTTACGCAACACACATCATACTTGTCTTCAGTAAGTGTGTACTAGTTAAGGTTTTGTTGCTGCCGTTTCATCTTTGTATTTATGGTAGATTATATCATGTTTTTGTGTCTTGCTCATTTTCTGTGTGCATCTCTTTTCCCGTCAGTTGCCAGATCTAGTGTCTCAGTTGGGCTCAATCTACCAAATGATCGAGAGCAGGGTGAAGTTATATCATCAGATCACCAGACTCCATGGAAAACTCTACCTGCTCATGACACAGGTGAGCTGCTCAATACAAGCAACCAGAACACATTAGGAGTTAAGTGCAGCTTGAACTTATTTTTCTGGGCAAATTTTTTAACTATTTTTTTTCCCACTAGGTGGCGACAAGCAACAGTGCAACAAAAGTTGGTGAAATTGATCACACAGCAAAGCTGGTATATGAAGAAGGTAAAGAATTTCCTTTATTTTAAAAGAATTAGAATCTGATATAAGTACATGTATTTCTGACACAACAAAAAAAAAAAAAGATTGAAAAATGTGATCCTCTTTAAATTTTGCAAGTTTTCTCTAACAATCATGGTGCCAACACTTTTTTTTTACTGAAGAAATTGGAAATTTTGGAAGAGATCTTGTAGCAGACAATGCTTTTGAATGATATATTCAGAATGAGAATGTGCCTCAAACTAGTTTTAGATTAAAAGCAGGCATCTATTTGACATGTTTTGTGTGGTTGGCAAATGTACAAGTATATTGTCTCGTGTTTCTGTATGACAGTAACAGAATCAACAGAAAGATAAATACAGTGGTCCCTCATTATTCGCGAGAGTCAAGTTTTAAAAATAACCTGCAATAGGTGAAAGTTGTGAAGTAGTCAGCTTTATTTTTACAATTATTATAGAGGTTTTAAATCTGTAAAACCCCTCACTACATACTTTATACACTTTCCTCAGACAGGCATTCACATTTTCACACATTTTTCTCTAGCTTAAACACTCTAAAAATTCTAACCTTTGTAGAAAAATAAGTCTAATATTATAAAATGAAACCAAAGATTAAAACCATCTAATCTTCATTTATTTATTTCGTAATGGCACCCTAAATCAACAAAACTTCCATCTTTAGTATGTCCAGAAGGTCAACTTCTAGTGCGAAGGTTGGCGTCTTCCTCTGCCTTTAGGGTGTTACTGCAGGTGACTTTGACGGTGCAGAACGTTTTGTCGACATTGTGAAGAGGAAAATTCCAAACATACAATACAGCAGTTCAAAGTCAAATCTTCGATCTTCGCTAGCAGTGTATGTAAATTTGGCAAGCTGAATGCATTCTGTAGTGTACAGGAGACACGGCATGGAGGAGATTGATTGACAGTGGTATACAGCTAATTAGGACACAGAACACAATGTGCTAATCAGAACATCAAATAAAATGACAAAAATCAGCGAAACTGCTAAAAAGTAAACCGTGTTACAGTGAAGGACCACAGTACTCCATTTTTGCTATTTAAATCAGATAGTTAACTCTTAAACTTTCTTTTTATTATATTTATAAATATATACATGCATGAATACATACATACATACCAAACCTGTAATTCTGCTTAAAATATATACAATTTATATAATTTTTTTTTCTCAGAAATTTTTAGATGGAATGTTTTGACTTTATCCTTTGATGCTGATATGGCAATAAAATACATGGAGATCTTTTTTTTTCCTCTTTTTTTTTTTTTTTTCTACAGAGTCTTCAGAGGATGAAGATTCAGGAGATGAAGGTCGTCCCGAGGATGACTCTGATGTAAGAGTCTCTCTTTCCCACTTGCTGTTATTGTTGATTTGCAATATTAATAACATAACATAATAATTTAATTATGTTGATTTGTTTTTTCAGAACTGGGAGGAGGATGAGGAGGCTATGGAGGTGACTGGAGACAAAAAGAACCACAAAGAGGAGGAAGACCAAGACATGAATGAGGAATCAAAAGCAAATGGAGACTCAGATCTGGACCCTGAAAATGAGAGTGAGGAGGAATAGTACTCAATCAGGCTGCAGGATTCAGATAAAAGGACCCTTACATTTATATATATGATTTTGTTTTACTTTTCATTTTATTGTAACAAAACAAAAAGGTGAAGTTTTATAGAGTTTCGATAACCGTTGCGGCCTGGATCTGTGGTTGTCCTTTTTTGAACTGTTATGACCCAGACTGACAGCCCAAACAAACACATTCGAGGTCCATTTCAGTCGCTTTTCCCTTGATTTGGAAACGGCCTCTGTTTTGTTGCCCGGGTTTTTATGGGATTCTCTGGGGTTCCCAAAATCTCCATCTCCCTGCAAGATTACATTCTTAATTGGGCGTCCCATGTCCATAAGATCGATCCCATTATATGACATGATCATGATTCTGCTCATCATCAGTGTCCATCTTTAATTTATCTGTGGTCATTACACTCGCTGTCACAGTCATTTCTCATGTCTGACTTCTGTGTCCTGTGTGTAATTTGAGAAGAAGATTATTACACCCTCTGCAGTCATGACTGTTCTCAGTTTTGAGGACAAAACAATGTGAAGCTTTCCCAGAAAAAACGAATATCCTAAAAACAGTCACAGAGGTGTGTATGATAATTATACAGTGGTTGCAGCCAACCAGAACTTTTCATGCAAACAATATATCAACAACTGTTGTACAGTTTAAATGAAATAAATACTGTTTTTGTTCTCATCGCTTGTTTACTGGATCTACTCTTGGATCTATTCATAGGGATTATATAGTTATGCTTATTGTGAATCCATACGGTTAGAATAGTAAAGGTTCAAAACATGCATTGTAATTATATATATATATATATATATATATATATATATATATATATATATAATTACAATGCATGTTTTGAACCTTTACTATTCTAAAAATTATATATATATATAATTTTTATATTACATTTTAACCCTATAAGGTCCACCGTTGTAATATTTCAACATTAGTTTTAGCTGTACATAAAACTGCACACATTTTTCTCTTCAAGACTACACTCTCAACTCGGATTCTGTATAGTCTTGCAATGCTGTTAACTGTTCATTTGCAATGAACTCGCAAACCTTTCCTTAAATTGCAGCATCTTGTTTTACTAAACATAATAAATACTTGCATAAAATATCATAGTATATATAATATATATATACACAGGCCTGTACCCAGCCTGGTGAAAGGGTGGTTCTTTATTTTTTTTGAGAAGTGGAGCTTTTTTTGCAATTTTATGCCTCATTTTCTATTTAATTATAAGATTTCATTACATTTTAAGCACTTTTTATTAGCTGAATTAGCTTGTCGGATCATGGTCATCATAACCACACATTTCTACCAAAAATATTTACTAAAGATTTATTTTATAAATAAATAAATATGAAAAAACACAGTCACACATAAATTATATCATATATCATTAGAAAACATTCAACTTTCTTCAGTCAGGATTTGACCATTTGAATAAAAATAGCAATAATAATGTAGAGCTTTACAATTTATCTAGCCTTTTGTAAAAACAAAAAGTGCATTTGAAATTTCATGAATAACTATTGCCAACATAATATTTAAATTCATTTGAACATGGGCCACTTTTGGAACTTCATATCTTTTTACTGCTCTTTTTTTTTTTTGTTTTGTTTCAAGAGTAATGCCCAAGATTTAGAACAAAACCTGTAAACTGTTTTCTCTATTTAAAAACAATACAGTAGTGAAAGATGACTTCTCTTTTGTCAGATTGTGTGTTTTCCAGCAGCTGGATGTTGGACTCATGAAAATAATTGTTTGTGTTGGCCAAAACTATGAAGAATTACACTGTTTTCATTCATTCATTTTCTTTTCGGCTTAGTCCCTTTATTAATCCGGGGTCGCCACATCGGAATGAACCGCCAACTTATCCAGCATGTTTTACGCAGCGGATGCCCTTCCAGATGCAACCCATCTCTGGGAAACATCCATACACACTCATTCACACTCATACATACAGACAATTTAGCCTACCCAATTCACCTGTACTGCATGTCTTTGGACTGTGGGGGACCCCCCACTGTTATATATATTTAACATTTAAACAAAAATGATAATTAATCTATTGCAAATGTTTTATCGAAAAATGGCATCTCTTCATGTCTGTTGTGAGTCATTTCTAATCCCAAGCTGTTTTAGAAACCCAGAGGAGACAAAAAGAGACCAATTTTAACTGCTCACTATCCTAAACTTACACATAAACAGATGTATTTTGCTATCTTTGGACAAATAAAGGTAGTTTTATTTTATTTATTTGATATTTGGATTTATTTTGATTTACTGTCTGTTTAACAGGCTGATATATTGCAAGTGGTTAGAACTTTATATTTGTGTATAATACATGTGAATACACTCATTTTCAAATCATTGGCTTTTAAATAACGAAAAAAAAATGTAAAGCTCATTTCATAATTTGTCAAACCTATCATCATAAATAAAATGTTATTGAGATTAATTTATTATTTTATGCAAGCTGATGGAACCTTTTTAAGTAAGTTGAAATTGTTTCTGACCCACAAAAATCTGACTTTCCTTAATGCTCAAATAACTGATTAATACACAAAAAAGCATTAATAAAAGAATAACACACAGAGAATAGTTTTAAAGTATGACAACATTTATTGACACAAAAAAAACAAGAATAATCCTAAAAATAGGTTGCAGAGTGGACTCTTGAAAGCAGAGGAGGGCTTCTTTTTACTGAGCGAGCCCTCTTCATCTTGACATCCTCATCATCAAATGGAAAAAACATGAAGTTTGAAGGAAGAGCAGGTCGCACTGGAACATGAGCTGCTTTCAGAGCAGGCAATTTTGTAAACACAGGAACATGCAGAGGCACATGTTTGTCCATCTTCTCTCCACTTGTAAGACATGGCAGGCTGGGTAAGGAAAGGTGAGACTTAACTTTCCAATCAGACCCACATGAAGGGTCAGTGCCGTTCCTCTCTGCCTTATTCACTAAAGGAGGAAACCTGGACACTTGACGTTCTGGAGCTTCGTCAATGAACTTCTGTCCAGCCAAAAGCTTGACAGGAGCACAGCGTGGCCTCGAAACAGGCAAGTGTGTGGAAACAGCAGCTGGATGCTGGGATTTGCCTACTCTCACATCCAGAAGAGATGAGGAACACTCAACACTGACATTCAGGTCAGACTCACATGGAGGATCTGTCAGTGAAACTTTCACCTGATGCTCACAAGACTCCACGCCCAGCCATTCTGAGGGTTCATCTGTGAAGCACTGCTGGTTGACAGGCTTCCCAGGAACATGGTTTGGCTTCAGAATGGCCAATTTTGAGTGTGGAGCATCAGGATGCTGCTGGAAAAGCCTACGTTTATCCGTCCTCACTGGTCTGCCCTCAGAATAAGACAGAGGAGATGAGGAACGGTCAACGCTGCCATTCAGATCAGACTCACATGGAGGATGGCTGAAGTCATTCAGTGAAACTTTCATCTTGTTCTCTGGAGGTCCATCAGTGAATTTCTGTCCACTGACAGGTTTCACAGGAACACACCTTGACTTCAGAACAGGCAGTTTTGAGCGTCCAGCAACAGAACGATTGCGGAGAGGTGTACGCTCGTCCATCCACACTGGTTGGCTCCCTGAAAGGGCAACAAAAATGAGCAAGGGGCAACACTGAGGTCAGACTCACATGAAGGGTTGATGGTTTTCACTGTACCTTTCCTCATATGATTCGACCCCACACCCAGCCATTCTGAGGGTTCATCTGTGAAACTCTGCTGGTTGACAGGCTTCACAGGAACACGCTTTGGCTTCAGAATGGGCAGTTTTGAGCGTGGAGCATCAGGATGTCGGAGAGGCTTAAGTTTATCCATTCTCACTGATTGGCTCCCTGAAAGAGGCACAAAAAATGAGCAAGGGGCAACACTGACAGTAAAGTCAGACTCACATGAAGGGTTGATGTTTTTTAACTGTACCTTTCCTCATATGATTTGACCACACGCCCAGCCATTTTGAGGGTTCATTTGTGAAACTCTGCTGGTTGACAGGCTTCACAGGAACACACCTTGACTTCAGAACAGGCAGTTTTGAGCGTGGAGCATCAGGATGATGACAGAGAGGTGTAGGTTTATCCATTCTCACTTCTCGACTCTCAGAATGGGGCAGAGGAGATGAGGAATGGTCAATGCTGGCATTCAGGTCAGGCTCACATGAAAGATAGCTGATGTCTTCCAGTGAAACCTCCATCATATGCTTAAGAGACCTCACTCCTCGACGTTTTGGATGCCCATGACCATCAGTGAACTTCTGCTTCTCAGCAGGTTTCACGGGAACATGGCGCAGCTTAACAGTCATGTTTGAGCATACAACCTCAGGATGCTGAGGGAGAGGCGCACTTGTGTCCATCCTCACTGCACTGCTCCAGGAATAGGGCAGATCAGACAAGGGACACTCAGCATTGGCGTGCAGATCAGAAACAGGTAAAAAGTAGCTGACACTTTTCACTGAAACTTTCATCTGACGCTTAGGAGAGCTCACGTCTCGATGTTCTGGAGATCGTGGCACGGATTGACTGTTAGACCACATGTTGAAAAAGTGGAGTGAAGATTATATCACAACAACAACGACAAACAGGATTCAACAAGCGATATAGCGACTGTCAAATGCTATGTAACTCTGTTCACCGTGGAATGGCCGCTATGATGTCAACATTCTTTTAGATTTAGAACGTTCGCGTGCCTTCAAACCTGTGACGTTTTATTAGGCATCATTTAAATCTCGTGGAATAGCCCATATTCACTTATACAGGCCTTTTATTAACATAATATATTTGTTTATTTTATTTTTTAATTCATCAAATCGGTTCTCAATCTACTCTGAGCGCATTTTTAAACGATGGATTTTAACGCAAAGATTTGGTAGATTCTAATATAGAAATCTATATAAAATCTTTGGTAGATTTTAATATAGCAGGTCCACAGCATAAATGAAAGTGTGGCTCCCTCTAGAGGTGAAAATCTTATATTAGGCCAATATTGAATAAATATCAGTTATTCCTCTCCCTTCACTCACACTCACACACACACACACACACACACACACACACACACACACACACACACACACACACACACACACACACACACACACACACACACACACACACACACACTTCTGTGATTAATCATATGTCTAGATCACACATATTTGAATATTGTTGAATGTGTTAATTATATTAAATCTTAAACTTGCTGTTGCTATTTGCCAATGCACCTTTTACATTATGTGGAAAAAAGTAATTACATAAAGATTTTTTAAACATTGAAAAGGTTTTAAACACCTTTTTGTTACAATTTTCAGTTTTAAACTAAATGAAATAATGTTATTTCTTTAATAGTTAGAAAGTAAAAGTCATATCTCAACCGTTTACGATTTTTCATTTATAAGATTAAATGAACTGGCCCTGTTTTTCTGGGATTTACTTGCTCGCCCATATCGGCCTGCTGTATTGAGGAACAGGTGATAATGTTCAGGAATGTTTGGCCATTAGTCCTATTGGCATATAAATAGAGAACACTAAATAGTCACACAACATTGTGTGTATTGTAAAAAAAAATGGTAAAATCTTTAAAACAAGTATTTTTGGGATTCATTTTCTTTGAGATTATTTAACATGAAAATCAATCAGTGTTTTTTCCCATTTAAAATGCCTCTGACCACACACATTGTGGAGTATTAAAACTGAACATGACTACAAGGATAAACATTTATTTAATTACATTTTGTAAATTCAGTATGAACATTTTACATGTGAAGATGCAAAAACCTTTACAGCCAACTGAAATTTTATTCTAAAAAGCATTTTTCTAAGCCGCCTGTGTTTGTTCAGTTATTTCAATGAAAATAAAAGTGAAATTGCTGAATAGGAAAAAAGAAAAATGCTGATTTTAGAGGAAAATTTCAGATGGCACATAGAGGTTTCCATTACACTGCTTTTTCATAAAAATAAGACTACGATTATCATTATTGTGTGATGGTTTGTGTGTAGATACACATAGAATACTGTAAAATTTACAGTAACTTATGGCTATTTTGGTTGCAAGACTAAAATTACAAGCACACTAAATTAATACTTGTAAAAACAGTGCAACTGTAATTATTTATTTACAGTGTGCTTGTAAATTTACAGTCAATCAAACTGGCCAATAATTGTATTTTGCACAATGTTTACAGTGTTATGGGCCTACATAAGCAGTACCACATGTAAAGAACCCTTAGATGTTGTTTACCTGTGTTCAGACAGTGAGTAGAATCGCTGTATTTCTGCTAACCCAAAGGCTCAACGTTGCTTTATGGTCCGACATTTCTCTAAAAATGTCTAAAATGCTTGAGGATGATTTTTTTCTTCTTAAGTTGAGTCTTTCGGGGTTAAAATGTAGCCTAGATTAATTTTAAGCATTCTTCCTGACATTTTGTGTGGTTTCCAAGTTATGATTCAAGAAATCAAAATTTGTTTATTTGTTATGCTAATAATGTTAAAATCTCATGTAATGAGACGTAACTTCATCATTAAATCATGGACATTCCAGAACAAAAGTAGTGATTAACCGTTTTTTTTAGCATATTACTCCGCACCGCTGTTGCTCTTTGTCTGCTTTCCTCTAGGTGTCCTCAGCGCGTCGCTCATGTGTTTCTCCAGCAGGTGGCGTGTTGTGAGACTGTGTATGTGTGAGTGTATTTCATCACACGTGTGCAGTGTTTAACGGCCGACACTCGCCAAACTCCTGCACAACACAATCACTGCGCTCCGACTCACTGTTCACCACTGTCACCGCTCAGACTGTAAGTACACACTTAACAGCCTCCTGCTTTTGTTTTATTAATAGCTGTGGTTTTGCACACATATTTGTTTTAAATGAACATTTCGTAAGGTTTTTAAAGAGTAAATGTGTTTATAGATGAGTTTGTGAATTGAATACACGTTTGAAAACGACCGTATCGTCAACGTTACACGAGTTTGTACACAAGACACATCACTAACGTTATAATAATGTAACGTATATCTGTACACGTTATTCCGTTTGACCTCATTGCTAAAAAAAAGTGGATATTGATAACAAAACGGTTTCATTTGTCAACATAAGTTAACTGTTAATTAACGTTTACTAACAATAAATATAAACTGTTTTCACTACAAATACAATTAAAACGATTCAAACCGTCGAGTTTTAACAATGTAAACATATACATATTAAAATGTTTTGGTGTTTCTTGGGACATTCTGTTAGGATTTCAGGTCACACGTAGTAGTAGGTTTCATTAGATAATGCTATGTATTTACTAACACGAAATAAGAATGAGCAATACGTGTACAACATTTACTACTACTAATAGCTTAACATTTACTAATGCTTTTTTAAAATCCAAATCCATGCTTGTTAACAATTACTATAATTATAGTAATGATTGCGCTAAGAGTTAAAATACTAACAAACAACTAAGTTTTTCATTTTTCATGAACTAACTTTAACAAATAAATTTTATAATAAATGTTTAGGTCATTGTTTGTTTATGTTAGTAAAATGAAAACTTATTGTAAAGTGTTACAGAACCCACAGTTAAGCATGGTACGATGACCGGTCTCAAGGTTTACAGTGGTTTGAAAAAGTCATGGTTTAATACAGCTAAAATGTTCTGTTATACCGTTTCCAAGACATATGTAAGGTTTTTAATGTTATTTTTATGTGTTGTAAAGAAATCTGTGTTTTTGAAACTAATAAAAACAGCAAAAGTCAATAATTTAGTTAAACTATTAAGCCTGACATGTTTGCTATTACTTAAAGTAAAATAAATTGTGTTCAATTGGGAAAAAAAGTAACTGACTAGGCATGGGCCGGTGTAAGGTTCTGACGGTATGATAACCTTAGCAGTACGAATACTGCTCTAAAATATATTCTTTTAAAATATATTCACAATTTAAAACGTCATATTTGGAGATATTGTCTGCTGGAGATACTGTTGTCATAAAAAAATGTAAATGAAAACTCTTACATATATACCCTAGGAGCAGTATAGCAGAACATTTTGGCTGTTTTAAAACCTTGACTTTTCCAAACCGCAATATACCTTAAAAACGGTTATCGTCCTATGCCTACTTATGACTATTTCAACAGTGCTAAATGTAAATAAGTGTATTAACATAGGCTCTACAAGTCTCTATAATAACCCTGGCTTCAATAGCAGCAACACTTTTATATATGTGACTGTAACAAGGGTCTTTTCTCCAGATTTCTAAAAAGTTAGGAACCTCCTGCCTAACTAAATCTTTGAATGACAATGTGTACTTTAACTTTATAAACTTTACATCTGAATATTTTATATGTGCTATGACATGTTTCTTTGTGCTCTTTTGTCTCACTCTCTTTCTCTGCACTCCTCCCTTTCAGGTGAGAGGAATTCAGGTGAGAAAACCTGAGCGCTCGCAGGTGCCATGAATTGGGCTTTTCTTCAGGGTCTCCTGAGCGGGGTCAACAAGTACTCCACAGCGTTCGGCCGTGTCTGGCTCTCGATAGTCTTCCTTTTCAGAGTCATGGTTTTTGTAGTCGCGGCTGAAAAAGTGTGGGGCGACGAGCAGAAAGACTTTGCGTGTAACACCGCCCAGCCGGGATGCCATAATGTATGCTATGACCACTTCTTCCCCGTGTCCCACATCCGCCTCTGGGCTCTGCAACTCATCTTCGTCACTTGTCCGTCATTCATGGTGGTTTTACATGTGGCATATCGTGATGAACGTGAGCGGAAAAACCGTCTCAAATATGGTGAAGGATGTAAACGTTTGTACGACAACACCGGAAAGAAACGTGGTGGTCTTTGGTGGACGTACGTGCTCTCGCTGGTTTTTAAAATGGGAGTGGATGCGACTTTTGTGTATCTGCTGTACCACATCTACGAGGGCTACGATTTTCCAGTTCTGGTGAAATGTTCTGAAGCTCCATGCCCAAACATTGTGGACTGCTTCATCTCGCGGCCCACAGAGAAGCGAATCTTCACCATCTTTATGGTGGTGACCAGTCTGGTGTGCATCCTGCTGTCTCTCTTCGAGATCCTCTATCTGGTGGGCAAACGCTGCTTTGAATGCATCAATAGGGTGCAGAGCTCACGACATGTGAACAGAGAGAGATCCATGGCTAATATGACAAACTTGAATGCTCATTTAGAGTCAAACAACAAAAAACTGGCAAGCGAAGACCAGCCGGCACCAGCATACAGTGTGGTCATGTCAGCCAAAAAGAAAACCAGCTTGGAAAATACTTTCAATCCGAGTTGGACCTTGAGAGATGACAAATGTTCAACTTCACATTCACTTGGAGGTGAATGCGAACGTGACTGACTCAGTAGAGGAAACTGATGTGTGCCTACACTGTATCCACTGGATCTTTCAGCTGGAAATTGTGGCCCAGAATTGTATATTTGAGAAGCTTGATGGGTCAAAAGATCAACATTCAGAGTGACGCTGTCTTTAGTTGGACTAAAGCGAGTCAGGTCAGGGTTTTGGGTGTGGTGTGTGTGGCTTCAAGCTTTAGAACACCAAAACACCAACTGACACTTTGAACAAACAGCCAATACAGAATAAACAAAAGATGTTATAAGCTCTGATAATTACAATAATTGCTGTTGATTAAAAAGTACATAAAGCAAAACATGGCTGAAGAGGATGCTAAAGCACACAATTGTTCATATATTTTAATAATTGTTCAGTTGCACCAAAAGTAGAAATCAAAACGTATCAATTAATGAACAAAGCAATTATCTTCTAAAACCTGTTTCCAACTCAGAGGAAAAATGCTGAGTAATTGTGAGTTTAAATCCAGCAATGTGTAAAATGTAAAAGTCATTGTTTACTCATCTGCGTGACTTTTTCTGCAGAACTCTTTTATTTTTATCCATAAAATAGAGGTCAGTGTGATCTAAAACCCAGCGATTTCTTCAGAATATAATTATGGAAAATGGATGTGACATTTCTGTAAAAATTCAAAACATGTTAACATTATATTGAAACATCTGTTTATATTTTCCAAAACTACTAACCACAGTTTTATGGGATCAGAAAAATATCAATCCGTGCCATTTTTAAATTTTAAATAAGGGAAAAGGTACGGTATGCCAATTTACAGTATGCAACATACTTTGTAGAAATTCTGTGAATTTAACTGCACAACCCAATAGAAATACTGCTAATCAAAAAGCATAAGTTGACTCTCTATAGGACTAAAATTATTGATTTTATTTTAGTTGACATTTTTGCATTTATGAGGAAAAAAGCTTTGTTTTGGATGTGCTGTCTTTTCGTTATGGATGTAACAGATGTGAAATTGGCACTTGTGTGTCTTTGGTGAATCAAACATAATTGTTTGTAAACATTGACAGACATTTTTAGTATTTTTAAAATACTGTAAAATGCCAGCTCACACAAAAAAACAAAAACGGTTTCGCTATTTTGGTGAAAATTTATTTTTTTCATGGCAAGGTTGACATTTGCATGGAATTGCACTATTTTTTTTCATTCAACAGAACAAACAAAGTCATGCTGGTTAATGAGTTAATCCTCATTTGCACTACGAGCAACTCGCAGTGGCAAGCAACAAACGACCGTTCATTTCAACAGATCATCGATTGCTGACGACCAAGTGGGCGCGTTGATTTCTAAACGTCCAAATCAAACAAAATCTGCAGAAACTTAGTCCTGAGTATCGTCAGTCTATTGCGATTGATCATTGGCTCTTGTATTAGAAGGCGGGCCTTATTCACAAAATAGTGATCGATAATTTGGATAATTACTAGTAGGTGGGGCTTTATTCACCATATTGACCCTTACACTTTTCCCTATTCAAAAAGATACGAGTGACATGTCTTGTATTCTAGAGTTTTGGGTTGTATTCGAGCTGTATTGACCTTATTCTAAAATGTGGAAGTGCGCCTGTTTTCGCGATTGTTTCAGAACTTCCATTTCAGTCACCTATGGTAGAAATGGCTAGGAATAATAAACGGCAGAAAACAGTCAAACTACTTGCTCTACAAACAAATGTTTGCATGACTATACAGACCAAGTAGAATAATATAATAAGAAAATATCAGTTTGCAACATCAAGCAGCGTAACAAGCTTTTTTAACGTCTAAAAATGAATGGAAGTGAATGAGACCGGATGTCTCGAGCCAAAAAGATTCAAATGGCTGCGCCCGCTCGTCTGCAAAGAATAAGGTGTATAGACTTACACGAACCTACATGAGCAGGCCACCATCCAGAGCAACAGGAAGCTTCAAAGTCGCAGCTAGTGTGAATGAGGCATTAATAATGACAATTGATCAAACTTATTAAATCTAGTGTTAAAGTCACAATGTCTTTTAAATGCCTTTCATAAATACTTTTTTTTTAAAGGTGGAAACAGGCTTTGGTAATTGCCTTCGTTTGGCTTTAAGATTTTCATGCTGCTTTCCTGTTGGGTGTAAGAACCATGTGCAGAGAAGTCTGCATCTCTTCTTTATCTGTTTTTACAAATGGAGACATCGTTTTGAACACTAATTTATACCTAAAATTTAAATGTACATTTAAATTTGTTTACAAATTTGTACAAACTGTTTGTCTTGTATTTTTGTATTATTACTATTTGATGTTTTGTGATGATTGTTTTTGTATTTTAGCTGGTCTGTATGTTTATGCTAATGTGAGCTTAAGCTGCAGTGCTGCAAGTCTTCCAAGAATTTTCAGTATTTAAAGTTTCAAGAATTTATTGAAAGAACTATTACTGCCAGAACAACCGATTCAAAACAATCTGTTATGGGTTACGTGTGTATATGTGTGTATGAGAGCGTTTTCATTCACTGATAAACATGTATCCATAAAAGTAAACATTCTCTGAGGTTAGAAATGCTCTGTTTGTATGCTGACCTACTAGAGTTCTTTCCATATTACTGCCTGTTTAAATTGTTTACATTTTGAATTGCATTAAAATCTGCTTTTTTATTTTCTTACACTCTGTCCCTTGTTTAAATAAGTGATTTCTGGCTTTAGGAGAAGAAGACGAGAGCTGTGACTTCACAGATTTGATTACACTCTTAAATCAGTTGTTCTGCATGTTAACTTTCTGCAGGGCATGAATGAAAACATGCAGTGATAAACAGCAGTGTGATATTTCGACATGAAGCTTTCACCATTTTGAGGAGGAGAAATCTTTATTTTACACCTCATACTAGTAGCTTCTCTAAGTGTTTGGACAATTTCATGAAGCATTTTATTTTCTGTACCAGTTCTGCCTGGAGATTTGTTGATGCTTGTTGCACAGCTGTAATCTGGTTGCACCATTCAGTCTTTGACTTCTTTCATTAGACTATATAAAAGCACATCAAGATAACAAAACAAAAAAAAGGCTCCCTCCCTGTTTCATGAGTTGGCCTGTCTGTGTTCTTGCTATCTTCATAACCCCTGTACAGTGAATGGGTAGGGTAGATGTAGTTATATCATGTTGAAACAGGTTTGTGAGTCACATTCACATTCTTAAGGGTGAAACCCAACAGACAAGTCTTTTCCCTTTTTCATGTCACAAAACCGACATTCCACTCCCTGTTCATTGTGCTCTCACTTTACTTCCTCTCCATCTCTTTTGATCATTGTTATCTGGCCAATCTGTAAGCACCAACATTCACAAACCATACCTACTGTTTATGAACAAGCATGATGTTTTAAAGTTCAGATTCTCTATGTGCATGCAAGAGGGCTTAATAATTCCCTCACATAAACAAATGTAAACCAGTTTTAAAAACAGACCTGCTCGATCTGGTTCAGAGCTTTTTCTACATTGTTTCATAATGTTTCCTCTTGCTGAACAAACACATTCAGACAGAACACATGCCTGAATAACTCAAAGCAGGCATGAGCTGCTGAAAGGCTCTAAAACACACACTGAAGAAGACTGGCAAGACAAAATGACAGAGGGCAGCTTTTAAAGCTATAGCTCTTTTTTTATGCCAGGATCGGAGAATGAATCATCAAGAGGTTTGAGCAGTGAGTCAGAGAGCTTCATGCGTGTGACTGAACAGAATCCCTCCTAAAGACTGTTCCTGTGGAAAACTCCATTTCTGGGTGACTTGGGACCAAACCGGCAGTGTTTTTTTTTCATAACCAGAACAAATCCTTAACCATTAGGTTCCCACAATTGCTTGCATTCATGTTATAAGAAGAATCAAGCTGAGACAAATTCATGTCCACATCAAAGAACTTTAAGAAAAAAGTTTTCTCTATCCCAAACCAAATTCAAGAGTTACTTTGAACACATAAACACTAATTAACCAAGGTAATTAGAACTGGATTCTCAGAGTAAAACCGCCTGACAAAATATTTCAAGTATGCCCCAGAGACCCACTACACTGTGACGAGCATCTAAGCAACAAAAACTGATGAAAACATATCTAAAGCTGTTGTTCGGGACGAGGTGTGGTCCTTTACGTGACTATGGAGCGGAGACATTCAAGTCTGAACACAGAGAAGCCGCCTGCAGACGTTGGCAACACCACAAACCACTAACACGCAGAGTGTACTTGACAGAGCTGTCCAAACAAAGGCAGTCTTATTTATTGAGCAATAAGATGGAAAATGTTACTAGGCTGCACAGGCAGGGGTTTTCTATTTGTCCCACAAAACACAATGCAGCACCATAATAATAACAATAAAAAACTTAAAAAAAAATGTTTTTATGAATTCATTCAGTCTATTTTGAGTTAACAATGTAACTGCAGAAACATCATGTTTTGTTCTCTATACTGTATATTTAATACACAGTCATTCACGATGATCTTGACAGCATTAAAATAAAGGTATGTGTTTGATTAGCCTGCAATCTTTAAAGTAAGAGAGTTGCTGTAAAGCTTAAGTGTGGACATGAACTCCACCCATCTGCAGTGAGGCGGGTTACCAAACCAGATCCACAGGGAAAACAAAAAAAGTCATCAGAGAGGAGTTTATAGCCGTTCAATAATAAGAGACGGGGAACAGCTAACGTAAGTAATGAATTTTGTTTTTCGAAGCAATTTTAGAGGCTTTTCACTGTTTAAAAGAAGACACTTATTGAAACGTCCGTTCGTTTACCGACCTGTCATTTCGATAAAATTGATTTAACTCAGCTGTAGCTAATAAGGACAAACTAATTTACGTTTCTTTGAAAAGTAGCTAGGTTTACTACATTTGCAGCGTTTACAGTAATATGATAAGCAAGTAACGAATAATTTGGGAACTTTTGATCGCCATTACAAATAAATTGTGTACGAATGTTGCAACGCAGTGGTTTCACTGTAGAAAAGAAACTGTTAAAGAGCCGAATTCCGATCTTGAACGCAGTCTTTAACTTTATTCCTCTGGTTGAGGAAAATATTGATTGTGGGATGTTTATTTCAGGCAAAACACTAAAATTACTAAGAGTTCTGATACATTGTACCTGTATTGGGTGCAATTAGTTACAAAGTAACTTTTTCATTCTTTTATTTATATATAAATAAATGTTATACTTTATTTTATACTTGTCTTATATGCTGTAAATAAATTAATCAGTTCTATATTGATCAATCGAGAGAAGCAGAGTAATTGTATTTTTGTTACACAAATATTTTGTAGAAAAAATATTTATTTAATTTAATTTATTTATTTTTTCTTTACAAAAATACATTTAAGTTAAATTAAAACTAATAAAATAATTAAGAGTTCAATCTATATTGTCTATACTTTGGGATATTTAGGGATTTTGATTTGTATTGAGTCACGTAATTAAACTTCTTACTGAATTAAAATACTTACACAGTAATTATAAAAGTAATATAAATATGACTTTAATATTTTGAAGTAACTTACCCAACTGTCCTCCTGTCAATGAAACAAATAGAAACCTTCAAAGAATGTTTTAATGGTTATAATGGGAATTTATTTGGTTTTAATGGAAACTATCATGGTCTCTGGGTCATATGCAAATATATTTTCTTCCTGGTGGCTTTAAAACCCTAATTAAATATGTCCTAAACACACTAAAATCTAATAAAATGCACTGGTTTTAATGGTTAACTAGTTTAATGGTTATTTGTCATGTTTATAGTTGTTTTTTGAAGAGGAATCCTAACTATTGTTTATATTATTTTCTTTTTTCAGCAGGGGAGACATTTATTATTTGAACATACTTTAGACTATTTAAATGGATATTTCTCAGAAAAATTAAACATTTGTCATTGTTTATTCAACTTCATATTGTCACACTGTCTTTGAAAAAAAAACAACCAAAACTCACTGCGACTTCAAAAATGGCTCTGTAGGTGTGTAGATCCAAAAATTTCTAAAGATGAAATGACTGAGGAAAAGTCAGCACACTCTCAAACATCAGAAACCAAAAGTTCCAGCGAGATTAAATGACAAAAGGCAAACATTTTGATCAAGTGTTGACTATTATCAGTGCCAAAAAAAACAATGTGGTAAACACTGTTACGTACATATATTGTTACAAAATGTAAAAGAAGTGGGCCAAAATATTACCAAAATTAACAAACAGTGATCTGTTAGTGAATTGTATTAAAAGTTTTTTTTTTAAATCATACAGCGACAAAAAGATTGAAATTACAGTCATTATTTACTGATAATTCTGCCATCCAATGACCTGCTAACCGCTGTGATCAGATTAGTGAGTCAGTGAATTAATTTCAGGAATCAGATGAGTCATTATGATTTGGATATTCTTTAAAAAAATTCACCTTTAATGTGCGGTAGTTGACGAAATAGGCATATCACGCACTTGAGTGAAAGTACATTAAGGATTAAAAGTAGTCACAGAACTAAGCACTTAAGCTTAGAATGTCCCATTTTGTGATTATTTTGAATTAGAGTTGTGAATCAAGTGAATCATCTACTGGAGATTTAGAAAACTGATGATTCAAACAAAGTCAGATTCACAAATGAATTGCACATGAATTGCAATTGATACTGCTATCTCAACATTTTTTTTAATAAAATGTCAGCAGCATAAAACAATAGTAAAAAGTACAAAAAAGAGGGAGGGGGGGTGGTTGGGGGTTAGGGAAGGGCAGGATTGGTTTAGTTCTCATTCTTTAAAATAAAGATTAAAAAGTGGGGTTTCATAATGGTTCTACATGCAACAATTAAACTGTTTGCTCACACTGTGCAATTCTCACATGAAGCATCAATTATTTTAACTTTTGGCACAATAGTTTGCTACTTAGTTAGGTTTAAGTATTAGTTATTAGTAGGCCCACATGGAATCATCATTGAGTCTATGTATTTACTTGTGCAAATGTGTGTAAATTTATATTTATTCAGTTTTTAAATTAATTTCACTTATATTATAATAATCATAAAATTAAAATGTTTATGGTTTATTTAGAATACCGTTTGTAAATTAATATTTTCTGCCCTTTAGTAGAGATATATTATTAGACTCGCTTTGTTTACCAAATAAATATATCTAATTGGTTTTGCATTGTAATAATTAATTACAAGTTAAAAACGTATTACTTTTTATTTCATATATTAAGTTTTTAGTTGATACTTCTTAAATGCATAAATCCACAGTTTTTTTTATTTTTTTTTTTTACAAAATTCTCAGCAGAAATAGCAAAAAATGTCCAGAGATTCTGTCTAGCCCAAGTTTTTGGGTATTAGGTATCAAATGCTCTCTATAGAACAATTAATGTCAATGAAGGACCCTTCTTTCGTTTAAGTACCATAACATTAAAAAAACTGTTTAGAATTGGATTGTACTGGAATAACATTACGGTAACAATTTTAACTTTGGTTGAACATAACAAGTTCACTTATTCTGATTAATTCTGTTTTGTTTCTGTCTCCAGGTTGCTGATTCTTTATCTGACAGATTGAGTGTCGGAGAGGATCAGAAGACGTGTTCAGAGGACACCAGAGTGAGCTGGCCTTTCTCTGAGCCATGGACTGGAAGACTTTTCAAGCCCTGCTCAGCGGGGTGAACAAATACTCCACTGCATTCGGCCGGATATGGCTCTCAGTGGTTTTTGTGTTCAGGGTCATGGTTTATGTCGTAGCGGCAGAAAGAGTTTGGGGTGATGAGCAGAAAGACTTTGACTGCAACACCAAGCAGCCGGGCTGCGCAAACGTCTGCTATGATTTCTACTTCCCCATTTCCCACATAAGACTATGGGCTCTGCAGCTCATCTTCGTCACGTGTCCATCACTAATGGTGGTCATGCACGTGAAATACCGTGAGGAACGTGAACGCAAAGCCAAAGCAAAACTCTACGCCAACACGGGAAAGAAGCACGGTGGACTGTGGTGGACGTATCTGATCAGCCTTTTTGCTAAGACTGGCATTGAGATCACCTTCCTGTACATCCTCCACCACATCTACGACAGCTTCTACCTGCCAAGGCTGGTGAAGTGTGACGTCCAGCCATGTCCCAATGTTGTGGACTGTTACATTGGCCGGCCCACAGAGAAAAGAGTCTTCACTTATTTCATGGTGGGAGCGTCAGCGCTCTGCATAGTGCTCAGTGTCTGCGAGATCATCTATCTGATCGCCAAACGCATCAGCCGCTGCGCTAACAAATACAAGCAGCATGACAAAAGAAGCACACCGATTAATCAGCGATATCGAGATGAGGACAGCAACTGCACTATTCCTTTGCACGAGCTGGAGAGCAAGCCCGAGTATAAACCAGAGACTAAAGAAGACTTTAGGTCTGAATATAAACCTGGCCCTAAACCGCAGTTTAAATCTGAAGTCAAGCCCACTTTTAAGCCAGCCTACAGGTTGAGTGTAGACATGAGAGCGTCTGCTCCAAATCTCTCAGCACCAATGTACAAAATACAGTCTGGTATCATCTAAAGATCTTCTTTCTTTTCTTCTCAAGTCATCTGGAGGCATAAAGACGTTTTGAATGTCTGGACAATCTCAAAGTCTTTCACTGTCCATCAGGATCTGTAAAATAATCAGTAATGGGAGATGGAAGATGCTTTATGGCAGATTCAGGAACATTTGCCCAGAAGCTGCCAGATTAAATGTTTTACTAAATGGTGCAGTGGTGGTTGCCAGCCTAGTTCAGAACCAGCTCAAACACCTGCATTTTTACAATGGTTTCTTGAACTGAATGAGGACTGAAAGCGTTGCCTTTCTTCTGGTTCATTCTTTCTTCTAAAGAACAAAGGTGAAAACCTATGAAAAACAACCTGAGAGTTATCAAATAACCAGTAAGGCATTCATGGAGAACACACCTTACATACAAAACCCACCTCCGCCTTCACACGCACACAGAACAACAGGCGGAAGTGTGGAGCTCCAGAAGACGTCATGGAGATACTGTCCTTTTACAGTGTCTCGTTTCTCAATGTCCTGGTATTTGTCACAAAGATCAGATCAAAGATTTGTAGTTGATGTTGTTTCAGCTATCAATGTTTCATAAGCGAGGCTTAAGGTTTACGTGTAAACACACCTGATCTCTTTTTTTGAACTCAGATCCTCATGCTGGAAAAATTAATGGAAAAGATACCACCGTCTCCATAAGATGGAGATTAAAGAAAGTGTATCACCCATTTTGTGTTATGAGCTGCTCTTACCAGAGCTAACCTTGGCAAGCATTTGTAAAAGTCTGACTTTGTTCAGACTTGCTGTTATGATCTTGTTACATTTAGCCAAGATGTATCATTTTGCTGCACAGTCTGCCTGTTGAAAGAAATACTGAATATTTGCCTGTTGTAACAAATACTGAATCAACGCACTTTCATTTTATATAAAAATATTTTCAGGTTATTTTTTTAATGGCAAAAATGGAGCTCTGGTTTTGTATTATATTCTTTTATGGCGTTATTGTGATTTTTAGAATGTTTTTTAAAGATGATTCCTTTTGATACTGTTTAAATAAAATATATAATAATATTTGTAGGAGATTCATTTGGTGTGAAATCACAGTAGTTTATATAGTGAAAAGGCATTTCAATCAAAGCGGTAATAAAGCAAGCAGGTAAACAATTCAAACTTACCTTTATGGGAAATTAAGATTTTTTCATAATTATTTACAACAGATAATCTATTAACTATTATAATAGATCATAAATCATAATCTATTTACGTACTGCTATCATGAAGACATTACAGTGCATGTAAACATTTAAAACAAATGCTCTTAATTTTCTACTTAACAAAAAAAAAAAAGTCAAATATTAAGTAGCTTCAGCAGCGATACAAAGATGTTTCTTGAGCTCCAAATCAGTATTATTAAAATGATTTTCAAGGTGAATTTAAATTGTCTGTAGTGTATGACCGTGTATGGATGTTTCCCAGTGATTGCAGCTGGAAGGGCATCTGCTGCATAAAACTTATGCTGGATAAGTTTATGGTTTATTCCGCTGTGGCAACCCCTGATTAACTCCAGATTCAGATGCAAAAACCTCTAAACACCATCTGAAAAGTTCTCCTAAAATGAGCGTTTTCTCTGCCTCCTATGTTCAGTTATTTCATTGTAAAGGCAATGAAAATAGCTTATTCGTCCCCATAAAAGTAAAATTACTGAGCCTGCAAGAAGTCTTTTTAGAGTAGAAGAAGAATTTTTAGAGGAAAATACCAAACGGCATTTAGAGGTTTTTGCATCCAAACTCTATATATACAGTTGAAGCCAAAATTTTTAACCCCCTGAATTTTTCGCCTGTTTATTTTTTTTCCCCATTTTCTGTTTAACAGAGAGATTTACTCAACACATTTCTTAACATAATAGTTTTAATAACTCTTTTCTAATAACTGGTTAATTTTATCATTGCCATGATGACAGTAAATAATATTTAACTAGATATTTTACAAGACACTTCTATACAGCTTAAAGTGACATTTAAAAGCTTAACTAGGTTAATTAGGTTAACTTGGCAGGTTAAGTTAATTAGGCAAGTTATCATATAATAATGATTTGTTCTGTAGACTATCGAAAAAAATATTAGCTTAGAGGCTAATAATTTTGACCATAAATTGTTTTTAAAACAATTAAAAATTGCTTTTATTGTAGCCGAAATAAAACAAATAAGACTCTCCAGAACAAAAAAATACTATTAGACACTGTGAAAATTTCCTTGCTCTGTAAAACATCACTTGGGAAACATTTAAAACATACTGTTTCTATATACTATGATCTTTTATGTGAAGCTGCTTTGACACAAAACACATTGTAAAAGCACTATACAAATAAAGGTAAATTGAACTGAATTTAAAAAAAATAATAAAATAAAAGGGGGGCTAATAATTTTAACTGTGCATAGCGCAGAATTCCTCTTGAGAACAATCAATCACATTCAGTTTGTACATGCAGCCCAAAACCTCCTGATGTTAATTGGTGGAAGGAAAAAAAGTTTAAAATCTAAACAACTTTTATAACACTTATACAACACTCAGTATCTTCAGAAGGATTTTGTGAGTAGGTGTATGATGTCAAACAAAAAGTTTAAATGTACAAGACTAGCTGATCCAGTTCGTCAGCTTTCAACAGATAAGCAGAAGTTGTTGCTGCAACTGAAACAGTAACTGTCCTGACAAGCCTAATCCAGTTAAGCTGTTTGGTAAAGTGCTGATATAAAATCAGTAAAGTTCAGTTATCAGACTAACCTGTAAATGTGAATCTGGTATGATGTTAAATGAAGCATAGACTCATGTTTCTTGTCAAAACTTAATTTAATAATTAAAACGAATAATCTCCATTTAAACAACATACAGAGCAAAAGTAAAAAGACAGAAGAAAATAAATACATCATCATAATGTCAACTGCACAAAGACAAACAATAGTCCATTTCACCAACAGGAAATCAATCACCAATAGCTTAAAGGAAATCTACAGACATTCTAAAAATCTTTTTTATTTCTTCCTGTAACAAACACAAACACACACCCCACTTGTGAAAAAGGATTTTCCCCGGTATGAATTGTTCCTGGAGTAAGAAACCATTGTCAATTTTCATAATTTCCCACTATGTTGTTATCTTAGGTTCCGTGCAAGTCTTTTCATTTGAATGAGGTTTGTTATGACTACTATTACTGTAAAGCTTTTGCCGGTAATGACAGTTCCTGTTCAAAAAGAGCCAAAATGGCATTAGCAGGCAAAAGAATTGGGAGGAATCAGATACGAAACTGTGAAGCAACATTACGGGAAACATTCAAAGTAATACTAATCAAATTTAGTAATGCGATGCAGTCGAACCAGAAACTGTTTTAAAAACTCAAATGAGAGCTGTCAGCTAGAGCATCATAGCTTAATCTAGCTTCAGCTATACATGAAATATTTTCAGTTATTAAAACTACATATTCACTGTAGCTATCATTTATGTAGTTCATCAGTAATTAAGGCACATGAACTCATCAAGTCAGATTGTGAAATTCAGGATACATGATCTCTTATAGAAAGGAGTCTTTTCACCCCTAGACTCACCTACACTCAGTGCTTAAACTCAACGCTCAGCTCAGCTGAATATAGAGAGATTTATTTCCAGCAAGATGTAGTTTTACTGTGTGCTAAGAAGTTAGTGTGACGAAAACGTACCGTAAGGGTACTGTGTTCTCCAAGAAGAGAAGCAGACTTCAGAGCTTGCAGGAGGCCTGAGCTACTTTTGAATTGGTCCTTCTGTTGAGTGAATGACAGATGAATGAACCGGCGTCCAACAGTCTGGGCAGATCCACTCCCTAAAACACACAATCAACAGCTTGATCAACAGAGTGCTGCATTTCTTTTTGGACTATTAGTTAGTTGTACATTCAAAAGGCACATTTGAAAAGAATACCTTCACATTTAATGTTTGTTTTCCACTAAATTTAGATGATTTTTAGCCAATTACCATAGTTAAAATGAGTTTCTTTCGGTTCTCACACTAAATTGATCAGTAAATTATAACATAAAAAGGTAGAGGAGGTAAATAACATTAACAAATCCTTTCCTTCCTAGACCCCAAAGGCCACTCATCTAGACTGACAGTAAAAGCATATTAATGTGGCAAAAAACAAATCTTTTTTTTTTTACTTGCGTGTTATAATAATGGCAGGTGTGGGTGTGAAAAAAATATTGAACCACCAGAGTGTTTACCAATTCACCACCTCTGGAAGTAAGTAACCAAGCCTAAACAAGGCATGGGCTAGTTTAAAATTTCTAAAGACATGACAACCTTGGATAAAAATATCATGGTTCCACAGTATTGTGATTACTGCTCTAAAATATATTATTTTTTAAAAATGTCTGGCTAAAAAAACTAACACTTTTTACGCTTTGAACCCAATGGCTGCATCTGAAATTGCATACACTTCAGATTATATAGTACATTAAAAACAGTGTTTGAGCCGAGTAGTATGTCTGAATTAATAGACATACTATTAATTAATAGAACTCTTACAGCCTACCACTTCCGGCGAGATTCTGAAGTGCGCATCGGATGGATGCTACGTTATCTCATGATGCATCACGAGAGAATTCATAAACAGGAAAGAAGCGATGCAACTGACACAGGTAGGTCACGTGATAATGACAAAATGGTATCTGTAGTACATCCACGCTTCATTCATACTGCTCACATTCATACTGTATAGAACATACTTCTCTAGTGGTCGAGTAGTAAATTCTTACTTAAATGCAGTACCCGAGTAGAAAGCGATTTTTGACAGAGCCAATATATATTTTTTGAGAAACATTTAATATTTTGGAACAGTAAACATGTCAGGCTGAATAATTCAACATGAATCACTGACTTCTGCGATCATCATTAGTTTCAAAAACACAGATTTCTTTACAATTTAAAGCAGCATCTGTGGATATCTTTTCTGCTGGAGATACTGTTGTGCTAAAACAATAAAGCAAAATAAAAAAAATGAATGATATAGCAGAAAATTTTGGCTGTTTTAATACCTTGACTTTACCAGCACGCAGACTGGTATTTAGCTTCTTACATCAGGTGTAAACAGCGCCAAAAATGAATATGGTTTCCACAAAGGAATAAATTACATATTAAATTTATTTTAGGTGTTTTTTATTGTACATCTATTATACAACAGTACTGTCTTTACTACATTTTGATGTGCATAAGGGTGTGTGTCCACTGAAGCTTTTCTCCTAAAGATGGGCAGATTTTTTTAGTTGTTGGGATGGAAGCTCAACCTTTTTTTTATTATTTTTTATTTTTATTTTTTTTTTTACAAATTTGAGCATCAGTTTTAAATAAACATCTGATCGCTTGGCGGTTTCAAAATGCTTTAACAGTAGAAGAAGCACTCACAGCGGAGTGTTTTTAGAAGAGGGGGCTGACATTTTCAGCTGCACAAATACTCTTTGATAGACGCGCATCCTTAGAGACTTCCTCTCAGAAACAGTTCATCTTTCTGACCTCAAACTCTAGAACAGTAGTGCACATTACAGCGGCACCATTATCAAGTAACCAGTCATTAAATGTGGTTTCTTTGTCATAACGTCTAAAACCAATTTTAGGAAAAACTGACATTGTGACATTTTGAAAACACTTTCACCATATCAGACGTGTTTTTGTGCATCTGCATAAAATATAACACACAAATGACAAGCTCAAATAAATACATTACAGTGTATTCCTTTCATTCCTTTTGTATAGAAATACAAAAGGAAGGAAAATCATTGAAAAGCAAATGAAATAAACAGTGCTTTGAGTTTTTCTGGGAAGTCCAAAAGTTACAAGTTAAATATAATTAATATTTCATTACTTTAAACTGGCTAATGTTTACGGAGAAACAGGCCTTTAACACATGCAAACTTTTTTAATAGTTTAAATTTGAAATTAAACCACAAATCATGCGAGTTCCTAAACGTGGTGCCTGGTAAACTGGGACTTACAGTATGGATTCCCAGTCCATGCAGCATATAGACCACATCTTCAGTTGCCACA